CGCCTTATCGTGTCTTCAAAACATCTCAAAGCGCTTCACAGAATTTACTGTCAAGTGAATTGGCTGTACATTTTGTGGACAAAATAAGGATACCTTTATCATGGCGATGTTCTACTTTTCATATCCTTCTAGAAGATAACAAGCAACCTTTACTTTCTTTATTGCCTTTTTCGGTCATGAGTTTAACAAATGCCGGGTGTTTCAGTGACAATTAGACCTGCTCTGTCGCTCTGGGGTGATCATGAACCAGCGAGTGGTTTGAAATGATTGATCTTCCTCAAGTGCAATATCAAATAGCATATTTATTGCTTGTGTAAGAGCCATGAATCTCATTTATTTATGACTTTTTTTTTAATATACCAGCTTTTGGCTTAAGTGCAGAGCTGGGCAGTATGCAAATCCCCAATGGACATTTTGAAAAAAATATGCTGGAGCTTTTTATGCCTAAAAAATTTATTTTAATCCCTGTGCAGCCTTACATTACTAAAAGGCCCTTGCTTCAGTTCTATTAGTTCGGTAGATCTTGTGGTAGGATCTAACGTGATTTGGAAGAGCATGTAGCTTCGGTATAATTGCAGTCAGTTCAGAGTTTGGTTGCGATCTGTTTGTAGCTAGTACGCTTGTTTGTCGCTCTCATTCCCTTTCTCTGTTTATATAGCGCCTTTCACGTCGGGAGAACGACCCAAGGCACTGGACAGTCAGGGATTTGGACCCGAGTAGGTTGGGATCAGGTAGGGTGGAGGGCAAGGAGGGTAAGGGTAGGAGGGTGGCCGAATGTGCGGTCGAAGAGGAGGGTCTTGAGACCTTTTTATTTTGAAGGAGGCGAGGGCAGGAGCCAGGTGAAGGGACTGTAGGGTGGAGTTCCAAAGGGTGGAGCTGAAGACCACTGTGTGGGATGACGGACTGGTTCAAAGTATTTCGCTCCTGACGTGATGATTCCACGATGTGGTTATTTTCCATTGGAGCCTCGGAGTGTGGTTGGAGAGGAATGTAAATCGTGATACCACTTGCGCCCTAGGGCGGACAAGAGAGCAACAGGGAAGAAGACTAGGTAGCGAGGGAAGGTAGGGTAGGTAGGAGGGAGGGAGCTCAGTTAGACTGAGCTAATTAATCCTAATGCTCCTGTTAGGAGCGATGTGCTGGCTGGCAAAAGGGAATAGAAACTGACTTGAGTGTCTCCCGAGGACCGAAAAAGGGTTTTTTTTTTTTAAATTCCTCTGCCGAGGCTTTAATACAGCTGTAATTGTTTACAACACAATTCTACTGAATAATGGATAGAAGGGGATCCCACGAGCAGCTCAGTGGGCCCTGCCTCGCTCCAGCTCTTGTCGTGGGTGGATGGTTCACATTAGGTTTTGAAGCTGTCGCTGAGATGTTGTTGCCATCAGAGGAGGAGGGAGCTGGCAGTCTTTGGTGTGTGTGTGTGTGTGTTTGTGTTGGGGGGAAATCTGCAGTAAGCTGCTGTGTTGTTTTTTGCAGTAGATTAACTTTCGCACCTCTTTTCTTTTTACCAGCGCAATTGGCTGCCAGTTGTTTCGTCCGCAAAATATACGGCCAATTCACTTTACAGTATATTCTGTGAAGCGCTTTGAGACGTCTTGAAGACGCGATAAAGGCGCTGGTATCAAATGCGAGGATTATTATTATTACTACCACGTTGTAACAGTGCAGGTCCGTTACCTATTCCCGAGTACCTTATGAAACCCATCAAGATGGTAGGGGCTGTTTTTGACCTTGCACCTCCCTCCCTTGTTGTTCGGTACTGTGAGCCGATGCCTTGCTTTGTCGAATGATGCAATGCAAATAAGGCCTTTCGTGTTTGTTTGTGGCAATGCCTAGTCACATACGGTGTGCCTCCTACCAGGCATCTCGAAGGGCACTTTGCTGACACTTTGCTCTCTGAAAGCTTGATTCCCCCATTGCTGTCTATGCCAAGAGCCAGCTTTGCAGAGAGACTCATTTCTGTAGGCAAACCTGTTGCACCGTTATTTCGAACACAAGGAGCGGATTTCAAAATTCATTTTTTTTTGGAAACTGAACGTTGAAAGGAACCTGAAGTGCTTTCTTCAACCATCGCTGACTGGACGTCGTGTAGCATTACACAAATGCTAAATCTAAAAGATGCTAAATCACACGTGCTCTGGGACCTGCTCGCTGCAGGTTCTTCTGTTTTGTACAATTGTATTCCCAAGCAGGGAGAAACCTTGGCCAGGTTTCCTTACTCAACGCATCACATACATGGGCTGATGCAGCTTTCTGGGGAGTCTTGTAGCTCAGCGGTCGGAGCACTGGCCTCACAAGCCTGAGACCTGGGGTTCGATTCCCAGCAGGGCGAAATGTTGGGCAAGTTTCCTTACTCCACGCGCCTCTGTTTGGCCAGCAGTAAGTAGATTGTTAGTCGATTGGTGGATTGCTTTCCACGGGTAATAATCCCATCAAAATATAAATAAATAAATTTGGCAACGCAATGCACGACTGTGCATGCAATTGGGATGTGAGTGACTGCCTCTGGTGTTTCCGTCTCAATAGAGAGCCATGAGGAGCCAGTAGAATATTTGCTGCTTCCCAGCCGCTCTGAAGTGAACTGCTGTTTAACTATTTATGAACTGAACTGTGGAGGTGTCAGGGAATGGGTGAGTTGGCTCCAGTATTTCCATTAAGGATTGATGTGATCAGTGAAGAACAGTAACCTTTTCTGAAGAGTTTCCAGAATCTGATCAAAACCTGAAGATAATGATAATAACCCTTGGGTGGGTGAGCAGTAGCTGACCACAGGGGTTGCCCTGAACATAAGAATTTGCTGGGTGAAAGAAGACCAAGGTCCATCTAGTTTGTTTTGAATTTACCCCCCCCCCTTCAATCGCAGGCCACGTCCTCTGGTTCTGCCGTGCAGTACAGTTGACTGTAAAAGACTACGACAGATCCTGTAATGTAAGTTCAGCCCTCCAACTGATTCTCGCGATGCACTTCCTAACCGTTCAGAGCAACTCAGGACCTAGCTCACAGGTGCTGTGTGAGCGCTTCTTTTGCCCATCAATCTTGTGGGTAATGTGACATCCCTTTCCCAATGGGGAACAGTAACGTGCTGGGGTCGTGGGGCTACAATGGCGGATGTTTTTTGACCAGGGTCGGGGTGCAATATATGTAATGCCGGGTGATTTTAGAGATGGTTGGATGGTACGTGGGTGGCTGAGCTGGAGAGTAAGCTTGGCTCAGGACCAACTTGACTTGAAAATGCCTTTTAAAATGGAGTGTCTCTGTCCAGGCGGGAGGGAGCAGGGAGTACAACAACAACTTGGATTTGTATAGCGCCCTTTTATTACTCTATAGTGATGTGGGTTTGTTTGAGTTCTGGTCGTGTTTCACACGTGCGTGGGAGAAGGGGGCTGAGAAATTGGCAGGAAAAGATCTAGAACGCTTCGCTGCCAATCTTGTTCACAAAGGTGGGAAGAAACACATTAAACACTGTGTAAACGCCAGTAATGCACTGCACATTTAACAGCTGGCCTGCGGACGGGCTGGGTGTCTGTCTGTCTGTCCGACTTATCATGGTGCAAACCGACCTAGCGTTCTATTACGTGACACACCGAGCTGTCAATTATTAATGACTGTCAGCTCAGTGGGATCAGTGGGTGTGTCTCTCGAGCCAACCAGGTTTCTGTACAACTCACTGGCGCTTTCCCTTCCCTATTTACCCTAAAGCTATATTAAAAAAAAAGTCCGTGTTGAATGACTGTTTTTATATTAAAAAGTCATCAGTAAAAGAAGGATGAAATGAAACATAATTCCTGGCAAAACGGGGATTGTAGATCTTTTTCGGGTGGGCTGGAGGGGGAGAGAAGAAGTGTCGGATTTCGTCCCCACCCCCACCATCTCCAGGAAACCGATGGGAAATAAATGCTGGCAAATTGACAAGAGTGGCCCACATCCCAAGGCGTTGTAAATGTACATGATCCTTCAATTGAAACTATTTTACTCCGCAATGAGGCAATCGAGTTTACTCTCTCCCCCTGAGTTGGCAGAGGGGAACTATCTGGGTTTTAGATTTATACAGTCCGGTCACTTTACAGTATACACTGTGAAGCGCTTTGAGACGTTTCATAATAATCCTTGCATTTAATATAGTGTCTTATCACATCATTGAGATGTCTCAAAGAGCTTCACAGAATATACTGTAAAGTGGATTAACTGTATGTTTTGTAGGTGAAACAACGTGATCAGATGCCATATCAAATGCAAGGATTATTATTAGATTTCTCATTGCCTAGTGCTTGTGAAATTGGGGTAGGTCGCATCTTGTGTATTCTGTTTTTCCCATCAAAGCTGTGACTGAAGTGATGTGATGGAGTGTTTCTAGGCAAGAACTGTAATTTATATACAGTGTCGGTGAAAACTGAGTAAAGTGCTATGCGACTGCCAAGAGTATGGGGACTGCTTCCCACGTGGGGAGCTGCCTGTTGTAATTCAACCATTTTCTTTCTAGACCTGGTTATAATAACTCACTGAGTGTGAGCCGGGGGCGGCTGTTTGACGGAGGGTTTATGGGCTGATACATCATTGCATGGAGTCCTGTGACTCAGTGGTTAGAGCGCTCGCCCCGCAACCCAGAGACCTGGGTTTGTTCGATTCGCGGCAGGGCGAAACGTTGGGCAAGTTTCCTTACTCCACACGCCTCTGTTTACCAAGCAGTAATGTAGGAACCCGGTCGTAAGTCGATCGGCTAATCGCTTTTCTGGGGGTAATAATGCCGCTTAAAAAAAAAAATTGGTCGCTTCAAATCCTGACTGTTTGTGGGACGCTGCTGTGCGCAATTGGCTGCTGCGTTTCGCCCACAAAATATATGTTCAATTCACTTTACAGTATGTTCTGTGAAGCGCTTTGAGACCCCTCGAAGACGTGATAAGGCGCAATATCAAACGCAAGGATTATTATTCGTTCTCGTTTGCTTTGGGTCATTTTCATTCCTGTGCTTTTTTTTTATGTCCCCCCCCACCCCACAGTTCACCGAAGAGAAGCTCGGCCAGGCAGAGGTAACTGAGCTCGATGCCCACTTTGAGAATCTCCTGAGCCGCGCTGACAGCACCAAAAACTGGACCGAGAAGATTCTCCGGCAGACAGAAGTCCTGCTTCAACCCAACCCAAGTAAGACCGGCCAAAGGGCAATTTGACAGCGGCTTGTGGGCCGACGTAAAGCAGAACTGCATTCTGTCTTAAGTTGACGAATGCTGTACACGTACCTCGTTGAAGTGTTCACACTTGGACATCCTAGGCAGTTGCAGAACCAGGTAGACTGTTTGAGGTGAGGTGCTTGAAGTATGATACCCCCACTTGTGCCTGACTCAGTACATATGGACTTCCAAATCACATGGGACGGTAATTTGTAAGGTTGGAGGGGTCGGGGATGGGGGTTTTTTTTTGAAGAGGGGGTCACTCAATCCACGGCTGTTTGTGGCAAGCTGCTGTGCGCAATTGGCTGCCGTGTTTCGCCCACAAATATACAGCCAATTCACTTTACAGTCTATTCTGTGAAGGGCTTTGAGACGTCTCGAAGATGTGATGGGGCGCTACATCAAATGCAAGGATTATTAGTGACAGTGGCGGAGCATGACTCCCGAGGAGGGGGAGGTGACCGTAGGCACGGACGAATAGGAAGGTCTTCAGGCCCGATCTGAAAACGGGGAAGGAAGGGGCAAGGCGGATGGATAGAGGAAGAGTGTTCCAGAGTTTCGGGGCATAGTGGCTGACTGCACTGCACCCTGTCTAGCGCTGGAGATTAGCTAGTTCTGCCTTAATTTCTGCCATAGTGATTAATCGCTTCACACCTTTTCATTCCTTTCCTTTCCTTCCAAGTTAAAGTGGATCCTTGACCTTTTGTGAAGCAGTCTGTTGAGCTCTGCATTAGTCTGTCACGTGAGCTGCTCTCCATTTCTGAGTCATCTGAAAGGTGATCAGTCTTAGCGCTGAGTCTGTTTGATCCTTTTCCTTTCAGTCTGTGCGCCTGTATTGAGATTTTTGTTTTGTTGTGCGTTTCGTTGGACTTTTACTTTTAACACCTTAGATGCTAGTATAGACTAGGAGCTTGAAATGCAACCGTGAGGCTCGAGTCCTTCTGACCTGGAGGTGGGCTTGCTACCAACTGAACCAGGCTGACACCTCAGTACATGCGAATGTATCAAAGCAATGACGCATGAGCAGGATGTGGGAATCTGATGCCTGCCCTGCCCAGAACAGATCATGTGCAGGTTGTTTTAGGGCCAGTGGAAATGGAGTCACTGTTAGGACACACGCAACAATTGGATTGAGAGATTATGGGGGGAGTGTATCGGGGGGTGGGGTAGGGGGAGATGGTTTAGGATGTGTCGTGGGAGCTTCTCCGAGCCGTCTCAAAGCACTTCGCAGAATATACTGCAAAGTGAATTGATTGTGTATTTTGTGAGTGAAAAGATCGCCGGAGGAGAAGATTGGTCTGGATGAAGAAGGCTTTTCAGCCCATCCAATCTCATCGGTACAGAACACTCACCATACTGTTTTTTTTTGTTTTCCCCCCTCCGCCCACACCCCATCACTGCATCAATCTGCTTTTTAAAGGAATCTAGTGTCCTGGCCTTTACCACCTTTCCTGGCAACCTGTTGCAGTTGTTGATTACCCTCTGTGTAAAGAGTTGGGGTTATTAGGTAGTTGTAATGGTGCAGTTGGGTTCTGCTGACGTGATGTCCTTCGTGGTATCTGGCTTGTTGTGGTGTACTGTATGTGGTGGGGAAATGTTGTGAATCAAGTGTAAAATATTTAATTTCAAGCCTAAATGTTCTGCTTCTCGTGAAGTCATCCGCACGGACCCAGATCGAAGGCCGGTTAATTTTTAAATGTGGAGGTTTTTCATCTAAACCTGATGTAGATTGCTTTTTGGGAATGGGAGGAGGAAGCACTTAGTTTTGTGAAGTAGGTGAAACATTAATTGGACCATACAGCAATGCTGCACAAGCATCGGTCTGTATCCACTTTAGCCAGAGACCAAACCTGGCTAAAGTGGTTGCTGGCTAAAGCGGATAACATAGACTGATAGTTGTATAATTGTTGCTGTACAGTTGATGTCTATTCTCGGGTGTGTGAGAGACCGTGCCTGTCTTCTGAAGTTCCATTGGCAAGTTATTACTTGTATTGGATAACCTTGGAGATCTCAAAGTACAGCATAAAAGTTCTGTAGTGTGTAGTGACTGTGGATTGGTAGGCTTCAATGTGGCAGCCCATTTGCACACAACACTTTGTAACATGACTTCCCAGCATTGCATATAGAACGTACCTAATCCATCCAGAGTACAGGATACGTACAATTGATTTGCCCTCGCCTTGTGTCGGGAGCTGGTTGGTAAAGTTCCCGTAATAGTACAGGAAAGGTGGATTTCTGCCAATTTTCTGGACAACTGTCCTCTCGGTTGTTGACTGTGTGGCTGTTAGTGGGACTTCGCTCTGTGTAGAATCGCTGCGGTGCTGATCTGTGTTTTTTTTTTAAAAATGCACCCCACTTGACATCAATTACAGTCTCGATGTATTGAGTTCTAAGATGATATGAAATATATCTATAAATTCTTCTCTCTTCCTCCCCCCCCCACCTCCAGGTGCCAGGATTGAAGAATTTCTTTATGAAAAACTTGACAGGAAGATTCCCTCTCGGATCACCAATGGCGAGCTCTTGGGACAGTACATGATTGACGCAGCCAGCGATTTTGGCCCGGGGACCCCATATGGTGAGCGTTCGTTCCAGAGCCAATTCAGCGTTCTCTTAACACAATATAAAATCATATTTGTACAGCGCTTTTCACGTCGGGAGGACGTCCCACTCAGGGGTTTGGACCCGAGCTGGACTCTCTTAAGTGACTGAAAGTCCAAAAAACTCTCTCCAAAGGTTTTCTTATTAATCAATCCAAGTCGGAAGAACATATAAAGGAGAGAAGTTCAGAGAGGCAATGACCGTAGAAATATCTATTAAAATGGAAAGTGTTCAAAATGCAGCAGGGATAGAGGCTGGACTCTAGCAATTAGTTAACGGAATGATGAGGAATATTGACCTGAAGATCGAGTGGGAAATCATGCTGTCTGTGTATCACTGAGGCCACAAGAAATTTTAAATGTTCTCGATCTTTCCGAACCTGCTTTGAACCGTTGTGTGTTTCTCCAGGCAAATTGATTTGAAACCTGCATTCAATTAGTCACACACTGAACCAGTGTTAATAACATTGATTGCTCTGCCTCTTATTTTGTTTTTTTTTAAAAAAAGTGAAGGTCCATATCCCTGACCTGATTTGAGGTTGCGGAGCTGGTCGTTGCACTCTTAAAACACCTTTTAAATTGATGTCTTATTGTGTATAATGGATGGCATTCTCATTACCCTAGCAACAGGTTTGTTTTAGCTTGGCTCCATGTTATGGAGCTGGTGATCGTAATGGAGAATTTTATGTGAGCCTTGATCGTATCTTTTTGCCTGAGGTTGAGGGCCTTGTAAATCGTAAACCCAGGTTCTGCACTTATGAATGCTATCACTGATCTGTGAATGATCATCGGTTTTAACACTGTAAACCTCTGGGTGGGTGACTGTATCTCTTATCTACTGGGAGAATGGGTTGGTGAGGGTGTCGTTGTCTCTCTATTGGGGGAACAGGTGGGTGGGGGGTGTCTGTCTGTCTCTCAAGGAGGGGTCTATGTGTGTTTTCTTTTAAGATTTATCCTCCCTCCCCTCCAATTAGACTACAAAGCTGGGATGTCTGGCTGAATGAAATGAATTGTTATTTAACTTTAGATTTTGTCTAAATCTAAGCATTGGGTGGGGTTGGTAACTGGTTCCAAGGCAGCAACATGTGGTTTGTGAAATGATGGCAATCTGCCTGTGGCTTCATTTCTAATTGTTTGCAATGAGTACGTTTTAAAAGGTAAATTTTAGGTCTGTTTATTCTCCAGCTAAAACCAAGGCAAACTTAAGTGCTCCCAGGACCGTGGTACACCGTATCAACCCTCCAGATTGCTCTTCGTGTTCAAATGCAATAATTTTCCTTTTATTTCAGAGCTGGGTTTGAGGCTGAAGGTTTATTTTAACTGTTTAATCTTGCATCAATCCGGCACCACACCCTGTTTCCCCCATTCTATACGATCATGGCTGATCCGCACCTCAAGCCCAATTACCCACCCTTGCCCCGTATCCCTTAATACTCTGACCTAACATATCTATCCACCTCGGTCTTGAGAATATGAATGGATCCAGCGACCACAGCCTTTTGGGGGGAGAAAGTTTCAGATTTCCACTACCCTTTGGGTGAAAAAATACTCCCTAATTTCACTCCTAAATGGCCTAGCTCTAAATTTAAGATCATGCCCGCTTGTTCTGGATTCCACCCCCACCAGAGGAAATAGTTTCTCTGTACCTACCCTCTGGAATCCCTTTGTTATTTTCAAAAATAAAGGGATCCGATCAGGTTCCAGCAATAGCACGTCGACCGCCATTGAACTGGATCCTAACCCTCTGATCTTGGCAGCTTTGAATTTATTCCAGTGCCCCTTTTTAAACCGTGACCCCAATGTCAGTGGATTATTATACAAAAAGCACATTACATGAGGTGGTGGTGGGGTGGGGGGAGGAGGATTTGAACAATATGAAGGTGTAACCTGCCTAGAGGAGGTGAATGGTTCACAAACTACTTTTCCTCCTTGGTGATGGTGTACTCTGGCTTTTTGTGAACCAAGAGGAAATCAGCCTCGTCATCGCTGTTGTGTTGCAGCGAGTCTAGTAAAGAGCATTCTTTGTTACTTCTGCCCTGACAAGCTGTGCGTTGTTTCGTGTTTTTGGCTTCTCTTCATTTCCTTCCTCGCTTGTCGCTCCAATCGCTCGTGACCAAGCCGAAGTTTTATCGGTGGCTTTGAAAGAATTTTTAAAACGTCTCTGTAGACTTTGCCCTGCCCTGTGGTGTCTCCTTGTGATCTCCTTGGCTTTGTGATCTCACATCCCTTGAGCGTCGGCAGTTTATGCAACTGGAGAGAGCCCTGTGACAGTCAGGAGTCCCATTGAGGTCAACCTCAGGGTGGTATTTCTGCTTCACCTCCCCTCACCCCCTAAACGCCAACCCTGGAGGCCAAGCCCTTAACCGCAAGCTTTGTACAGAGTAGACAACATTTCTGTCAAACACCTTTCTATCTGGAGAATTACCATACCAGGCATCATCCAACGTCGCATCAAACGAGCATTTGGGTCATTTCCCAATAGATTACTCATTTAGAGGTGTTTAATTAATAAAAGATGTGTATTGGACGGGGGAGTAGCTTCCTACGCTTCATTTTCTCTTTCTCTCTCGTGCTCTCTCTCTCTCTCTCTCTCTCTCTTCCCCATCCACAATTAGAAGAGGGAGGGAGGTAGCACTTGGGGAGGGGAGGAGGACAGGGCCAGGTGACACTGCGACGTGTTTGTTACCGAAACGCACTAGGAGAGCGATGAGCTGTTACTCTCTCTTGGGTGTTTCCCACGAATGCGGCTAATTTTACAATCCGGTGCGCGTGCTGGCGGTTGGCATGGGGATACACCACTTCCCCGTGATGTGGCAAGACGTGTGTTTGCAGCTCGTTACACAGCACTGTGTGACGTCCTCCCCACACACTGCTGCACTCCCCCCCCCCCCCCCCCCCCCCACCACCCCCCAACTATCTACCTGGATTGCACATCCTCTCCCTCCCCGTCCCGCCCCAACATGGCACATCATGGATGTGCTTCCTTCCACCCCCCACGCATCCTCTCCCCACTTGTCTACAAAAAACAGTCACTACACTGAAGAATGCTCGGACATTTTGACACAGGCCTCTCTCCACCAGCGCCACTGGGACGCATTGAGAAACATCTGGGTTTGATGTTACAGAAGGAGCATAAAGTAAATTCCCGCTGCGAATGCAAGTCCAGCTTGCAGTGAGCGGGAGCTGTTGGTGGAGGCTGTGGTGGTCCTTCCTCTCTCCCCCACCCCCCACCCCCACCCCCACCCCTCCTCCACATCTCCCCAAAGGCGAGGAAGGAAACTGACATAGAATCATATCAGAGCGGTCTACAGCACCTCTTGAGATCAGCCTACAATTCTGTTTTTTTATAATATATATATAATATTATATATATATTTGCAGTCAATCCAGTAAGAGACCCTCTTGAGTTGATGTGCATGTATGTATTTGTGCAGTACTAATGCAACAAACCAAATATTTTATGACTGCATAAATTCAATGCAAGGCGACAGATGTTTCTATTGCTAATGTTTCTATTGTGAGGAGGGAGGGAGAGAGATTCTCCAGATTAAGGCAAGATCCATCAGATGAGGAGTAATTTTCTCCTTTTTCCCCCACCTATTTATCTTTTAATTTTTTTCTCTCTCTTTTTTTTCCCCCCCCCCATCCATTCAGCACTGACCACAGATGCCTCGAGAAACTCTGCAGCTCTGTCTCGCGATTCCTACTTTTAAAAAAAAATCTGTCCACTTTAATCATTGCCAACAGTAGGGTTTTGGAGAATCACGCTGTGTTAACGCATTTTATAATCCAGCTCCTGCATATTCACATGAGTGTGAGTCACAGTGCTGACCTATTCCAGATCAGTTGCTATAATGAACGCTTCAGTGCTCTGTCTGAAGGGCAACAATTGCTGAATAAACAGGATTGACCCTTACAGTTTTTAGACATTGACCCTGATGATCCATCTAACTAGCTAGCCCAGCTGCTTTTTTTTAATGCCTTGGCTGTGACATTTCACCAGCCGGCCTCGATGCGCTTGATATCCCTAATTTCGTAGATTTGTGTCACGTCTTCTCTGTGTTTCATGGTAATTTGGGGGGGGGAAAAAAAACTTCATAGCAATTTGTGACCCTCTGGAGTCTGTAGCCATCTTCACCACACTTTTTGAAATTCAGACAGGTAATTATCTACCGCATAGTCAGTACCCAGAAACCTGCCCTGTTTACTGGTCTCTCAGAAGTGCAGTCTGTAATTATCCCTGGAGGCCAGTTTTGTTCTGGTACTAACTCCGAGGGAGCCATATATACACTGACTGGCTGCAGCCCTATTCTGTGCGTCGCAGAGGAAATTTCGCTTGTGCTCTTCAGCCTTGAAAACTGATGTGTCGGAGAGGATCGCTTAGAAGTATTTGAGGTGCTAAATGGGACAGAGTGTGTAAACTCAGAAAAATACATTCAAGCGAATGGAATCTGGGTTGTGAAGAGCAATTTTAGGTTGGGCACTGGAGTGGGGGGGGGGGAAATGTCATTGTTCCAAATATAAGACAAGCATTCGCCCCATGATTTTCCTCCCCCTCCCCTGTTAAGTTTCAAAGTTGACCTGGAATGTTTTCGCCAGTACAGTAGTACAAAGGCAAAGGGTTAGCGAAGGAGAATGAGAGAGAGAGAGCAAGAGCTGTGAGGAGAATACACTGAAAACATGCTATCACTGTTGGAGTAATTTTAATACAGCGTAATGCTGTAAAATTGTGCAAAATGTTTTCTTGACTGCTCTGTGATTACTGTATTTTTTTCTCGAATCTAACCGGGAATTGGATGGTGCAGGGATCATATTTGGAACAAATTATGTGTTTCTCCTACACGAGGGTTGTTGACAGTTCGGAAAGATTGAAGGCCAGGACATTGGACGAAGAAATTGCTTGGTACTGTGATGGATGGACAGTAGTGTTGGTATTCTGGAAGGATGAGATGAAGTGCTGGCACAGGGGCTTTCTTCAACCGAACCTCTACTGCGAAGGCCTTGTGTGTGTGAGAGAGAGAGAGATTGGTTCCACTCAGTCGGAGCTCTGATTGAGTGTGCCGCAGGGTACAATCAACATTTGTTGGCATTTACATTGTTCCCCTTTAACGAATAATACATCCATTGTTCCTCTTTAAGGTGAGAGGAACAATCTTCCCTTTTAAGGCTCTGCTCTTGTGTGGAGTAAATAATAATAATAATAATCCTGGCATTTGAAACAGCGCCTTATCACCTCTTCGAGACGTCTCAAAGAGCTTCACAGGATGTACTGTAAAGTGAATTGACTGTGTATTTTTTGCGAAGTACAGACTGGTTAGGCCAAACGGTCAGTGTTCTTGTGACGTGCAGTCCATGTAAATCCTGTGTGATATGAGACATGTCCTGCGTATTGCCCTTGCAGACACTGTAAACGTACAAGTTTTTATTTCTCTCGTCCAGGGAGCACCCTCATTAAGGTTGGCGAGAGCCAGCGACGTCTGGGAGTTGCCGACCGGGATTTCATCCAGTCGTCCATGATCAACTTCCTCACCCCACTCCGCAACTTCCTGGAGGGAGATTGGAAGACTATAACGGTGCGTTTGGTTCTTGACTTACAACTTTCCCTTCTCCCAACCTCCCGCTCTGCAAGATTAGGTAAGCAGGGGAGAGTCCCACTCTGTACCAGACAGATTTCCCCTACACGTGCAGTAGTCTGATTTAGATTCTCCAGACCCCTAACTGACCCAAGAAAAACATTACAATAATACAAACCAACTTTAAATTGTTTTCTTTGGTTCCTGGTAATGTAATCGTTCTAAGATTTCTACTTCTCTTTGTGCCTCTTGAGTCGCACAGTGTAGCAGGTTCGGAGCTGGTTTTAAAAACAACGACTGATTTTTATTATTATGTTTTTTGGGAGAGGGATTGATACCCCTGGAAAAGCGATCCGCCGATCGACTAACAACCGGCTAACTGTTCCTTCTGCAGAGGGAGAGAAGACTCCTGCAGAATAGACGGCTGGACCTGGATGCCACCAAAGCCAGATTAAAGAAAGCGAAGACAGCCGAGGCCAAGGCAGCAGTAAGTAACCCTAACCGTTCTCAATCACTGCCCCTATTCATTACCTCCCCCCTCTCTCTTCTCTCTCTCTCTCTCTCTCTCTCTCTGAGTGCCGTGAAATAAATGTAAATTTGGTGAAACCCAGACCCCAGCCTGAGACTTCAGCCGTGTTCCATTTGTGTAATCTTCACTAAGATGAACATAGACTGCTGGCCTGTTCACGCTCAAAGAGTTAATGTTTGCATGTTGTTCCGTTCATTATTCACTAACATTCCTGTTTGCCTCGGTCACCCCTTGTGAGTATTGTGTCCACTGACCAGTGTCTTTTCTGTTGTGTTCTGCGCAGTGTGAGGGAGAAGTGAGTACCGTTGACGTGTCTTTGTGTGTGTTTGTTTGTTTTGTGTTGTTTTTTTTGTTTATTTTGTGTTTTGTTTGTTCTCTGTCTCTCTCTCTCTCTCTCTCTCTGTCCGCGATCTGGTTTTCTATAACATTCTCGAAGGATGTTTTTTTAACTCATTCACTACCCGACCATTTGAAGCCAGTTAACTCGTTCGACTTGCCCAACAAATCTGAAGCCGCTACTGCTACTGTACAGCTACGACGATAGCGTCTGGCACAACTTCACAGGACTCGGAAACTGCAACCGGGATGTCGCCAAAGGGGGTGGTGAATGAGTTGAACGTGTGCTTCTGCTGCAACCGTAACATTGTCGATCTAGTACTTAGTCGCTGGAGATGTGCTGAGAACTCGGACTCATTTGATCACGCGTTTTGCTACTGGGTTCGGAAATTGGAAAGGGGGTTTCTCTTCCTTGTCTGAACAGCCTCGTTCAGCTCCTCGACCCTCCTCGTAACACATTGCCCAACGGAGTTTGTGGTCTTGCCTTGCAAGGATTTACTTGCAAACTGCTATACTCTTGAAGGCGAAATCTAGTATAAAATATCTCTCTCTCATGCGCTCGAGTTTTGTCCTTACCTTATCTGATGATTTCCGGTTATCTTGTGGGTCATTCTACAAGCGCCTTGTGCTGAGGGGAGACAGCACTACTCCCAGCCTGCACTTTTTCGTAACGTAAAAGTGTCTTTTGCCTCGATATTTTTTTTCTCTCTCTCTCTTAAGTTCTGTTCGCTCCCCTAAGTCAGGATATTGAGGAATTAAAACAGATGAAATGGCAAATGGAAAAACGTGGGTTAATGTTTGAGGTGGGGTTCTGATGAGGTTTACCGCGATTGTTAATTGCAGGAAATCGTGTATTTCGAGATCTCAAAGCGCTTCCCAGAATATACTGTAAAGTGTATTTTGTGGGCGAAACGCAGCAACCAAGTGCGCGCAGCAGCGTCCCACAAACAGTCGTGGATTGAGTGACCAAATTATTATTCAAAATTTTTTTTTAAGGGATTATTACCCCCGGAAAAGCGATCCGCCGATCGACTGACAACCGGGTTCCTGCTTGATGAACAGAGGCGTGTGGAGTAAGGAAACTTGCCCAACATTTCGCACTGCCCAGGAATTGAATGATGTATTTTTTTTTCCCCCCTCCTTGAAGAATCCATTTAATTTTGTTGCTTTTTCCTCCTCTCTTTCCCCCTCAGCCCCCAATCCAATATTTTTTCTCTCTCCACTAAAGACACTGTTCGGGATCCTCAGGTGTCAGTGACCACTTTGTACTGCCAAGTCACCCATGCAGTCGGTCCCCCCTCCGCCCACCCCCCCCCCCCCCCGCTGTAGAATTGAGTCCGGTTCCACTGCACATCTCCGTAACCTGATTGTGTTTAATGAAATGAGTGAATTTTTAAGTTGAAACTGACCTTCCTTTTTTATATATAAAAAAAATCTCTCCAGATATTTTGTTTTTATGCATGATCTCTGTGTAAACTCTGTTCCCGCCTGTAGACGATGCCTGATTTTCAGGAGACTAGGCCTCGTAATTACGTGCTGTCAGCCAGTGCATCTGCGGTAAGACATCGCAAAGACCTCGACAATAAATATTCTGCCTTTTTTTTTTCTACGCTTTCTCCCTTCCCCTTCCCCTCCCACCACCACACATTCTATGCTATATGATTGGTGACTCCTTTTACCAAGCCTTACATAAGAAATGCTAGATGAAAAAGAGACCAGAGTCCACCTAGTTTGCCTTCCACCTTCCTGGTGGTCGCGTGCACATATGTCCTGAACTGCCTGTGTTAATCCACTTACTTCACTTCCTTACTTCACCAAAGTTTTAACCTGCAAGTCTTGAGTGATGATGACCTTCCAGTGAGATCCCAAGTACAATCGGAGGCAGAACCCGAGCCTTTTTTCCTTCTGCATTGAGCCACAACCTTCCATAGCAGCGAATTTCAACCCTAACACAGCTTTTTAGCACTGCAGCTCACTATCCTAGGAAAGAGCGTGGTATGAGTTCCCTGCTTTCTGTCTTGGCAAGACTCTAGTATCAACGAGTTTAGAAGTAAATACTGCGCCATTTGGGTACACATAACAAGAGGAACCCCAAATCAAACCTACTCCTCTTTTGTTTTTTCTAATTGTTGATGCTGATCAAGCGAAACGTTCTGGACTTGGTCTTTTCCAAGCTGATCAACTAAGTGATCTGTCCTTTAGTTTTCTATCTGCTGTCTGACAGGAACAGTACATTTATTTCAGTTTGGTTTCCGGTGTAGTGAACGGTCTTAATTCCAAACTGGACTAAAAAATGGAAGAAATAAACCACAATAACTGATGTGACATCCCAGTTATACACGGTGTATAATTAGCGCTTTAAACTTTAACAATAGGCCCAGTGTCTCTTTTCCTCTCCTCCCCACCCACCCACCAATTATGCCAACCCCCAATTTCTGCTTCCCACACACTGGTTTTAAGCATTAGCTAAGGAAAGAGTCACTAATCCAATACCATATTTATTACATACCCTCTTCATTCTCGCAAAGAAAGATATTCCATCCTGTCACATCCAGAATGACGCCCCCGTAAACTACTTGTGTTAAGTTGCGGCATCTAGCATTGAGTGCTAAGGCATTACTTGCTATGTACCTGGTGAAATGGTGGGTTTCGGTTACAGCAGCTGGTGCAATGTCACTGTGCCTCCAACTCTCCAGCGAGAAATTATGTCCACGAGTGAGTATCAGGACAACTCACTGTCGCTGACTGCTGGGGGTAATGGATGAGTGATTGAAGCTAATAAGTACTGTGGTGATGTTTTCACTGCTCTGCGAAAGGGTATGTAATAAGTGGCACGGCATTAACTGTCAGCTTTTAACCGTCTCAGACCTCGATTTTAACCTGTTACTGATGCATTGTTCACAAGTCCCACTTCTGAGAAAAGTTGTGTTTGTCTTTACGAGAGCATACGAGAACTTTGCAAAAAAAAATTGTGGCATAACTCGACCGAGTTTCCCATCCAGCAAAGTTCTCTCTTCCCACTCCTCCCACCCCCCTTAACTGAACGGACACAAAATTGCCCAAGGAAGATCTTTTGCACCTTAAAATTATAATCTTTTTATTTAAATAAAACCTGAAGTTTGGGTGATTTTTTTTTTTGCCTTGGCTCCTGTAGATTTGGCAAATCTACCACTGAAGCCTGACTGTAGCAGTTAATGTGGAGGATTGTTAGATGCTGATATTCGAAGAAATTGCACAGACTCGGAACTGTGCGCACACCCGGAATGTGAGTCATTAATTGTCTGAACCCAAATATCCCTAGAAAGGAACCAAGCTCTTTTTCTAGAGGCTACATTTATGCGTTATTTCGCCTTGATCTCTTTTTTTTTTTAACGCTTTGCCAAATGTCTCACTCCAGCTTTTGTGCCATCCAGCACTGTGAAGGATTTGGGACGTCCTCCTGACATGAAAGGTTCTCGATAATCCAACAATATATTTTGCCGTAAATTATGGTTTACCAGTTTGTAGCAAATTCAAAACGATGCTCCCAAAGACAAATTCAACTTTGCACTTGTACTAAAACCATTAAGAATCCGATATTTCATGCTTTTATCTGAAGAAAAGAAAACTTATTGCAGTAGATTACATAGGCCTCGAGGTTAGTTATTTTATTTAACCATTTGTGGTTGGCAAATCCTAACTGATGACTTTTTTTTGTTTGTTTTTAAATGGTGATTGTACAATTGTTGGCTCGGTTGCTTGCACCCTACCCTCTTGTGGTGGGGTGCCTTGCTCTCCCAAAGCCTGTGGTTGGATAATTTTGGGGAAGGGGGACATAGGGATTGGGACCTCGATGAGGATTTGTACCCCATGGGTACATTTTCTTGATGGAAAGGCTGACTTTTTAGCAGCTCTGAGCAGGTTGTATGTGACCTACGGAAGGGGTGGGACTGACGAGCGCCAAGAGTCTTTTATTCCCAATCCTAGAAATTCTGCCATCTGGCTTTCTTATCCCTCTCCTATGGGACACGGGACAGTCTGACCTTTTGGAAATTTGTAAATGCAGCGCTGTTCTAATCCGTACTCTTTCTATATTTAAAAAAAGTTTTATAATCCTATTTTTTTTTCTCTTGCTCTGCCCCTTTTGCTCTCATTCTCTCTTGTTCTGCCCTCCTTGCTCGATCGCTCTCTCTCCTACCTGCTGTTTACATCTTTCTTTCTCTCTCTCTCGCTCTAGCCTATTACACTACTCCCTTAAATTATTTTTTTCTCTCTCTCTGTTGCTCTTGTTTCCCCCACCCCCCCCCCATCAATCAATAGCGTTTTAATTTGATTATTTTACAGAAAAAAAAGCACTTCAAATAGCTCATTCAAAACTGAGTCATGCTAGCAAAATTTATAGGGGAGGGGGGGGGAGTCTTATCCATGACTCTATTCCTCATACTGTACAGGACTGGTGTACAGGTTTGATTTTGGTAGAGAAATTTCAGAAAAATATTTTAATCCCTATCAGATTATGCGACAGGTCGAGGGAAGTGGTGAGGTTGGTGACACAGTACAGGGGGTGAGAAGGAGTTCTTACTGGTTTGGGGGGAAAAAAGATGGATGGCGAATAGACAGATGCAACCTTGGGCACTGATAAAACCCACCTGTAGAGAGAGCGAGAGAGAGACTTCATCAGCGTGGAGAGTCTGAAGTGCTCTTGTAGCCAGAATTGAACAGCACATTGAGCTGTCATCTGAAAGCAGTAGGAGGGATGGGATCTATTCAGTAGGTCGTGATATTTAGCTGTGCACACGGCAGAGGTTTTGAGCTCCAGTCATCGTTTAAAACATTCAATACATTAGAGGTGGAAAGGACAAACCATCACATTGAAAGGTTAGAATTCAAGCCCGAGTAGCCCTTAATGATCAATCTATTATTAGCGCATATTACATTCTGACAGTGAGGGCAGAGCCTTCAACCCTTCCCAGGCCTTAATCTGGATGGAATAAGCCACCACGTGTTGTGGGTTTATGCTGTTCCGTGTATTGGAGCTATTAGTTGAGGAAAGTGCCCATTTTTTAAGGCTTCTCTGTATGTAATTGTAAAACCAGCAGCAGCGCAGCATTCTGTTTTATCCACGTTCAAAGCTCTTTGAATTTCTATCAGTTCCTCCCGTTCCTGTGCATTTTCTTCACCTCGCTCTCTGCTTGAACTGTAACCCTAGCAAGAGTGGATGGCTCTGCACTGGGCTGTGTTAGCTCTCAGATTAGCTCCCCCTGATAGTCTCTGGGAATGGGACAAACTGTCCAATCTCTCGCCCCCGCCCCCCCCCACCCCCAGCTATAATTGGAACTCGACAAATACATTTGGACCCGTTTCCTCAATTTTCATACATAAAATTACACGCTGCATAGTACTGAACAAAGCTGTTCAGCCCAACCAGTTTGTGCCGGTGTTTATACTCCACACAAACCTCCACCCATCTTAATTCCTCCTCTGTTCCCTTCTCCCTCATGCAAGTAGTTTTATTTTGTGGCTTGAAATATTTCAGGACACAAATCGTATTATAAATAGTGACTACCAATGCTAAAACAGCCGAGCAGAAGTTGCACTACGAAGTAAAATTTCCTGAGGTTAATATTAGTGAAATTTGTGCCGTGTGTCTGACCCAGCTAGTGGATATATAACCTACTGGCCATTCTTTAGTCAAAATATGTTTTCTGTTCTCCAGTGTATTGCATTTTGCATGTCGTGAGTGTGTGTGTGTGTGTGTGTGTGTGTGTGTGTGCTGTGATCATCACTTGCTCTAACCATCACTCACATTAGACTTCAGTAACAATGAGCTCCTTCCAGTATCAAACACTCATCTCCTTTCTTGTTGCTATGTGGCTTTGCAGCTCTGGAGTGAGGAGGTGGACAAAGTGAGTATCTCAAAGCAACATCTCGATGGGGCGGAGAAATGTCACAGACACTGTAACAACTAGGCCGTGGGTCACTTGGTTGTTTTTGCGGACTTTTTTGATTACCAACGATGTTCTTAAACTGGCAAATTGGCCACTCCTAAGCTCACTGCCAAACTGCTCAGAAGCACTGACTCTATGAGTAAAGATTTGAAGGATGGTATCTCTTCCCATCTGGCTCAGTTTCTCAAACTTCACCCTTACATCCAAGCTTTGCCAGTAGAATGGAGGAATCAGCAGGTCGTGGCACATTTCAGGAGGAAGGAGCCAACAAAAGGCGAGGGCTGGGCCCGAGTTTGGACAGAAAGCAAATGTAATCACTCTGCCCCACATGAACCTCTCAACTGCAGCCCCCCTATAAAACGGCTATCGAGTAAAGCGATTTGGGCTCCCACTACAGTCGAGAATACAGCCCGCTGATTCTGTCCAGTCTTCCAAACTTAACTCCATGTTTTCCGAATGCTTTGCTTTCAATCGGAAATAAATGGTTTGGAAAGTGAGCTGAAGGGCACCTGAGCTCCAAGGGTTAGGTGGGAGGAATTGATCTGCTTGCTTTTGTGTCCCTTTTTACCACGTGACCCACACACTAGTCTTTTCATGTCTGTAGGGGCGGGCGGGTGGGTGGTGGAGAATGAATTGTCTTCGACAGTTAAAGCTGCAGTGTATGCTTGTAAACAGTCGTTACTCTCAGGACAGTCATGCTGTCGGCTGTGTTCTGTGACCTATTTCTCGTGCTGTCTGCTCACGAGTCTGTGCCTCTGTTGCGTCCCGTCACATTGCAGGGGAAGAAGAAATTGCTCATGTACTGTGTGGGGACCTTCCTTGTGAGCTGACGGCTCTAAAAGTGTCACTTAGATTATAAAACTCCTACTCAATTAAAAAAAAACTTTCAATTGGTAACTGAGATTGCTGGATTTAAGCAAAATCTATTCTACACACTGTGCTGCAGTCTGTTTTACTTGACAGCTACATGCAAACCCCTCTATCCTTGTTGTGTATATGCTGCAGCTTTAAACATAGATCAGTCTCGCTGGCTTTTTAAAAGGATTCAGAAAATATTCTAAAGATTAATGTTGGAGGTAAAGTTTCTGGCAGAGAAATGGCTTGGCTACATTACCCTTGCCCACAATTGGAGATGATTTTTAAGTAAAGCATCCCTTTTGCTCAGTCTCCTTGGGTTTGGGGGCAATCAAATAGAAAGATTTTGGGAAATGGGATGGGAGGGTTTTGAACAGAGACATTCTAGAATTGTTAATCACCAGCAAGGTGTGAGTTGGTCTGTCATTGGTTTTAGTCCCACCTTTGTAGACTTAACGAAAGGGATGTTAAATAATCTTTCATATTCCACCAACTTGATAATAATATTTGGGATTTGATGGGGAAAAAACTTGGGTCTTTATTAAAATTACAGTTCGTGGATTTGTTCGTAATTTTCTTTTTGTTCTGTCCTATTTCTAATACTTTGTTTTTATTTGACGTTTAATGTATTGCTGTTTTTTGTTTCCAACTGGACCTGAAGGATGATCGAAGCCTTTACTGGCTCAAATTGAAGCTTTTGTGGAGTCTTTGCACTGTGTGGAATGAAGTTGTGTTTATTTAAGATTGTCCCAACTTCTTGGACAGTCCCTCTGCAACTTGTTTCGATAGCTTTCATTGGGGGAATCGATGCGTGGATTATCAGTATTTGGTCCGTTAGATGTGGTTGAAAAGTTTTGAACCCACTGTCATTGAATTAGCGGAGATCGATCCCTTCTGGTGTTCTGAATGCTTCACGTCCAAATATCCATAAGATCGCAACATTACGTTTCCTCTGATTTAAGTGTAGGTCTTAATTACGGCTCTGCTTTGTTTGTGAAATGGCAAAGGATAGACAGCGTTTGCTGCTGTTGCACAAGTTGGTGTTGAGTAGCTTCATGTGCAGTGCTGTACTGCACACAGAAGCCCAGACTGGAGGATTAGAATGACTGACAGCCTGTGCTGACTATCACAACCAAAGTTAATGAGGTTATTGACCCCTTCCGCCACCTCCCCACACACACGCACGCGCTCACTCTCTCTCACCCCACACAAAGCATATCCGTCACCATATCAGGAGTGGCTTCAGTGGTGAAATGATCTGGGCATCGTCGGTCAGATCTGTTTCAGTGTGTCGGGGAGGGGATAGTACAAAGCAAAATGAGGGAATAACGTGGAAGGGAGGATTTGCACAAGAAAAAATAAGCCTTTGTTGCCACAAAGGTAAGTGTTCTTTATATCCAGGCAAAAATCCCTCATTGTGTTCAGATTTGATTTAATCCAATTCACATCATGGCTATTGTTTCTTTAGGATTTAGCAAAACTGAAGCGGATTTCGTTTGCACAAACAACTGAGAGAATGCTCACCAGTCTATCCCTACAGTACTCATTCCAATTTCGTTTGAACACTTTTAAACACACTTTAAACACGTCCTCCCACCCAGGGTCTTGGGAGGTCCTCCTGACACGAAAGGCACCATCCAAATGTAATTTTGTTGTTAAAGAATCTCACTGATCCATTTCCATCGTTGTTGAATCCTTTTAAGTGGTTTTCATGGTGTTTTGGAACTAAATACCACATGCCATTGTGTTCTTACTGTTAGCATTTTCAATACCACATTAGACTCAGGTAGTGTGGCCGAAACCAGGTGCTTATAAAGCTGTAACCAGCCAGTGCTTATTGAATTTCAAATGTTAAATAGTGCAATGACCTGAGACATGTCGCCCTGATGTCCTTTAAACCTAGTGCATGTGTGCAGGTAGTGAATGGGGTGGAGAGAATCCAATTTAACACTTGTTTTAAGTGACTGTAGTTTATGGTGGCTAGGTACCAGTCATGTGTAGCTTCACCTCCACTTTATTTAAACTTCGGCTGTAAAGGTTTTCAAACTGGTTTGACCAGTATTATTCAATGCTAATTTAAAAGGCATTTTTTTTCCAGGACGCTTTTTAATCTAATTAAATGAGTGCTGTGAGCCGGGTATTCCCAATCATGTAGATTAATGCCAGCCCGTCTTAGATTAGCCTCAAGTCACAGTGGGACTTTGAATTGATAGTGTAGGGTGACACTCCTATACGATGTTGGAGATGCTCTCCTTCGGTTGAAACGTTAAACTGAGGTCCTGTGTGAAAGTTAAAGATCCTGTGGTACTATTTTGAGAAGAAGAGGGAGTTTCTCCCTCTGTCCTGGCCAATAATCCACCAGATAAGTGGATTCACTTCACTTCATGGCTGTTTGTGGGAAATTGCTGCGTGCAAATTGGCTGCTGATTTCACCTACAAAATTGCAGGCACTCCACTCTACAGTAAAATTTTCTGAAGTGCTTTGAGTGCTTTAACCTCCCGTTAAAAGATCTTTCAAATTCTGATATTATTGTTATCACTGTATCTAACTTGCTTTATACAGATGGCTCCATCTTAATGTCCTCCTTCAGAATGCTCCATACAAACTGATTAGGACAATAAATCTCCTTTCACGTTCTTTGTTGTATCAGTGGGAGTTCAATTGATCCATAAAACTTACTACCGCATAGCTTTACTGATTGCTTTTCTTTAAAAAGGAAAGTTCTCCCATTCCCATCTAGAATTCAGTGTCGTCAGCTTTCCCAAGATTATTTGATGTGTAAATTTGCTTGGCGTAAACCACTAAGGTGTGAGGGCTTTTTAGCTCGAAATAAATATCCCCAGCTAACATTTTACCTAGATTGCACTTCCACAAATCTGGGCTCCGACTTTCCACCCAGCTGATTGATTATTTTGGCAGCTACTTTAGTAAGTAATTGTGAGAATATTTATAACTCAATAAATCCTTTTTTTTAAAAAAACAATTGGTTCAATTAGCTCAGCCGGGGCAGTAACCGAATCACATTTCTGATTTTATCAGGTCGATAGGCCCACGTAATGGCCACCTTGAAAGTAATGAAGGCAACCTATGGGTGTTAAAATAACTCATTCGGGCATAAAGTATGATGCTCCCAGTGAAGAATTGTGACCCTTTATTCTGAGGCTGTTTCACCCATGGAAAAAAATAAATACACTGCACTTTATACACAGTCACTGGTAAACGCTTTGGGTTTGTCCTCCTGAAGTGAAAGGTTCTGTACCAAATGGAAGTACAGTATTATTATTGCATAGAATCCTCTTGTGGATTCACATATTCCCGTGACCACTAAGAGAATACTAGGCACATTTCTCTTGGTGGAGAGCAACGTACAGCTTGAAAATCTTCCCTCTTCTCCCCATCTGCCCCCGTCCCCCCATCTCCCTATCCACCATGTTCAAATGTGTGCTGTTCCTTAAGCATTTAAAACACAAAAGTCTTACTGACCTGAAAACTACAGATGATGCCCATCTTGCAAATTGTGAAGTGATTTTCCATTCCATTAACTGAATCCATTGCTGTTGACTTGATTCAGAATCCATTCTGACTAGCGGCAATCTGGTTATATAGGAAGGTGCGGGTGTCATCATGACCCCGAGAGTTTTATCTTTAATCAGCTGGTCCATTACACCAAGCGTTCACAGACAGTCTCATTCTACATTCACTCTTTCACCCGGTTTGTTTTTTTTTTCTTTCCTCGTAGGCGGAACAAGAGCTTCGAGTGGCTCAAACGGAGTTTGACCGTCAAGCAGAGGTCACCAGGTTACTGCTGGAGGGCATCAGCAGCACTCATGTATGTCACAGGGATGAACGGAGAACGTGACGGCAAAAATGCTGGGAGATGGTTGTCTTGAGACCAAATAGTCTCGAGGTTTAAGACTGTGTGTGGAATATCGGAAAGGTTTTATTTGGGAGCTGTTTTTCTACAGTTTCTCGTAAGAATTGTGGAAAATTAGCCTCCAAATTTAAATGGCCCGGTATAGTAGGAATCTGGTGATACGCCACCTTTTGATTTTTTTTTTTAAAAACGAGTGAATATTTGAAGTATAAACTTTGTCACTGTTCTCGGAGTAGAATTATTTCCGCTACTATTTATTACCATTCATCCGGTGGTCGCCGCTGACTCAAACAACGCGATTAAAGTTCCTAACCCTAATCCTGCGTATTGTTGTGAGAAATTGCGATGAAATTTGACTTGAATGGTTGTTGCATTTTCCTATTTGAAAACCTTTCTCTCGTCAAACACGAGGCCGCTCTGTCAGAGTTGGTTTAGTTTATTAACCAAAGGGCCGATTGGAGCTGAATAATGTGCTTTGATGCTTGTTCGAGGTTTATCTTTCAAGTGTGAAAAAAGTTAAATTAATTCTCTCTCTTGCAGACTAATCACCTCCGCTGCCTGCATGAGTTTGTAGAGGCTCAGGCTACGTACTACGCTCAATGCTTCCAATACACGGTGGATCTGCAGAAACAGCTGGGCAGGTAATGAACCACATCAGCACGGCATTACTAAAACCTCGACTGCATGCCTTCTGACCCAACGCTGGTTAACTTCATCAATCCTCAGCTGGGTTCCTCGTTGTAGGGGCGAGAGTCCAAATTGAAAGCTGAAAATTATGTCCATTTAATTCCCTGGGTAATCTGAATCACTACTCGTACAGTAGTGTAAATGTGTTCACTGGTCTATTTCACTGTATGAGTTAATTCCTATAATAATAATCCTTGCATTGTTTTTTTGGGGAATATTCACTTTTATTGGACACCCTCCAGTACCTCACCAAGAGGCCACTTTTCATAAGTAGATCTAAATGGTGACGATTGGAACTGGGTGATGCTGTGTTTTTAAATTCATTCTCTTCACCCAGTGACCACCGAACTAAATGGATCCGTTTTACCCTCTTGGGGCAGTTGCTTTCGGTTGTGGTCCGATGTGGTGCCACTTAATATAAAATGAATTCTGTGCGGCCTTGTCTCGGTTAGAGTTGTAGGGTTTTGACAAAGGCCCTTTGGCACAGTTTCAGTCCAAAATGTATATTGCCAATCTCTTTGGGCATAAAAGTGTCCTTCAGCTAAATTAATCGTCATTACAAAATTGTAGCCAGAAGTCTGTTTTTATTGCCCTGATTTGTAGTGCTGGACCATGCCTGAGACTGTTGGTTATCGAAGGTCCTTTTTTTTAATAATCTGTAATGGCAGCCGACTTCTGTGATGCTATTACTCCTGCAACTGTATTTGACGAGAAACTCAATGCAGTGCTTTGATACAAGTACTGCATTAAAGGGCACCCCTCCAAGATAACATTGACAGATTGCTGCTGAGGAACACCGTGTAACTCGTACACTTCAGTAAATGAAAATCACAGAAGCGTTCAACTCATTCGCGTGTTTCGGTGCCCAGTGCTTTTTTTTTCTAGCAGTTTACAAATGTCCCCGGTTGCCCGCAGATCCTGAAGCATAAGGAAATCGGTGTCTGGGAGCGCAGCGCGTGTAGGTTTGCGAGTGATTCTGAATCTGTCTGCCGGGAAGGTAATTCCATAGTTCAGTGTTGGGGAGGAAAACTTGATGCAAGTCACTGCAGTTCACCTAACGCTCCTAAAAGGCAAGCGGTCTTGGATGGGTCAACTGTATAACATTAATAATCTCAGTGTGTGTGGTTCTTTATCTTTCATGCCTTCAGCTCCGATGGAGAAATGTAAGTCCACCCTTTGCATTGCCTGTTCAAAAGTTATTAAAGAAACACTGGAAAGATGAGGCTGGAGACGATTCCTTTGTAAGGAAACCGGAAATGTACCTGCTTCCTCGGTCCAAACCCTATGGATTATTAGCAAAGATGGTGCAGATAACAGTATTTCTTTTAAAAAAAGTGTGAAATCTTTTTCTCTCTCTCTCTCTCTCTCTCTCTCTCCCTTCACTTTTGTTTTTCAGGTTCCCCAGTACTTTTGTGGGTAATTCTAACCCACCACCTTCCTCCAGTGGCAACTCCCCGTCTGCTGCCACCATTCCTGTCGTCCCAGCCAGACCGCCCAACCCTTCAGCATCTTCGATGTCTTTCACCGAATTGAACCCGGCTTGCAGCGGGACACGAAAGGCTAGAGTGCTGTACGACTACGATGCTGCGGACACCAATGAGCTCTCCCTCCTCGCTGATGAGGTTAGTGCGGTCACTGTGGCACGTGGCAGTGGACAGACTTAGATTCTAGTCTCGGTCTATTTCAAAGTAACTGCACGTCTCTGTGACTATTCCCTCTTGTGTTTCGCGCGTTAACTGCTTAAGAGTGAACAAAAGCAAAGCCGTTTGGCTGTTGTGTTCAGGCCGTTACCATACTTACTTTTTTTTAATGAAAAAAATCTTCTTCAGCTTTCCAGCTCCTTCCCCCCCCCCCCCCGTTCCCTTTAAATGGATCGACTTCCCTGGCTTAATCCAATCGCTCGTTTTGAACGCATCAGTTGATCCGGGCCTCGATAGCCACTTACGGTGATTGATTCCAAACCCTCTGGGTGAAGAAATTCCTCCTTCCTCTCTCCCCTCATTCTCGTTCCTAACAAATCTAACCATTACGATTCGCTGGCAAACTTATACTAATCCTTGCATTTGATATAGCGCCTTGCCACTCCTTCGAGACGTCTCAAAGCGCTTCACAGAATATATTCCAAAGTGAAATTGACTGTATATTTTGTGGTCGAAACTTGACGACGCAGCTATAACATTTGGGATTAATTGGTGTTTCTTGTGATTCTGGCTGAACAGCTGATCACGGTGTACAGCTTGCCAGGAATGGATTCCGACTGGCTGATGGGAGAGAGGGGTAACAAGAAAGGAAAGGTCCCGGTCACCTACCTAGAGCTCCTGAACTGACCTCGATCCTGAGACAGAGAGAGGAAACACTCGCAAAGCACCGCACTATTAACAACTCCCATCTCCTTCATTCCCAGTGTGAATTGAAAGCATTATTTATGTTGCAATAGATCCCACCTCCACCCACACACACACACACACACTCTCACTCACTCACTCACTCCTGATAACTTCAAATGCACAAGAGCTCTAAATGTTTTTTTTTGGGGGGGGGGGCGAAAAAAATCTCTTGACTTATTTTTAATGCAGTTTTCTTACAATTTGGGAACCTCACTGATCTGCATCGAAAGCATCGAATTGCAAGTCATCGACCAATAATGATCGGAAGCAAATGTTTAGAGAAAATTCTCGATTTAATCAACAATTTTTTTTTGTGTAGCAGTGGTGTGGGAAGCCCCTGGAGCCTGTAGGGACTTCAGGTTTCTTTATCTGTTTTGAGGGCTAAAGAATCTCTTTAGTTCCTGCAAAATCTGTCTGTAGAGTTCCCTTATTCGAATCGATGGCGAGCTGTCTATTATCCCGCAAGGCACTTTAGTTATTGTGGAGCAGTGTCATGCAAATGGAAATACTGTATTTAAAAACCTCCTCAACATGCATTCGGAGTTGACCAGAGACCAAACTTCACGCAGCGTTTTGCTTCCGGTTGGGGGTGGGGGAGAGAAAACGTAAAGAAGGAAACCCCCACCCCTCTCGTTATACTACTTTTCTTTCATTTTAAATGTCACAAGTCGATCATTTCAACGCTGCTCTTATTTTGGATTGTTGCGTCTTCTGGAAACGCAGAAGTTTAACTATTAACACACAGTACGAGAGCACCGAGATTTGGGCCAGATATGGCACTGATTAAATTGAAGGGTCAGATCATGTACATTTGGAAAACAGTTAGTTGCAAGAATGATTTGTGTTCTGTGAGCTGAATGTTTAACCCATGGCAAACTAGCATAATCTTCCAGGTACAAGGAATTATATTTTCTAAATAACTAAATCACACTTAAAAGATCTACAAATCAACATAAACATCAGCTTCACACCATACTTACATCATAGTTTTCCTTTATTTTTTGGAGCTGATTTGCACTGTTAACATCAAGTGAGGACTAACCATTAATTTATTGCAGTTTTATCATTCTGTGCGAGTACAGGTCTTGTCTAGTTAAGGTATGTTGACCTTTTTCTTGTGTAAATGTATCGTGTTTAGTGGAAGGTCTCAAAGTCGTGCATTCATACCCTGGTTTGTAATGTCAGTGGATGTGTATGTATGAATTAAAGTCAATGTATTTGCTGCCTGTCGTTACTGTACTCTGCATAGTGAATGAATTGAAGAGTAATAAAGCATTCCTACATCAGGCTTCATTTATTAGTCTCTATCTCTATGTCTCTCTCACACTCTAGGATATTAGCTTAAATATTTTTTGTAACGGAAAGTTTCTTGAATGCTTCTCGACTCTGGTTACATGTGCATAGCTGGCAATTTGCCTGTAAACTTACAATAGAAACAAAACATTACTGTTTTGCATTTTAAAAAGTCCACTTAAGCTAATTAGCATTTGTTTATATTCATAAATGGAGGCGTTACACCACAGAGAGGTACGTGGTTTAATCCAGGGCACTGGACTTAAATAGCTGATGGTAGGGATAGCATCCATAAAATGGACTGATCCAGGGAGCCAATAAATATATATTTTATCTATCAGATAAATTGTACGAATTAAAGGAAATTAAACACAATGTACAGGCAAATAATGAACAAGTAAGTTGTATATTTTTCCTCTTTTCTGAGCACCCTCTGGAGGCAGCTTTGCCNTTTTTTTGTTGCAATCAACACTCGACTAAAAGTTTAAGGTTAAAAGATTAATCTTCAAAGATTGAGACTGCTCGGGTCCAAATCCCTGACTGTCCAGCGCCTTGGGACGTCCTCCTGAAGTGAAAGGTACTGTACAAATATAATTTTGTATTGTATTGAAAGTTGGAGGTGGAAGGAATGCTGTGAAAGTTGGACCCGAGAAGTGAATAGAAACTAAATTAGCAGCTGCCCTTTGGGGAAAAACATTGGCAGAATGACTCTGAGCCAATGATTAATAACCGTCTGCATTATGTAAAATGCTAAAATCGTGTCGACTGTAAATAAATTGAATGCCTTGTGCTCTCACTGCAGTTTTGTTGCTAATCCATAAATTTGAGAAAGAAGGTAATGAAATGCATATAAGGGCTGTTTCATTGTACTAAGAACTTGAGACAAGCAGCGGCTTTGAGTTGTGTCCATCGCCAAGAATTGGGAACAAAACCAGACACCGAACGATGTATTCGCTGGCAGAGCTTATCAATTTTTTTTGTTGGGAGGGGAGCGGGTTTGTCACACGCAAGATATTGGCTGGAGGAAGGTACAGCACTGAAGGCTAAAAGGTTCTTACTGTCTTAGAAACATAATAATCCTTGCATTTGATACAGCGCCTTATCACGTCTTGGCGACATCTCAAAGCGCTTCACAGACGATACTGTAAAGAGAATTGACTATATTTTGTGGGTGAAAATACCTTGTCTGAATAGCCACTGGTGTCAGTTTGGACAGTGAGCCGTGCAACCTGGGCAGCATCACAGCTGAGTCTAATCTAGTCATTTAATGTCCAATCTACAAGAGGCTGATGGCACTTACCAGTTCCTCTCATCGCTTCGGTTTCCGCTGCTCGTTGAGCAGAGACCACTTTATATTTGCCACTACAGCCTGGCTCAGACAGGACTGCACAGCGTGGGGAGCAGAGTAAGCCGTTCTGTGCCTTGACTGTCACTTTTGCTAACCCTACGCCAGCGGAAGGAAGGGTGAAGTTGCTGGTAAGTGTGCAATAACTTGTGGCGATCAAATGAGGGATGTGCTCCATGTTTTAAGAGATGACCCTAACAGTTTTGGGATATGACTGCTGTTTGGAACAGTGGTGAGTTTTCCACACCCCCTCCTTCCCCCACCGCAATACAACACCCCACACCCCCACATACCCCACACACACTGATAAGCTTCAACCATAAACTTTTCCAGCGCCTTGGAACGTCCTCCAGGCTGTATGAATGTAAAAATTGGATTGTATGTGCAGTGTATTCCTTCAGAATTCCAGCAAAAAGTTGACCGTAGCAACAAAATGGTTCAATGTCTAGTTGAGAACAGTATTAGATCATGGTGATGGGTGAGGGCCAGGGTAAAATGCTCCAAGAGACGCAATGATTTCTGTGCTATTGGCAAAGGGTTGTGGTCTGTAGAGGGAGAGAGGAAAGCCAGTGATTATGGGATGCCATAATGGTTTAGACGGACAAAGCTTTCTTCCTACAATCTCTGCATTTCTTCTCATCCCTGGGAAGATGAGGTGGAGGGGTTGTAAAATGAACTAAATTGCGCCGGGGTCACGTCATGATCAACAGGCGCTTGTAGGTTCCCTTTGGTTAGTGTTTGGAGTTTTAAAGACTGGAGGATGTTAACCGGAGGATTTAAAGCGCATCGTCTGTGTGTGGGGAGGGGGGGGGGGGGCAACCCGAGCGAAATAAAAAGTTCCAACGTTGCTGATGCGCTCTGAGCTATCTCCAGTAAGTGTCGTCCGCGTAGCTTTTGTTTCTTTCCCAGCGGCGCTATGATTTTCACTCCTTTTCAAGACGGGCGCACGCAAAAAAGAAAACCATTTATAGCTTGGGGTATAGCTTGTTTTTTTTAATTCCACGTTACACATACAATATATATTTTCAACAATCTACTTGTCAAATGCCAACATTTTTTTGAAAACGAGCGTGAATTCTGCGCGCAGGAACTCGTTGGAGAAAATCGGCTGCGGAGAGAACACCTGGCCCAACGCAAACAAATGTTGGTAACCCTCACCTGACTGCGGTCACGTAGCCACAGGCAGGGAAAAGGCTTGGGAGCGCATCGTTAATTTAATCCAACTTCCGGGAAACTTGCCGAAATGTCAATGAGATTCTAAAGTTTAATTAGGAATTAAATGAAATTGCATGTCAACTGTGCTTGATGCCATCATAAGGTAACCTTTCGTTGGCCCCACCATCTCCCTCTCAAGTAAAAACAGAAGAAAGAATGCAAGGCAGTGCTTTGATCTGTACCTCCTCTAAAGCAGGAGGTTTAATGATTTTCTCGCTGACGGTCGGTCCTAATTGCACTGATTTTCTGGGTGGCATCAGTGTAGGAAATGTCTCGAGCATTCTCCGTCCCCACACATTGGAATCCACTTTATAGTATATTCTGTGAAGTGTTTTGAAAACTCTTGATGACGTGATGAGCGCTATATCAAATGCAAGGACTATTATTATTATTATTATATATCCACAATGCCGATTCAGGTATGCTTTCCAGCCTGAAGTCACTGAATAGGGAGCAGGAGAAATCATAGGATGAAACTTTCTAAGTTTAAAACTATTTACACAATTTAACAATAAATTATAAGGAGTCAAGATAGGATATTGGGTGGGACTGAGTCAGGTCGGATTAGATTAACGGATGTATTAAGTAAGTACATTGCTAGATTTAAGCAAAGTAAAGTGCCACGATCACATATATCACCCACGCGATGGAAACAAAGACGCCAAAAAGCAAACTGAACAAAACCAGGGACCGGGCCTTCCCGGAGGCACTTTTAGCAAGAATCCGGTCTCCTCTCTGAGTGGCCATTCGTGTCTGTGGGGAAATAAAACCCAAATGACCAAATCATTTCAACGCTGAGCTCCGGAAATTAGGTTTGTGAGACGTGAAATGCTACAAGAGGGTTTTTAAACGGTGTATCTGACGCCGATTAATTCTGCCCCCCCCCCCACCACCGCCAAAAAAATACATCCAAGTAGAGTGAGTGCTGATGGGTCCCAAACATGTTCGACACACAATGATTACCCGGACTTTAAGTGCATTAATTACTCGTTCCTTAAGGCAGTTTAAGAATTATTTGAACGATAAGAACCATTGGCTGGCAATGAGGTCGGTGGGGTGACACTGCTGTATTGGATTTAAGATAAAATAGATTTTGCGGTGCTAGGATTAGGCAGAAGTTTAGGGCTCGGGCCACATGAAAATAAAATCTCGAGATCAAACATTTTAACATGGAGCATTACATCTCAGATGGAGGGATGGGTTAGGGGGGGCGAGGGAGTGGAATAGGGGGGAAGGAAGGGGGGGGGGGGGGTTGTAAAAAAAAAAAAGGTGTATTACACGTCAATCTGTGAACGGTTTCCTACCTCGTGCGAGAAGATAATGGCCAGGATTCCTGACAGCAAACAGCAGAACACTGTCACCAGGATAGACTCCACCATGTAATCTTTGGGTGGCCGCCACTGTTCCTGTGTTGGGGGGACTCCGGGTAACTGATAGTTATACTGCAGCCCGCGCAGAAATAAAAAGAGAAACATTGGCTTAGTGCGCTATACCACCGACTCTCGTTCACCTCCAAAATACTGTAAAGTCACCGCACATTCCCGGGGATTGTGTGAAGCACTTTGAGACATCCTCCTGACATGAAAGGTGCTACAATCAAAGGCAAAGATGATTATCATTATTATTACTATTATTATTATCATCGCACACAAAACGTACAGTCAATTCACTTTACATTATATTCTGTGAAGGGCTTTGAGATGTCCAGAGGACGTGATAAGGTGCTGTATTAAATGCAAGGATTATTATTATTATTATGACTGCAGCCACGGTGGTGATTGTATTGCAATAGGCATTGCAATCCGATCGCTGCTAAATTATCAATGATGCCAGATGAGCGATGCACAGACTCTGCTCGTTCACTGACCAAGTATGTGGCTATTATTTCCTGCGTAACACTGAATGGCGGAGGCTGTTTGAGGACAGGGTGCACCACAGCTGAGCCTGAAACCTCCTTCCACTCCAATTGAACGTGCAAGCAGTTTCTCTGCAGGGTTCTCTGGATAGCAATGAAGCAGTGATTGATTTACTGATCAATCACTGATCAAACCGGACTGATGTTACCAACAACTCCCCGATCTGTTCAGGCTGAGGCCAGTTGCAGTCTCCCAACTGTTGTTTCCAATGAAATCGGACAGAAAAAAAATAACAATAATAATCCTGGCATTTGATACAGCGCCTCATCACATCTTCGAGACGTCTCAAAGCGCTTCACATGTCTATACTGTATGTTTTGTGGGCAAAACGCGGCAGCCAATTGCGCACAGCAGCGTGCAAAATCAAATTAAATCAGGGTTAAACCTGTCACCTGCAAATTCTGAAATGTGGAGCAACTTTATTTTCCTGAACACGTATACAATATGTGAATTTTATTTATATATATATAATTCTTCAAAATATAGTAAGATCGGAACATTAAATATATCATCATTATGAAATATGGTCTATTAAAAACAAATATTCTAACAGCAGATTGGTTCTTTAGTTGTTCGCGTCTTAGTAATTCAAAATGAACCTTTTTAGGCATCCAGAAGTAGTGCTTTTAGTGTTATTTTAAGTTTCGGGAAAAGCTATAATTATACAGTGATTCGCTGTAAATTGGTACTGTATGTCAGGTCATGACAACAGCAAAAGCATTCATTTCTGTGAAGCCACATAAAAGAAAATGTCTCAAAGTCATTCACCATAGGAGCAGTGAACATGGAGCCAAAAGTAGGAGGAGGTTAGAGGTGACTGGAGGTCAAAGTGATCAGATTTTCAAACAGCGGGAGAGGTAACGAGGCAAAGTGAGCGTGGATGAGAGTTTCAGAGGACAGCAGAGCAGTCGCTGAAGCCCGGCTGCCCGCACCACAGCATGCGATTACTGTGTTAGCGCACAGGGTCCATATAAATATTGTGTCACTGCTACCGAATAAAAAGCAACGTTAGTTTTCTGGTGATATTTCATTGACACGTATAGATAGACGTGGTAAGAGGCTATATGTAGAATTCTGATTAGAATGAACACAGATGGTGAGAAGCCGAGTAAAGCTTCTGCTGCTTTGATCCAACAGTGTGTTGTCTTGTTCAATTTTTTTTTACTTCCTACACCACCACCTTGTGGCCTCTTGAAGTGACATTGCAAAATCATAATAAATAATGATAATCCTCGCATTTGATACAGCGCCTTATCATGTCTTCAAGACGTCACAAAGCGCTTCACAGGCTCTACTGTAAAGTGAATTGACTGCCTGTTTTGTGGGCGAAATAGTGCACAGCAGCGTCCCACAAACGGTCGTGGATTGAGTGACCAAATTATTATTTGTTTTTGAGGGATTAATACTTACAATGGAGAACGGATAAGGCCCAAGAGGCATATTCTGTTGCTGAAACAAGGCTTGATCTTGGGCTCCAGGCTGGTATATAGTGGGTAATTGTCCTGGGAAAGGGGTGCCATAGAATTGGTACATTAGATGGATGGCCTTTGGGTCTGGAGGAGAATATGGTGGAGGTTCTCCAACATAGGCTCTGTTTACGTATCCCAGTGCGTTCACAGGTACCTGCACCTCCCCACTGGTGTCTGTGGGCTGACGGGCACAGTCACTGATTCCTTGGTGTTCAGCATTCCTCGAGGAGTTAATCCCAGGGCTAGAAACCGCCTCACTTTGTTCAATAACATGGGTGTGGAAGGTCATATTCTGTGTCTGCGGTTGACTCTCGGATGTTCCTCTCTGTTGACGTTCATTGTCTTGTGATCCTTGGGGCCCATCTCTATCGTCTCTGACTGCTGAAAGAACTCAAAATGTGAGAACATGTCCCTGACTTTGTTATAATAATAATTAATAATAATCCTCGCATTTTATATAGCACCTTATCGCGTCATCGAGACGTCTCAACAGATAGATGAGACGATAAGTAACCCTTCCCTGGACTGAGGTGTATAACGTGCGGCTGAAAAACTCTTGCTGAGTGCACAAGCAGTTAATAATCTGAGATTAACCTCTTATTACGAATGACTTCTGCGCTGGTTTATCACAGCTGCTAATATATAAGCGACTGCTGAGTTTGTGTTCTTACTGGAGGGAACCAACTACTGTACAAACGAGTTCACTTAGTGGCCGGTGAGCAAAGTTTGTCGTTTCGGTGTCTTGCACATTCAATCCACTTTACAATCTATTCTGTGAAGGGCTTTGAGACGTGCCAATGACGAGATAATAATAATAATAATCATCCTCGCATTTGATATAGCGCTTTTCACATCTTCTAGACGTCCCAAAGCGCTTCACAGAACACACTGTAAAGCGAATTCACTGTATATTTGTGGGCGAACGCGGCAGCCAGTTGCGAACAGCAGCGTCCCACAAACAGTCGTGGATTGAAGATGACCAATTTATCATTGTTTTATCAGGTGGAGATCACGTGCTATAACAAATGCAAGGATTATTATCAGTATAATATTTAATTTCACTCCCCCGCGGTGGTCCGACGGGGCGGTGGGGGAGTGGGGGAAATGCCAGTTAAAAGAGAGGAATGAATTGTAGGTTCAGTCTGAATTCTACCGCTCAGCCTCGTCTTAACACTGCGGTAACTGAAACACAATCCACGGTGCAGATTGGGTACGTAACGCTCAGTAAGACGCCTGGACCGACCTTGGCTGAAACAACCGAGACGAGCAAAAGTCACCACATTCCTTTCCCAACCCCATCCGCCCCGTTCCACAAGTTTCAATCCTTCACCTCGCGTAAACGCAGCGGTTTATTGTGAAATACCTGGCTCCATTCTGCCGCTGCTTCTCCCTCGCTCGCTCCAGGCTGGTTTTATGTTTCTTGCACAAACCGGCGCTGTCTGCACTGGATTAATAATTCACAGGCTGTTTGTGGAGCTGTGTGGAAACGGGGAATGTGGAACCATCCGTGCCAGCAGTGGCCGGCGTCAGAGGCCGAGCTGGGAAGGAGACACGTATATACTGATGATAATAATAATATTAATCCTTGCAGTTGATATAGCGCCTTATCACGTTCGTCGAGACATCACAGGATGCACTGTCAAGTGGGTTGACTGCGTGTTGTGTGGGCAAAATCCGGCAGCCAGTTCGCGCGCAGCAATGACCTGCAAACAGCCCACGGAGCGAGTGGCCGATTTTATTTGTGGGGGGGGGATTTGTTGGCCAGGACACCGGGGCAGAAAGAAACTCTTTCTCCCTTCTTTTCGAAGAGCACCACGGGAACTTTAACGTCCACCTGAGCGGGCAGGCGGACGGACAGTTCTGCGGCAGCGTAGTTTTATTACACTCTCCCAGAAGTACTTTGGCTCTTATTGAGCACATTTCCTATTTTCAGAAGAATAAAGCATTAAGAAACGTTCGTATCAACCAATAGGTGCACGTAAACGGAAGACCGTGTAGCCGAGGTGAGCTGTGAATGCAACATCATAGACAAGTTCTGAACATGCTTTTGTTTTGCAGTTTCAAAGAGTCACATTGTCAGAGACGGTGGTTTGTAGGTAAACGGAGTGGATATAATTCCCACCAGGGTTGTGTTCAGGACCGAGACATTACTGCTCCCTTTGTCGATGCTTCTTAAATAGCCGTGTGTGATCAGACCTTTTCCATTACGACACGGAAACGACAGCGCACAACTGCACGTTGCGCACCGTGTGAGTTAAGACAGGAGCTTCGAGCTGGGTTCAGTGTGACTGGCGAAATAATAACAATAATAATAATAATCCTCGCATTTGATATCGCGCTGTTCACGTCGGGAGGACGTCCCAAAGCGCTTCACAGAACACACTGTAAAGTGAATCGACTGTATATTTGTGGGCGAACGCGGCAGCCAATGGCGCACAGCAATGTCCCACAAACAGTCGTAGATTGAAAATGAACAATTTATTATTGTTTTGGGTTTTGGAGGTATTGTTATTAGGCTCTGTGTGGAGTAAGGAAACTTGCCCGAGGTTTCGCCCTCTGCCTGGAATTGAACTCCGGTCTCTCGCTATGCAAAGCGAGTGCTCTAACCACTGAGCCACAGGACTCTAGAGACGTAAGAAAGGGGGCAAATCCACGTCTCATCTCATGAACAACAATAATAATTTGCTGGCGCGCCTCATCACGTCTTCGAGACGTCCCGAATCGCTTCACAGAATATGCTGCAAAGTGTACATTTTTGTGGGCGAAACGCGGCAGTCAACTTAAGAGCCCAAACCTGTCTAACGGTGGGTGTCCAGCCCCGTCATGGGGGAAGACACCATCACATAAGATGACGACCCATTACTGTAAAACAAAACCAACCACAACAACAACAAGATTCCATTTATAAAGCGCCTTTCACGTCAGGAGGACGTCCCAAGGCGCTGCACAGTTGGGTCATGACCCGAGCATTGGGGAGATGGTCAGGGTGAGGGGAGGGAAGGGAGGGAGCGAGGAGGGGGGAGATGGTCAGGGTGAGGGGAGGGAAGGGAGGGAGCGAGGAGGGGGGATGGTCAGGGTGAGGGGAGGGAAGGGAGGGAGCGAGGAGGGGGGAAATGGTCAGGGTGAGGGGAGGGGAGGGGAGGGAGGGGGCGAGGAGGGGGTAGAGAGTCGAGAGGGGAGCTGAAGGCTGAAGGTCAAAGAGAAAGGTTTTGAGACCGGCCTTGAAGGAGGAAAGGGAGGAAGCGGCGAAGGCACTGGGGATGGAGTTCCAGAGCCTGGGGGCTGAGAGGCTGAAGGCCCGGCCACCGATGGTAGGGCGGTTGGGGCGGGGGACGTGGAGCAGACCGGAGCCAGAGGAACGGAGGGTACGGGCAGGTAGGGAGGGGGAGTAGGAGTCCTTCTCCAGCAGTAGGAGTCGGGCTCCGTGGTAATGGATCACAGCAGCCGACTGTGGAGTCAGACAATGTTCGGGGCCTCCTTGAACCCTAATAAAACACTGGCGATGGGGCCAAAGGGGAGGATTATTATTATTATTATTTACGATTAATAATATTATTATTTATTATTAATTGTGGATTAATTACGGGGAATCAGCAAAGAACCCAATGTGTGTGTGTGTGAGTGTTTTGCACTTCCTCTCTTTAAACCCACATCCCCCCTCCCCCCCCCCTCTGCCCCCCCTCTCCCCTCCCACTCCCCCCCTCTCCCCTCTCCCCCCCTCTGCCCCCCCCTCTCCCCTCCCCCCCTCCCCTCCCCCCCCCCCTCCCCCCCCTCCCCCCCCCTCTCCCCTCCCCCCTCCCCTCTCCCCCCCCTCTCCCCCCTCTCCCCCCGACGCTGCCGCTGTGAGTGAAGGAGGAGTTGAGGTGTCGGTGGGCGGAGCCGCCGCTGCATTGGGAGAGAGAGAGAGAGAGCGATGGCGGACACCGCGGAGCGGGAGAGGGAGAGGGCGGTCACCGCCACCGCCAGAGTCAGGGGCGGCCCCTTCCTGATCGGGGTGAGCGGAGGGACAGCGAGTGGGAAAGTACGGCAAACACCCCCCACCCCCTCACACACCCCCCACCCTCACCATCACCCCCACCCCCACCCCACACCCCCCACCCTCACCCCCTCACCCCCACACCCCTCACCCCCCACCCCCTCAAACACCCCCCACCCCCCACCCTCACCCTCACCCCCACACCCCCACCCATCACACCCTCACCCCCACACAAACATACACCCCCCACCCTCACCCTCACCCCCACACCCCCACCATCACACCCTCACCCCCACACAAACATACACCCCCCACCCTCACCCCCACCCCTCACACACCCCCCACCCCTCACCCCTCACACACCCCCCACCCCCACCACACCCCCCACCCTCACACACCCCCCACCCTCACACACCCCCCACCCCCTCACCCCCACCCTCACACCCCCCACACAAACATACACCCCCCACCCCCCACCCCCTCACCCCCACACACCCCCCCACCCCCACCCTCACCCCCCACCCCACCCCCCACCCTCACCATCACCCTCACACCCACACACCCCCCCCACCCCCCCACCCTCACACCCACACACCCCCCACACCCCCCACCCTCACACACACCCCCACCCTCACACACCCCCACCCCCTCACCCCCACCCTCACCCCCCACAACCCTCACCCCCCCCACCCTCACCCCCCCCACCCTCACCCCCCCACCCTCACCCCCACCATCACACCCTCACCCCCCCACCCCACCATCACCCCCACCCCCACCCCCACCCTCACCCTCACACCCCCCACCCTCACCCCCCACCCCCACCCTCACCCCCACCCTCACCCCCCCAACCCTCACCCTCACCCCAACCCTCACCCCCCCCCCACCCCACCCCCCCACCCTCACCCCCCACCCTCACCCCCCCCAACCCTCACCCCCACCCTCACCCCCACCCTCACCCCCACCCTCACCCCCCACCCTCACCCCCACCCTCACCCCCTCACCCTCACCCCAACCCTCACCCCCACCCTCACCCCCCACCCTCACCCCAACCCTCACCCCCCCACCCTCACCCCCCCCACCCTCACCCCCCCCTCACCCTCACCCCACCCCCACCCTCACACCCCACCCTCACCCCCCAGGGCTTTGAGACCCTGTCGCGACGAGGCCCCGTATCGAATGTTGAGGATTAACATTATTATTATTATTATTATTATTATTATTATTCTTGTTATCGTTAGGACTGCAGTGACGGTTGCGCACTGAGCTCCGGAGGCACAGTGTCAGGCACAGGAAACGGCTGTCGTGCAACCGTAGCCCTCGCGTCTGATAACGCGCCTTCGTCGCGCAACACAGCGCGTTAGAAGGTTGGATGGTGCGACACGTCCGCATGGTACCGAACGCGCGTGGTTGCGGGTCGCACTGGAAAGGGGATCGACCGCGCGTTTTGTGGGCGGGGAACGTTCCTGATCGGGAGAGAAAAAGCAATCGCGATTGGGTCACTCCCTCCGCGACCGCTGTCGCGCTGGACGTACGGTCGACTCGCTCGACGGGGCGTTGCGTGCGGGGCTTTCGGGACGTCGCCGCGGTGTTATACGTCGCTGCATCCGAGGCAAGCGGTGTTCTTGTGGTTGTTGTTACCGCGGTCTCTTTTTTAAACCCGTGCAATTTCGCCCGCAGTCTACGGTTTGCGAGAAGATTATGGAACTCTTGGGGCAGAATAAAGTGGATCATCATAAGCGAAAAGTGGTCATCTTGAGTCAAGACGGGTTCTACAAGATTCTCACCCGTGAGCAACAGAACAAGGCATTTAAGGGACAGTACAACTTTGATCACCCAGGTAAAAAAAAAAACATAGCAGGTAAGCGTGGCGATGGGCTTCCGTATGCGTCACCCCCTCGGCTCAGCGCAGCTACAAAATCACTGAACGTACCGGTTCAGCGTTCTTCTTTTTTGTCCTCAGATGCTTTTGATAACGACCTTACACTGAAAACGCTGAAAGACATCTTGGATGGGAAGACCGTTAAGGTTCCCACGTATGATTTTGTCACTAACTCCAGGTAGGACGTCGGTCTTTTGTCGTTTCCAAGCCTGCGCTGAGTGTTAGGCAGATGTTCCGAGCGCGGTAGCAAGATGAGCGCGGGGCAGCGGTTTGTGGAAGAGAATGCTCGCTGACCTGGGACTAACGTACCTAACGTTCATTGTTGGGAACGGTTTTGCCCATCCTTTGGCTGACCGCGTGCGGTAGACTGGATATGGCGTCGGCCTGGCTCACTCTCGCACTCTCGCCCAAGTTCGAAGGTTGTGGGTTGACCCGCCGGTGCGGTGGTGGCGGTGGTGATGGGGGGGGGGGGGGGGGGGGGGCGGTTGCCATATTGTCAGATGTGCCTTCAGCTAAAATTGGTCATTTACTTCGGGGCTGTTTGTGGGACATTCCTGCGTACAAAACGTCTGCCGCATTCGCCTACAATGCACAGTCATGACTGCACTACTGTACAATTTTGTGAAGCGCTTTGAGACATCTTTCTGTCCACTGTGTGCTATATCAAACCCAAGGCTATATTGTGATATATGTCATATGTGCTGCACTGCCCAGGAATAGGGTTTTGTAACAGTTGTTTTATTTGAAACCCTAGGTTAGCGGAAACCGTGACTGTGTACCCAGCAGATGTGGTTCTTTTTGAGGGAATCCTGATGTTTTATAATCAGGCGATCAGAGACCTGTTCCATCTTAAACTGTTTGTCGACACAGACTCCGATGTACGTCTTTCCCGCAGAGGTAAAGCAGAAATACAACGTACTCTCAACTAACGGAGCTTTAACTTTCCTTATGATAACGATGTTCACGAATGGATAATACACAAATCAGACTTTACAATTATAATATGAATAGATAACAGTATTTGAAGAGTTGGATGGGGGGATAATCCTATTCCATATGATTGGTGGTGAAGGGGGGGGTTTAAAACTCTTTTCCTCTGTCTTTTTAGTGTTCCGGGATATGAAGCGAGGAAGAGACTTGGAACAAATTCTGACTCAATACACAACGTTTGTAAAGCCGGCATTTGAGGAGTTCTGCCTTCCGGTGAGTCTGCTTTGAATTTCTTTCAAACAGCAACTCCATCTGATCGTGTCCACCTCCTATTAGAGATCGTCAGCAGCAGCAGAGATTACGGAGTAAGATTCCTATTGCCTGTGGTCCATTGTGAAGAGGGAGGGATAAGATGTCACCAAATTAGTTCTGAAGAATTGATTGGTTTTTAAACTGTTTGTCAACTTATTTTCAGACAAAGAAATACGCAGATGTTATTATTCCCCGAGGAGTTGATAATATGGGTAAGTTTGTTGTTTTTTGTGGGGGTGCGGGGGTGGGATTTGTATGAGTCCTTCCTTGGGGTTGAGTTCTGCTTCTCTACATTCGCCGTTGAGGGTTGCAGTTTGTAGAACTGTTTTTCCTCCCCTTTGCTCTCTCTCTCTCTCCCCTGCAGAGGTGTTGTGCAGAATTAGGGCCCTCGTGAATAATCCCAGAAAAGGAAGGAGTCAATAGCTGAATGATGGCTCAAGTTGGGATTTTAACTCAAAGACATAGAGAGGAACAGCAGTGGGCCATTTGGCCCATTTTTCCATTTTATTGGAATATGGAGGATCTTTTAATTCCCATTCCCTTCCATAGTACCCTGACTCACTTAGTATATCTGTCTCCCTCTTAACCATCCCAATTAACTCTGAACCTACAGCCCTCTGAGATATTGCATTCCAGTCACTCAAGTCTTTAAGAAATGGTTTCATTTCATTTGTTTAGCCCTTAGCTTAAAATGACGGTTTCCTGTTTTAACGAGACAAGAGATATCTATCTAACTTCAGTGTTTTACACCCCTCTGAAAACTCCCTAACTCTGGGTTTCACCCTGCCTTCCATCATAGATAAAAGCCTTTAATCCCCGGGTATTATTCTCGTAAATGATCTCTGCCCTGCCCTAACATGTTCGGATCATTTAGATAGACTTGGAATTATATTTTGGGAGTCCGTATTAACACCTCGTAAGGTAACTGAGAGGAGGGATTGTGTTATATATACATACGATCACTGAATGAAGAATGAAAAAAAAACGTTTTGTTTCTGTTCAGTTGCAATTAACCTGATTGTGCAGCACATACAAGACATTCCGAACAGAGAGGTCGGTAAGCGGCAACGGGGGGTCATGGACGGCCACAGCAAGCAACAAAAACGCCCCTCCTCAGATCACGTGGATAGCGTGCACAACACAAGCAAGCGGGCCCACCTGGAACCCAGCAGCCGTCCCCACTGAGCAACGGTAAATACCCCCATGTTCCAAATACCAGTGCCATTTCGTGAGAGCCGAGAGAGTGAAAACAGAACGGGAGAGGAGATCTGGCCCCTTAACCACGTTCCTCCCGCACTTCACTCTCGCCGACGGACCCTGCCCAACCAATTTCAGTTCGTCGGGAAAGATCTCCAATGTTTCTGCGTGGAGGTAAATCAAATCGATCTGCGACATACAACACGTAACTCACCTTACATTGTACATTATGTATCTTTGACCATGACCTTTCCAATCGCTTTCAACTAAGATTTCTTACTGTATTTCTCTGTGCAGACTTCAATCCTGTTACAAACTAGTTAATTATCCGTCCATCTCTTTTTTTTAAAAAAAAAAGTATAAACCGGTCAATGACGTCTGCCCCATATCCAGAACTCTGCTTTTGTGGTTCCGTGTGTGGGATGGGAAAAGGGAGAAATCCTTTCAATGTCTTCCTTAAAGCTCATGAATCTTGCATGTGTGTCATCCAGTTCGGCAATCTAGTGTTAATGTTTCATGGTGTTCAGTCAACCTTTCAGCCAGTTTTCACATCAAAGCTGCAGCTGTGATGCTCATAATGGAGCACTGTGTACTCGGCAAAAGCATTTTAAAAAGATTTTTAATACAATACTACATTAGGATGGCAGATTAGCTTTGGATAGTGTTTTTCACGTCGGGAGGCTGTCCCAAGATCACCCCCTGACCTGCTCAGTTCCAGAAAATATAAGCTATACTCAGAAGGACTTTACACCAATGGTGTAACCTGCTGAAAACTGGTTACAAGACAACTCAGAGAGTTAGAGCACTCGCCTCGCAAGCGAGAGGACCTGGGTTTAATTCCCGGCAGGGTGAAACCTTGGACAGGTTTCCTTACTCCACAAGCCTGGAGTACAATCCCTCAAGAAAAAAAAAAAAATGTTGTCACTCAATCCACGACTGTTTGTGCGACACTGCTGTGCGCAATTGGCTGCTGTGTTTCGCCCACAAATATACAATCAATTCACTTTACAGTATATCCTGTGAAGAGCTTTGAGACGTCTCGAAGACGTGAAAAGCGCTATATCAAATGCAAGGATTATTATTATTACCAAGAAGGCAGGTAACCTGACATTTAAAACACACCATGGTTAAACATAGAATTGGGTATTTTTCATCCAAACCTCTTGTAATTTTGTAATACAAAAAAAGGGAACAACCACTAGACCATGTTTTACTATCATATGTCGCACTTAAAGGAAAAGCACAAGGTGCAATATCCACTGAAAGGAAATTAAATTCTACAACGTATTTATCTTCTGCATTTAAGAGATAGAAGGCTGGGTCAGAGAACATGGGAGAGCTAAGCTCGAGACATAGAATCGATCACTTTTTCTGCTTTATATTTCAGTTTGTTTTAGGATAGTGAGATACAGGAGTAAAAGTTTAAATGCATTCGGAACAGTTAAACCATGTGTTGACTGCGAATCTTGCACCCGATAGTTAAGACAGCAGTACAGGTTTGTCCCGTTTAAGGTTTTTATCTTGGTTCGTAGTTAACTTTCAAAATCTATAGTCGAAACAGGTAAAATTACGTCCTTTTAAAGAACTCAACCGAATTTTAAAGACAGGATTGATGCACATTGAATCTGATCACTTAAAAGGTTTTTTTCCACGCAGCTAGGTTGAAATTCCAGTCTGTGTTACATGCAATGCGTGATTATAATGGGGGGGGGGGGGGGAGAAGAGAGGGAATTCTATTAGCAATCGATTCTGTCTTCATTACAGAAGACAATAGTTGTGTTCATGTATGTATCTCCGACTGGAAATTTAGCCAATGCAGGTGTGGTTAGAGAAAATAAACTGAAGTTGATATCAATGTGGACAGGTTTCTCCAGTGCTCAGAGGACTAGATTGTGAATTATCATTACTGTTAACTGTCATGAGCTGGGATACAGGGAAATGTATCGACGTTGAGTGGGAAGAGGGAAAACATTTGTCAGTATTCATTCACTTGGTGAAAAAAACTAATTTTGTAAAAATGGATTTCGTCCCAGCATAGCTGCAACGTAACTGTGAGATAGAACCTGCTGTAGAGTTAGCAGAGTCTTAGTTATCTTAGTTAGACATAGTTAACATAACACTCATGTGGAGTATAAACACCAGCACAGACTAGTTAAGAGGTTGCATTCCTCTACAAGTTGATCATGGACGTAAGATAAGGCTGTCCTGAAGACAAATGGCAAATTGTTTCTTCCATGTGAATTTAATGTACCGTAAATCAAATGACGTGAACTTCAGTTCCCATTTACTTGAATGGGAAACGAAAATAGCAATAGAGCTGTGTGAAATTACTGTTACTTTAAAACCAAACATCAAACTGAGACACATGTGGTATCATATCTTTGATCCGTGAAAGTGATCGAGCAGCTTCCACGTTACTCAGCTTCACTGCTGCTGTCTTGCTCAAAGTAGTCAGGTCGTTGTTAATGGCTTGGCCCAAGGTGTTGTGAAACAGTTTGACAAAATTGTGATCAGTTAAGCTACACATTGTACAGGTTTCACATTTCTGCTCCATCAACACACAATCACAATAAAAGCATGACAAGCGTATTTTTTCAGAGAATAAACTTTATAAAGAAAATTGTCAAGTCTCCATACCTCTGCAATTAGTTTAACAGGTCTATTTTGCCAATTACTCACACATCTCTGATACACAGACATGGTCTTTAAAAAGTACTAACTTTATTGTAGTGTAGAATCTATGTGAACAGATTTCTTTTAAAAAATCCACTTTTTAAAAATCAACTTATTTGTTTGTACTTTGCCTCAGTTTTGACAATTGATCATTTTCCAGATACAAATTCTTGAATCCTTGCAAAGGGAAGAAAAATGTCACTGAAGTACTGAATAGAAATTGGTGTGTTTCAAAGACAACGCTTACGCTTATTATTACAACTTGTGGACATCCTGTGCTGGTAATCAAGTGAACTAAAAATCAACTTGAATGCCTTACTCTCCACAGCTGCTGCAAGAATGAAACTTTTCGTATAAGAACGTAAGTCTCGACTTGTAGTGTTCTTGCATTTATGCAAAAGTTCTTAAGACATCATTGCCCTGATGCCTCCACAGCTGGCATTGTTGTTAAATCCTCATTTAAGACTGAAATGTTACCAACACAATTTCTACTTCTATTAATAATTAGCAAGGACCTTACCAAGAACAGACCCCTCGTGGCCGTTCCCTGTAGATTTACAGTAAACTTTCAAAATCTACATTCAAAAAAGATAAAATCACGTCCTTTCAAAGAACTCAACCTGAACTCAATACTTCACTCAGGAGTATCTTCATTTAGGTTTACATGAGATAGTTGTATTTCACAAATTTTGTATTCCTGATTCTTTAGAAAAAAATCTGAAGAATGATTAACTTTTCATTCTACAATTGCATGGATAAAATGCACAATAGTGTTTGAACAAAAAACAAATCAGTTAAGGTTAGAGCAGCAGAAAACCACAGCACAACTGACACTCTTTTTAACCTCTCAATGCCAATACAGTTCTTTTTCAGTAAACAATGTTAAGGTGAGGCGTTCATATTCTCAGTGTTTGAAGGCACAACAGGACTGTCCGAGATGATCACTCAAGAAACACAAGCTCCTTCTGTTCCATTGCTGCATTTTTCTTGTTAAATTCAAAAGGACAACCTACTTTTCATTACATAAAGTTTCTAGATTCTTTAACTCGGGCAATGGGCAGTTCAGACTCTGGCTATCTTCCCAACCAATTCCAACGCATTGCTGCAATATCAGCCCACAACATTTCTTAACAACTAAGCATTGTCAGATTTTCCTGTTGAAAACCTGACGTTGCCCGTCTGGCTTAGTTGAAGGTTCTGCTGGAACAACCAAGTCTTTTCAAAGTTTATTACAACTTGGCTTAAAATAATAATAATCACCAGTTGGCCTTGAATTGTTACTGGAAATATTAACCTCATGTAAACAGCAAAGACACATTCTTATCAAAATGACGATGGAAGAATTTACTGCTTGGGCCCACATTCAGATGGTTATTGGAGAGTTTGCAAATGCATCAGTTTACAATGTCACTCCATTCCAGTTTCAAGATGACAACATATCCTCCAACCGCACCACTAACTCAACTCAATCTTTTTGTCTGAACGGTTAAAACTGTAACCACAAATCTTTAAAGCGCTTGCCGTTCTATACTCCGAGCTCACTCTTATCCTGGAGTCAACGCCTATCACCGTTTCCACTTGTGCCTCTTGTACAACAGTATCATCAGCCTTTTCATCTGTTACCGTTTACGTATGAGAATGTCCCAGTTGTCTTTCCAGCGTAATGCATTTAACTCTGATGCCAGAAGAGGTCGGACACCATACGTCAGGGGACTAAAAGTCCGATACACCATGTAGACAGAGGAGAGCCAGGCCACCATCAGGGCATTGAAAGTATTTCTGAGAACAGAAGACCTAAAATGGAGAACAGCAGACGTTCAGCATTTCATAACAGTCAAAGCACAAGTCCACATCAGCTCTACATGGAAAGGTCTCAACTCGTGATGAAAGATTTGCAGGTCTTGATTACAAAGCACTGATGCACTACATAAGCACCAATAGGGCAACTGAACTATTTTAACAGCCTTCTTTTCACACTTTCATATACTATATATAAAACACATTTGAGAATGTCTCCAAAGCACGTCACAGGATTACTGGTACAGTGTAATGACTATGCATTTTGTAGATATAGAGTTGGCATTGTGTAACATTCACCATTAGAAGCACACTGAAAAGGTTTCCCTCAGAAACTTTACCACGAGAAGCTGCAATCTCATCCAAGAGAACAGATATCTTAATTTGCAGCCTTGGCTTTTATTTACACACAGACTTCCCCTAAATGATAACTGTCAGGCAACAACAGAACTTGACAGAACTTGAAGAAAGGGAGAGAGGGGGCAGGGTGGAGGGATTGATGGAGAGTTGCAAGGACAGGTTTAGGCTCAGCTGCTATGCCCTCAGCTACCCGCACACAATGTTAATCCTCATATACGTATAATAATAATAATACATATGTACAACAGCCTCTTTGAAAAGGTGTTGGAAGGTGACTGCTAGTTAGAAGAATGACACAATATAATTTGTTGAAATGTTTTGATATGTTTCTTGTAAAATGATACCTTACGTACCAGAGGACCTCATCGTGGATGTGCTGAAGCACTATAGGTAAGAGGATGATTTTGAACGTGAGGGCAGGTACGTAATGATACAGAAACAGAGTTTTCTCCATGAGGAAGAAAGGCAGATAATTAACAATCCATCCTCCAATGCAGACAGCGCCTGCCAGAACCAGTCGTTCCCAGGAATCTTAATACAGGAAGAAACAGTAAGAAATTATTGTATAATTAATGATAACATATGAACAGCATCGCTAAACATTTGCGTTAAGTAAACGTTCTCCATTTAGCTGTAGTTCTATGCACTACTTTAGTCCTAATAAAATTAATCCTTGCAATTGAAACAACGCTTCACATTGGGAAGATGTCTCAAAGTGCTTTACAGAATTTACTGTAAAGTGTAGCGGGCTCGAATTTTGGAGATGAATGTGGCAGCCATGGATGGCATCGTCCCACAAACGGACAGCTTGGGACATGGGGCTTGAGCTCACCACCATCTGACTCAAGAAGCAAGAGTGCTGCTACCTGACGCCGCAACAGTACATATCATCAATAGTGCACAACTCCTCGGATCACTCGGGGCCACAGTATACGCTCCCTTGATATATTAAGGGACCAAGGTGGTCAAAATTATTTTTATACTGAAAGGAACCAAACAAAAATGAGAGTGACAGTGATTGTTTGGCTACGTGTTAGAGGAGGGCACTGCCAGTCGATACTGTGCAAAAACAACACCATTGGTCTTTATCAATATGTATTTTCACAATTCATTTAAAAAGCAAAGTACCTTCAGAGATGGAGTAGATTCTTCTTCGACGTCTCAGCAGATACCAGAGGTAAAGTATAGCGTAAGCAACAATTCCAATAGTTGCTGATGACCAAGTCACAGCGTTTCCAATTAGATGTATCTGTGCCTGCGGATACAAAATAATATTCCTTGAATTTGATAAAATCATGTAATCGAGATGGTGCAAAGGGCTTCACAGGAATTCCTGTACAGTGCAGTGACTGTCTTCTGCGGGCAAACGAGGCAGCCAATTTACACAATACAGGGCCCCTTTGAACAGCCACAAAATGAATGCCCAATTGTATCTCGTTTGTCAGCCTGTTCGGATGGATGTAGAGCTTTACTACGTCGTTGAGACATCTCAAAGCACCACAGAGTATATTATAAAGTTAACTGACAGTATACTTTGTGGGCGAAATCCTCTTTGAAAGAGTGACAGCACTTGAAAAGGAGGAGAAAGTATCAAAATAACCCAATTAAGTTTGTGTTTGTGTGTATGTGTATATATATATACATACATTTGAGGAGGGATGGAGCCAATAGGCAATATTGGTATCCATGTTTATCCACTCCAGAGGAGAGGAGCTGTACTTGTGCTCAGTCTCTTCATTCTTCAACATCAACATCTTCATCTGACAAAAAAAATTTCATGCTAAAACAGCCATTTTATGATCTCAGTCATGGAGCGACACCTCTTGTACATTAGTTGAAAGTTACCTTGTCCTACAAGATGACAAACCAGATATTTAATACTTCTGTATTACTTTATAGTTTCTCCTGGTGGAAGGTGTTGGACTTCCAAATAATTGATCAAACTGCTAATTCAGTCAACCTAACATTGCAACCTTTTCCCCCCCAAAAAAATTGAAAATGTCAGCTCGTTAAATCAGACTGCTATAGAACAGCTTCAGACGAGTGGTAATTCACCCCATGGAGTTAGAAAAATGACAATCAGTGCACTCAACATCAGTTTTGGACAGTTTATGCCTAATGGAAGAACAGCTGTAGTAGTTGGTAGGTTTAGAGGAACTACATTCTATTGAAAACAACAAGAGAACAACAATACGTTTACATAGCACCCAAATCTAACATGTTTACAGGTACCTTATTGGGAACATTGGTTAGATTTACTTTACTGGTAAGTTTGAGGAGCACATGTAATATATCATAAAAATAATCTGGTCAAAAAAATTAGGTATTATTAATTGAAATAATCATAGTTAATTGTACTCAACATTCTGAAAGTTCAATGTTTCGTCCAAACTACTAAATGCACAAGAGTCCACAACTGCAAACTTCTGTTTAGGCTGCAAACTTGTGTTTATTACTTACTTGTAATTCCAAGAATTTGGCCATGAAACTGATGTTCTTGCTGAAATCCATCTGTGATGGAGTTTGAAGCTCCAGCTCTCTCTCCTTCTGCTCCTCACCTGGGAGTGAAATGGAAAAAGGAAAATGTATTAACATTGCAAAGTATTGTAAAGCAAAGGAACACATTGCACATGTTCGTGAAAGTATTCCATCAAGTGGAACCTCTAATCTAGTGAGTGTGTCAAGTAGGGACAAAGAGTTTAACAAAGAAAATAGGGCATCAATGAATTGGGGAAATCCTAAAAAGTTAAAATTAAAGGTGCTATACCTGAATGCACAAAGCATTCGTAACAAAATAGATCAATTAATGGCACAAATAGAGACAAACGGGTACGATCTAGTAGCCATTACTTAAAAGCAGCACTTTATTCTGCTACTGCAGACTGTACATGATTCCTGTGACATCTAACTTATTCCAGGTAAGCAACATTTTTTACACTCATCGTTCCTAAAGCTGTACAATTCCTGATTCAAAGAAAACCCAACTAAATGTCAAAATGCTCCAAAGTCTTAAGAGGGCTCCCCATCTAGTACAACTCACAATTCACAAGGAGTCTTACTTTTCCCATAGCGATGCTCCTCCACATTCCACACCATGTTCTGGTGATACACCTTTGACGTTTTATCTCCAACAATCTCCAGTTGACGAAACCCCCAATCAGGCAGAGCAGTACTACTTAGCTACAAGGAAAAACAGAAGTCGTACATCACAGCAGCAGCTTCAAAGTTGAAGGGAAAGACAAGTAAGATGTCATTTTCTCCTCTTTTACTCCCCCCTTCACAAGAACCTGTGAGCGCAGTGAACAGGTTACCTACTATTAAGGGTCCATCACTGCTGTCCAAAGAAAGTGTGTAAGCTCTACCAATTTCCGCTTGGGCATCCAGCCCCCAAAATGGCAGAGTTCAGATCAAGAGTCACCAGCAGAGGAAATAACAGGGGTGAACCCACTTCCTTCTCTCCTCACCCAAACGACAACAACATGCATTTATATAAAGCCCCTCATGCAAGGTAGTGCCCTAGAGTGCAAACTAGACCGCTCACCCTGTTTCAGCATCAACATATTGCCCTCAGAACCTGTTAACAACCTAAAAAGGGCTAGATGTCTGGTTCTTTACATAATTCGACATGGACGATGGATGTGCAGTTTCTCTGGATACTAGAACTCCCGTGAAAATAGGTGTGATCAGTACAGCTGGGGTTTCTGGTCAAAGATGACACCTTTTAGTATTACGATTTGCAAGGACAGACAGAGTAATGAACATAATCTCTAAACAATTAATCAAATTAAAGGCACTCGGGAAATAGATATCCACTGTAGATAGAGTGGATTTAATTTTAAAAGCTATAGAGGATTGAAAAGCAGTAAAGTATCTTGTAAGTGGTTACCTTTAAAACAGCGGATGTATTCACATGCACAAACTTCACTTCTGATAAGATAGTTTTCCACCCTTCACTTTGAGATTCACGATTGACAATTTCCTGGAACACACACACTTAATGAACAATTAACTAATGGGGAGGCGGGGTGAAATACGTATACTGTAGGTAGCATAGAAATTGTGAATCCAACCATGTTGGGATTCTCACCTCTCAACTGCGGCATAAAACTTGTTCAGCAAATACAGTATTTAATATATGTTGAATTTATATATAGAATATTTGAGAATCTACTATCAAACCCTAATACTCACCACCCTCCAGAGATTCTGTGCTGGCATTGAGATATTGTAATCAACGTAACAGGAAACTTCCTGGGATTGAGGGCTCATAGGAGCTGCTACATCATGCCTAGAAAACAAATGTCATCATTGCCAATAATAATTATTTATAATCATTATTGAGTCATTCAACCTGATGCACATTTACACACTCTAAAACATTTACAGTAATCATTCTGGGGGAAGCTGTTATTGCTAAATGCCGCAAAGTGGCAGGACACAGACATGCAACAATAATTTTCCTTACAAGGTCTCACTCTCCGTAACTTTAGGGTAGTGTGTGTGCGCATGGGGGTGGGGGGGGGGGGGGAATGACATTAACTAGAGGGAGAGTTTTACAAAGTGTTGTACAATTAAGTTGTAAATTAGTTTTAAGTGACTCCGAAAAAACACTCAGAACTCGTTGACCTTTTAAAATAAGAATTTCTTGACATTTTACTTGCTTTAGGACTTCATCTTCTTTCTTGTTTAATTTCGAGTTCTCACAGCAAAGCAGAGTAACAAAGCACCTAGATTTTGGCTGATACGTACCTGAACTGAACAACTAATTTCCAGCTCACGTATTCAAGCTGAAAGGTTTCTTTTAACTTTGGTGACTACTCTGAAGAGACTCGTGTCAGCACAATACAATGTCATTTCTTTATTTAGTCTCCCGACACAGGAGGCTATTCACATCCTCCCAAACTACCACAAACCCTTTTGATCCAGAACAAACAAAATAGACTGTTTTAGTCACTGCAGAATACTGTCAATAAAATTCTATATAAATATGTGAAAAACCTACACAATTCTGGAATACTTCACACTTCTAGTGGCAAAGAGTTGTCCTAAAAGGTCGGACATCTCAGATGAATAGATCGATTGATAGATAGATACTGTATAAAACTTAATGCAAGTAAGTGAGATATTCTACATACGTGTTGAGATAACGTGCTGTCATCCCATGAACCAACTGCACAATGTCACCGTGTCGAACTGGGCGCGGGGGGTTACTGACAACCAGCTCCTGTCTGCGAATAAAAAGATGACAATTAGGGTGCCTGCATAGCTTACAGTAAAAAAAACAGCAACAAGATAGCTCTAAAATAAAACGAAAGGTCATCGACCTGAAACATTAAATCATTTTCCTCTATTTATAGATGCTGCCTGACCTATCGAATACAAGGATTATTTATTTTAAAAGTTCAGTAAACCATTGGCCTAACACCTGAATGCAGAAAACACTGTTCTTATTTCAGTCACAGCTATCGTATAACCCATCTTAATTGGTATTTTATTAAATGTGCCGCATTCTTCTAAATGCTAATCTTATAAAAACTCGCAGCAATAATTTTCAGCAGCCCCACAAATACATTCAATAGACCTGCATCATCATTACCCTGCACGGTCATTTATGCCAAACTCTTAGCAGAATTTACTTAGATTATGCACTGAAAATCTTTGATGTGAAAGCCACTATACAAATGCAACTCATCGTAAATACGATTCGGCACAATTCTTTACACAAGAAATCTGTTTCATTACTTACTTGGCAGGATCCTTTATGATCCACCAATTGTTCACATCCTTGAAAGGATAACAGGTTACCTGCTGTTGGTGGGAACTACCTCTGCCATCCTCATATCTGCACAGAAAAAAATACAAAGCACCTTAAATGACAGCGTAACTGTGGCGAAAGTACAGAAACTCTCACCTTGTGACATGACTTTACCTGACGGGATAGTTGCTCTTGTGGGAATGGAGCCAGCAGGGGACAGGCTTGCTCCATAAATTCCGTAGTGTAATCTGGGAACCGTAGGCTATTTCCAGAGGCTGTCCCTGTGTGACGCGTGCCAAGCCACCCTGCAAAAGAAACAAAAATGTGAATTTGTAACATGCACCATATAGAAAACCAGCCACAAAAGCATAATTTTATTGACCGAGTTGAGAGGTATTATTGGTGTTTGACTCAAATGATCATTGTTCACTTATGAGAATGAAATGTCAATGGGAGAATTGAAAGGTAGCAATCATCAGAGCTCAGCCGCATACGCTGCCCATGTATATATGTATTTCTAGCAGAAACATTAACTCAGAGGAGACCAGGGATTGAACCAGAGACCTTCCTGGTCATATTAAGGGATGCGGAGCAAGGGCAGGTAATTGGACTTGAGGCACAGATCAGCCATGAATGGCGGAACAGGCTCGAGGGGCTGAATGGCCTTCTCCTGTTCCTATGTTTCTAACACCATGTGGTGAATTTACCTCCACACCCAACAGGTGAGAGCTATAGCAATTTCAGCAAACAAAGCAAACTTTTACACACAATGAAATGAAAATTAAAAATTGACGAGTGTTTGAAGGCATAAGGCTGGAACACATGATTTACTTATGAACAGTAATCTGAAGGTTATAAAATAATAGATAAGTGTTGCAGTGGGAATTACTGAAAAAACGTATATACTCAACTCTCACCTCAAGGCTGGCCTGGAATGTGCTGCTCATTATTTGATCGTGGGGTCCAGAGCGGTACAACAAGGTCAGATGGATGTAGAAAATACCCAAATACAAGACTGCAGGCAGGATTAACAGTGCAAACACTCGGGCCAGAACATGACAAATCACTGTAACCTGAAAAAAATCAGAATCTACAACTTAATAATAATAATAATCCTTGCATTTGATATAGCGCCTGAAGAGATAATTACTCATAGAAAAGCAATCCGCCAATCGATTAACAACTGGGTTCCTTCTTACTGCGAGGTAAAAATAGAGGCGTGTGGAGTAAGCAAAGTTGCCTAAGGTTTCACCCCGGCTGGGAATCAAACCCTGGTCCTCTCACTTGTGAGGCGAGTGCTCTATCCAATACACTACATGAGTCCACACAATTCCTTGAACGATGGCTGCATGGAAACTAAAAAGCCTAGATGATTGTGGATCATCCGACTTTGCTGATATATTGAACAGAGTTCAATTATTGGACTCCAATGAGTTTGCTGATCTCAGCTCCAAATTACACTATATCAATTACTTTCATTATACACAAACTGCAACATATAAAGTTGGATCAAATACCTACATTTGATAATACTGTGTCTCCAATCAACTGCCAAGTATGCACTCCAGCAATCGTCAACAGGAGCAGGTACGTGAACAGTCCCATATATTTTACCCTGAAAACACATCAAAACTATAAGCAGCCGCATGCTTTTCTGGGACAAAAGGAAGAAAAAGAATGGAAATCGATGCTTGAAAATGTCTGAAAATACCTGTACATAATGCACCAACTCACAGGAGAGGAACCTTGCTATATTTGAAAACTAAGATCTCCCCAGAGTTAGTGAGAAGCGGATGTTAAAATATCTAAAATGTTTAATTACAATTATGTACTCTGTCTATTTTGCTTTTGAATATATTGTTCTCAAGTCTGTGTGGATATGGGTCAATAAACAATAATGTACAAACAGTACCTGACTGGCTCAGGCATTAATCTCCAAATGCTGCGTTAATCAGGGATAAAAGCTGGGGGGTTGGATAGGATTTAAATAGCATTCTGTGCTGTATAAACACAAGGAACTTAATACACTGAATGCATTATTAGAAAAATAATCTGAGCTTTTTAAGGGCATTGTCTGAATAAAATACATTGGAAACCACCAGAATCGAAAATGCAGTATTAGTGTGATTCCTTCACAAGGAATTGGGGGCGCAGAAATGAATACTCCATTATTAGATCCACTACTAAGCATCTTATTTGCTTGCAGCAGTTTCACTACCTAGACCAGATTTGGTGATGTTGTTGGGTAGTTTTCAGAAATCTGTAACAACAACTTGCATTTATATAGCGCCCCTCACGCACGGTAGTGTCCCAGAGCGCTTGAAACATGAAAGAACTCACCCAACGGTAAGTGTGCAAGCCACTCCAGTTAAAAACAGCCAGGACCACCAGCTCACTGAGAATGGACTGAAATAAATCACAATTGACACTATGTATTAATGCCTCAATCACATTATTTTCATCAGGTTATAAATCGGAAGAAACTTCAGAGACATTTAATCGTACCTGTGTCGCTGTGTGTTGTAGAATTTCAGATAAGACAAGACAGTCAGCAGTGCAAAGCAAGCTAGAACTGATTCCAGGAGCATAAACCGTGACTGAGTTATAAGGGAGTTTTCTGTTTTAAAAGACAAGAACGAAACATAACTAGAATTGGCAGCAGCGCTTGTTTACAAATCCTGACACTTTTACAATCAAATGCAATGCCATCAACCTCTTTGTGCATTGAGAGGGAGAAAAAACAATTTGTTTTTCTTTTTGTTGCAATACTTTGCCATTTATCCAAGTGTATTCTAAGCTGGTTACAAATGCAAATAGAATGAAGGAGAATCATCAACTAATTCAGGATTGAAACAGACTTGAAAGAGGAAACTTGATTTAACAGCTCATGAAATTAGGTGAGGGGGAAAAGAGATGAGATTTTTTTTAAATACGTTATATTATTCAAACCTAATAGGCTGGAAGAATGATACCTGCACCATGCTGCACCCTTTGTGAAAGGAAAGACTACTTGCAAAAACATCACCTAAAACTCCCTTACATTATCAATTATCAACCATCAAATCCCACACTGCACTTCGTAATTCAGAGCAATGCTCACATTACAATTTATATGACCTACATTTCCTCTGTGATTTTATTGTTGTGATCCTTACCGAACATGATAAGAAGGCCAGCAATAAGAGCATAAAGGTGTGAATACTGAAGCTCTATCACAATTTGGTATGCGAGTGGGATACAGAACGCCCCAGCTAGAGCTGGAAGGAGCCTCAGGTGCCAGACTGGGACATTCCCTGTGTATTCTATATAAAAAAAGAAAATGCAAACATTACTGCGGAGAATAATAGTTATTTACAAATTCAGGCAGAAAAATAAGATTCTTGCATTTCACCTCCTCTTCCCTTTGTGGGTTTTACAAGTATATATTTATACATAAGTTAGCAGTTTCTCATCCAAGTGGTCATTGCTCATATGGCAACACATCTGGGCATGCGAGGAATGTACATGATATTTGCCAACTCCAAACACAGAAAATCGAGGGGAAGGATGTAGCAGATGATGAAGGTGTGAATTAACAAAAATAAAGGGAAATCATGTCAAAGGTTATATAATCAGAATGACTTAATTTGTTCATCGTTGTCTTGCATTGAGGTGTACCAAATGAAATTAGTCACTCACTCTATGGCTGTTTGTGGCACACAGCTGCGCCAGAATTGGCCACAAAATACGCAGTCACAGCACTTTACCGTACATGCTGTGAAGTGCTTTGAGAAGTCTCGACGACATGATGAGGCACTATATCAAATGCCAGGTTTATTATTATCATCGCTAAAGTATGCAGAAAATGGAGCTAAGTAATTCTCTGATAGAGCTGTTTACGCACACACTATGTATATTTTTAAGAATTACACTGCAAGAGATGAGTTGGTCATCTTTTATGTATTTTTTATATCAAAAAATAGCATTGCATTTGATAATTTTCAACAGGTATTGGCTTTTTTTAAATAAAAGAAATAAATAAACAAACACATGGTGTTCTATTGAAAGCCAGGAGGTGGCACACACATAATGGATAAAAGCTTTTTGAACACGCAAGATCTTGTTGTCGATTACCACCCAACACGCGCTGTGAAATGATTGCTCACATCCATAGAGCAAAGGTAGTTAAACGAGAATCAGTGGCTCCTACCTGCACCAATTCTGTTCCAAACAAAGTTCCCGTCAAAACCACCAAAATAAGCTGAAAATTAAATAAACATCTCAACTCGGTTGTACTCTACATAGATGATGCAAATTATAGCTGTAATTGTTAACTTATACTGACTGAAGCCTTTACAAACTTAGGTTTTTTTCTCAATGATCAAAATTTCAGCTCTGAATCCTATGATATTATGTTGGGTAACCACAAGGAGCAATAACAGACAACCCCATTTGCCCTGCCAGAATAGCGTCACAGAATGTAACATGCAAATCCAATAACTTTGAAAGGTTAATAGTGATCCTGAGGGGACTAAGGGTTAAATTATGCCTTCAAATAAAACGAAAACAAGAGTAATCACTGCAATACGAATATGTAAAGTGCAGTAACTTATTCAAATGCATTTGAACAGAAATATATGCCAGTAATTTTCTTACCTCCAAGAGCCAAAATCATGTGACCAAGTGGAGGTCCACTATCATCGATAAAGAATATTTGCTTCATGTACAGAGAAACAAACTGTCCATAAAAAACTTCATCAAACCTGCAGAGACATTCGGAGTGTCTTGATGAATGAACCGCAATGTACAAATAAAACGTGCAGTAAAATTAGAGACAAATTGAAAGTCATTTATTGAAGAACTGAATCTTGCTGATTAACTTCCATTGACAAAAATTTAATTCTGACTTTTTCAGTTACTGCCAAATGATGTAGAAGATAATCTCGGACCCTGTGGTGCACAGATGACCACAACATATACTTAGGACCAATTCATAGCATCCACGTATAGTACTTGGTATCAAGGTCTGTCACATTGGTTTCTTGCAATCTGTGAGTAAATATTTCAAGCTGTCGCTTAAAATCTTTCAGATGTTCTCCATCTATTTTTAACAGACAAAAGTACTTTTAACACTAATCAAATCAGTGGCGACTTTTTATCAATTTTCATCGGTGTTAGTTGTGAGTTTGCGTGTAATTTTTCTTCTTCTCAATTTTCTTCTGGTTTGGAAAAAAATAACACCCCTCCGAAAAAAAAAACACTGGGATTTTATTTTGAAGATAAAAAGTGACTTTAATGGTCCTTCATAGATCGTTCTTATAATTTGCAATGAAAATGTACGTGAAAAGTGAAAAACCACAAGCACAGTGATAAATACTTACACGACAGCTTTGGGGTAAGACAGACCACAGAGTCTGCTCCAAATTCCCAGGCCAGTGAGAATGATCAAAACCAAATCAACTTGGACTGTAAGTATAATAGGTAGTTTCAGTACTTCCAGCATCTTTCAGTTGGTAGTACTAAAAAAGAATTTGAGAAGGATCATGAAAAATACATGTGTAAGGTAATTTCAGCCTAGTAACCATTCACAATGTTGCATTTAAAACTTAAAATAACTTTTATCTTGCCTTAAATAAAGATTTGCAGATACCTGTCTGATTTCACAAATTAACTTGATCATTTGTTCAAACATTGTTCAACAGATTGACAAATCCATATGAATCAGTGTCACTTTCACAAATACAGGAAACTGCAATTTAGAGGCAACAAGATCTTATGCACATTGTCCTGTGCTCGTTGGTTAGGTAATGGTCACCATAGACCTTGTGAAGTCAACGGCCTTTAATAATCTTAATAAAAATAATTTGTACATTTGATATAGTGCCTTTCACATTGGAAGGACGTCTCAAAGTGTGATCACAGTGTAGGACTGTATAATTTGTAGAGAGTGAGCTCATGAAATGGTTATTAGTTAATAAGAGATGCTCGATTTATTTAGGTAGTACCTGTGTAAAAGTCTTTACGTTTTGGTGGGGGGGGGAATTCCAACCTTTGCTTCATTCAAAGTGTGGTAGACTTCATAAAATAGATAGGCACAGATCGCCTAGTTCGACGGAGCTGTTTGTGGAACACTGCTCTGCGCAAATTGGTCGCTGTGTTTGTAGACAAATAGTCACTACAACTTAACAGTGTATCCTGTAAAGCACTTTCAAGACGTCCTCCTAACAAGAAACGCACTGTGTCAAACTTAAGGGTTATTATTTTTAGACTTACCCAAGCGGAAGGAATGGACAACCAGTTTTCGTTTGGTTCTACCTCTCTTAACACAATGTGCTTCTTAAATCTAAGCAGCCAATGGACTGAGAACACAATATCTTTGCGAGGCCCAGCGATTGCATGGGGCGTGGAATTCGATCTCACGCTTTCAAAACCATTTCTGTACACCGTGTTCCCTTTCTCTCTCTCCCCCACACACACACAATCTGTAATAAACCTGTTGCACCATTTCTTCCAACCCATCAGGTTCCGCCAACGCGCTCCTGGATTTGACAAAATGCGTACGGTCAATTCACTTTGCAGTCTACTCCGCGAGGCGCTTTGAGACGTCGAGAAGACGTGATATATCAAATGCAAGGATTATTATTATTATTATTATTAATAAAAGCAATCGTGGCGGAGTATTTTGCTGCACTGATTTCTCTCCCCACCTGCGCCTTAGCGTCTGCTGCTGTCGAAAACAGCTGAAACCCACCGACGCGTCCGGCGCGAAGGCAAACGAACAGCCTCCGCCGACCAACCGCTTAACCTCCCCCTCAGCTGCACTTCCGCGGCGATACTTTGGCGGCACTCACAATAAAGTCAACCCCTTGCGTTCTGATTCCTCGCTCGCGCATCGACCACGACCACGACGACAACAACAACAACACGGTCGCGCAGCCCCGCGACGGTTTGTGGGGACGGCCGCTGTGGGCGGTTAGGCTGCCGCGTTTCCGCCCACGGGAGGTTAACAGCTTCGCGGCGCAGCCTCCCGCGAAGGGCTTTTGCGACGCGACCGGGCGCCGTATCCAACGCGAGGATTATTATTATTATTATCATTATTAACAACAACAACAACTACGATCACTTCTCCCGGCGGGACCTTTAACCGCGGCCGGTTTAACTCCCTCCCCCTCCGCCTCCCCCTCCGACAATGACTCCCGTTGGTGGGGGGAAACCCCCGAAGAGCGATCCCCCTCATCATTATGATGACGATGGTGATCATGTTTTACTGTCGCGATTATTGTTATCCTTATATATATATATATATATAAATGTACATCTCAATAACTGAAAAAAAAACGAAAAATGAATGAATTAAAAGAAAAAAAAAATTTTTTTTTGGGGGGGGAAGGGAGGGAGGGGGGGGGGGGGTTTGTTCATTGGTCAGACAGACCCCCCCCCCCACACTTTCCCCCCTTTTGGTGGACTTTTTCCCACAACGATTCTCGACCGTTTGGTGGTGATTTTTTTTTTGGGGGGGTGGTGGTGGTGGTGTGAGGGTGTGGGGGAGGGGAGGGAGGAGGGGGTGTTCCCCCCAACCCAACCCCCACCCCCCCCCCTCCCCCCCCCCCCCCTCTCTCTCTCCCCCCCTCTCTGTGTCTGGGCTGACCTGCTCTGGTGTATCCTTCCCTTCATCCAGTCCACTCGCTTCATCCCCTCATGGCGGGTGGGGTCCAACTCAGCTCAGCTCAGCTCAGGCCGGGAGTGGGGGGGGGATGGGGTGTGTGTGTGGTGGGGAGTGGGGGGGGGTTTGGGCCTAGTCGCCGGTTCGCAGCCTCGGAGTTGCGGTCGACCTGGACCCCGCCTGCGGGCGGTGTGGCTGTGGAGCCGACCCCGGGTCGCACCTCGGGGGGGGGGGGGGGGTTGTGTGTGTGTGTGTGGGGGGGGGGGGTGTCTGCGCTGAGCTCGGCTGCTCCCCCCCCGGGGGGTTCAAACGGGGCAGAGAAAAGCCGCCCCTTCGGCTCTGGGGTCGCCCCTGGCAACCGGTGGGGGGGGGGGCCTTAGCAACCGGGGGGCCCGCCCTTAGCAACCGCCTCCCCCAGGGAGCAATGGCCGCCCCAACCCACTTGGTATTGCTCTCCCTCCCTCTCCCTCTCTCCCCCCACCCACTCCCCAGGGCCAGGGAGAGGGGTGCGCACCCACCCACCCACCCACCCACACCCCCTCTCTCTCTCGGTGTGGGACGTCCCGAGGGGCGCCATTTGCTGTCGTCATCGCGGCGGCGGTCGAGGCGGGTTTCGAAGGGGTTGGTGGGGGGGGGAGTGGGTGGGTGGGGGGGGGTGAGGAGTCGAGGCGGAGAGCGACCCGGTCACCCGACAGGGCGTAGACCCGGCTCCGGCGGACCGGGAGCGAGGCGGGGCACGGGGTGGGTGGGGGGACGGGGGCGGTGGGGGGCCGACACCGGGGAGGCGTTTCGTGTCTCATCGGGGGCGCAGGACTTCCCCCGAGAGGAAAGCGGGAAACCCTATTTTACAACCGGGTAACCCGAGCGGCCGTCTGCGGGACGGACGGCGCCTTTTGCGTCTCGGGAGCCGCGGTATCAAATGCGAGGATTATTATGGCTGTTATTGTCGTCCCAACAGTTTTAATGTCGGTGGCGTTCATTCACGGCAGTGCGTACATCTTCCCTGATGAATCCACGCGTCGGCAAAGAAATACGCCGGCGCCAAGTATCACGACACGGCCGAACAACAACTTGCACTTCTCCAGCCGCGCCCTCCGCGCGAAGCAGCGCCTCGAGAGCGCTTAACAGCGGCGGAGCCCGACTCCCGAGCCGCGGGGGGAGGTGACCGTAGGCACGGTCGAAAATAATAATAATAATAATAATCCTCGCATTTGATATAGCGCTTTTCACGTCGGGAGGACGTCCCAAGGCGCTTCACGGAACACACTGTCAAGTGAACCGACTGTATATTTGTGGGTGAACGCGGCGGCCAATTGCGCACAGCAATGTCCCACAGACAGTCGTGGATTGAAAATGACCAATTTATTATTGTTTTGGTTTTTTTTGGAGGGATTATTATTAGGCTCTGTGTGGGTGGAGTAAGGAAACTTGCCCAAGGTTTCGCCCTCTGCCTGGAATTGAACTCAGGTCTCTCACTGGCAAAGCGAGTGCTCCAAACACTGAGCTACAGGACTCCACGAAAAGGAAGGTTTTCAGGCAGAAGGATTACCGGACGTACGGGAAGGTCACGCGCTTGTGATAGCAATGGGGTTCTTCGTTTTGCAAACGTCAAACAGTGATGCGGATTGCACAGAAACAGCAAGTGTTTATTGGATCAGCAGATAGTAAAGAGAAACCGTACTCCTTTTTAAAAAAAAACTCGAACAAGCTTTTGCCTTTGCTGCACCGATAATTTGACCTTTATTAAAAAAAAGATTAAAATTAAAAAATAAAATTCAGACCCTCGTTGTTCTGTGGGAAATTATCTTGCGTGACCCTGCACAGATGTTCAGGCCATTTTGTTCCCTGGAACTGAAATAGGATGGGGTAGCATTTGAAAATAAAATTGTTGGACAAGTTAGCGATGCATGAATAGCCTCCTGAATAAAAGGATCCTTACGCCTTTCATGTAAAGACATCTCAAAGTGCTTCACATGATTTGCGGTGAAGTGTAGTGTATGTGTATTCCGTAGGCAAACGCAGAAGCCAATTTGCACCCGGCGTTGTTCCACCGACCGCTATGAAAGATTAAGACTTGTACGGAATTAAATCCACGGTCTCTGGAAGCACAGTGACTTCCCTTCTTCAATGCAAAACAAAAATGATGGTTGGAAACATATCATTACCCGACAAGAGTTACGTAAAGATGTAACAAAACCTTTTGCATATTTGCTCCAGCGCCAAACTCAATGAGGCACAACCTCATTGACGTCGAAGTCGAAGATGATGAGATGGTTTCTTGCTCGGGCTCTCTCGCTCATCAGTGGTCGGATAATGGTTTGGAAAAATGTTTGTGCAGCTTTATGTAACACAGTTGGAAGAAATAAAACAGTTCCAAGTTTTCAGTTCAAGTGAGTACATTCACTTATTTTAATCCCTTGGGAGGCAAAGGGAAGGGGAGCAGAAGGAAAAAGGCTCGAGGCTGCTGGTCTGAACAATTGATTACTTGCGGTGTGACAATCAGAGTCAGCTGCTGAATTCCTTATTTAGAAACGTCATACATGTAGTATTTTACAAGTCAAAGAAATGGTGTACTGGACAATGAAACTTTCACAACTTTGTTCTCATAATAAAACATTTATACATTACTGGAGAATACAATAACGGACCACGTTACCATACGATGTTTCGTCAATTTTCTGGTCATGTGGTGCCTAAACTGCAAACATACTCTATAGTGAACGAAGGGTCCATTTTGCTGAAAAGCAGGTCAAGTTCAACAAGAATCAAAACAAATACTGTACATTGAATGCAGTCATCATTTGGATTTAAAAAGTCTCTATAGTATATTAGCAATTCTAGATTTCAAACACCCAGGGGGAAAAAAAAATAACAAATTATTTGGTCATGTGAAAAAAAAGCATCAGCTGCTTTATTTAAATAAACCAGATCCTTTCATATGGAAAGAGCTATTACAAATCACATATTTGAAAGGATAAACAATAGGTACTGAACTGTAAACCAGAGGCCCCTCCCTTCACCCCACTCAACCAGTCCAGCCTCATTAATAAATAACTCCTCAGTGTACACAACATATCTATAGTCTGCCCTTTCAAATATCAAATCTACACGAAAAACAATAGATAAGGCCAAAAGACAAATATGCACGTTTCTGGTTATACACAAATAAAGTAATAACAAATGTCAGTAAAGACTTTCAAAGAGCTTGAAACTCAATTAAAGTGGAACATATAAAAGTTGCAGGAAAGCAGTGGGGGCTGGAACTTTCCAGAAACGCATTGCTCTCAAAATACATCAAGGACATGTTGAGGAGCTGAACTGAACGTCTCTCCTCTTCTTCCCACCCTTACGACTCGGTTTGATACAAATCCAATTGATCCATCATTGGAAAACGAACACATACAATACATCCAATTCAGTCACTTCATTTCAGGCTGAAATTCAGCTTCCTGCGACCAACTGTCACTTCTCTCTCTTCCCTCATTCTGCTGAGAAGACAGGAGCATTAGCACCACTGCACAATAAAGCTATGATAAAGATTAACTTGCATTAAGAAAGAGTGAAACAAAACAGGCAGCTGATGGGACATTCCTTTTTGTTGGAACCTTGGCGACTAAACCAATTATAAAAAGATAAGTGGATGTTACGTGGCTTACTACCGCTGGGCAACAGCCTCGGGCAAAAAAACAAGTTGAACTAATTCTCTGAAACCATTATATAGTTTAAAACTACAAATAAACTCATAGAAATAACTGCTTAAAGAAACACAATCAACAATGAAGATGTACTTGATTGAGGAACTCAAATCAAATCTAAAGTTGAAATGGCTTAGGTAGGGAATTCGTTTGTGGGTTTAATGAAGACGTGCATGTCTCTTTTGGCCCCTCCATTGCACAGAATTGTCAAGACAATATATAAATAATCAATCGATGTGAAACATACTCTCTGCTGGTACATTTCTACACTTCAGTACACAGTAAATAATGTAGTGTTCAGAAGAGACCAATGATTCAGAGAACAAACTCATCAGTGGGACAATCACCGATAAAGTGTGATCAGCAATGCTATATGGGATATCATAGCAAACTATAACCCTTAAGATTTTTTTTTCTTAATGAAACCGTTTTAATCGTTTAATCGTTAAATCTGAGGCTCATTTTCGGGCTAAGAAAGTGAGTAGCAAGCCACAAACTCCCTATCTGTAAATAATACGACAGGAAGCACTTAAGACAAGTTGGTTGGGGCTGGCAGTTCCTTTATGGTGGCATTGCCCACTTCTTGGCTTAGTTGGAACAATTACAAATGATGATGGTTTCGGCTTGAATGCAGAACTACGCTACAACCTGAGAGCAGTGAGGCTAGCACTCCATCCAGCACAGTGTAACAAATCCATCCATAAAACAAGATAAGCCCGATTGATATCCTTTACACTACGGAAACACCAACAATGAAAAAATACGATTAAAATGGCAGCAAAGTATTAATTCAGACAACAAATTGGATGGCCGTTGTTCCAGAGCTGCCTGCCATCTTGGGAACTAATGTATTAATTCAGACAGCGAATTGGATGGCCATTAATCTAAGTTCCAGAGCTGCCTGCTATCTTGGGAATTCTCACCCTAGCTATATCTGTCTACAGGAAGGAACACAATTATGCTGAAATCCTCTTAAGCACAACCAATCAGGGATCTGCATTGAATTCAAGAGGGGGGACAAAATCTCGGCCCATCTTATCATCATTATCAACTAGTGAGTGGGTGTATGGAAAGATTAAAATTAGTTCTCATTTGCCCTTTTCACTATTAAAATCTGCATTTCCAAAAACAATTGTGCCAGAAGGCGGGCGACACATTCTGCAGTTTTACCGAGCTGGACAGGTGAGTATCACGATGCCTGGCTGGTTGCTCAATTTGCGCAAAAATCCTAGTTCTCGGATAGCAGGCTTGAATCTCTTACATGATCAATGAGTTACACTGGGTGTGTACATAGAACTAACATGCTGATTAATACCGGTTTAATGAGTAATTTACAGGGTACCATTTTACAAGAGAAATGGTGTTAACATCTCAATCGTCTTGATGACTCCCTCTGCCCTTCCCATGTTAACAGGACGTTATAATGTTGCTTGCATAGTCAATTTCAAAGTAAATGTGTCAGCACTTTTTCTAACACAACTGGACTGCGTTGTTCCATTTCAGCGACTGTTGTAAAATCCAGGTCTTTCGCTACTTGCCCCGGACCCGGAGTACTAATTAGCCACAATTAATCTCAACACACAATTACTAAAGTAAAGAAATTCATTGGAGAGTATTAATTTTGTGATTGGAAAAACTACTTATAGACAGGGTTTTAATACACGTTTACATGGACACTGAATGCACGTCGGACTGAAATTGGAAAGAGATCAGTGCTAAATTCTCCCCCATTCCGAAAAGTTCACTTCCATCGAAGCTGTTATGACATTTGTAAAGATGCAATTCCAGAGGTTACAACAGGTTTCAAAAATTAAAAGGTCTTGAATTTCCCTCCACATTTAACTGATTAGATTCTGCATTTCCAAAAACAAAATCACTTAATTTCGCTAACATTTTCTAATTCAAGAGTTTCAAATTTGGATTCAAAAATGGACTCAACATCCATTTCAGGACTTTATGATCTTCAAAACCACTGCTCAAGTAACACAGTTCTACACTGGCATATTCTGCAATAAACAGTGCACCACAATCAAGGTAATGAGACTTTTTAATTTCTGAAACAAAATGATACACTATCTTACGTATCCTTAAAAACTTCCATCTGGATTTTCTTCATTACACCTCAGTTACAAGTAAAATGGCTTCAGAATAGGAATCTCACACAATGCCTCTGCTCACACAATTCATTAAAGTCTCTACAGTTATAACTGTCAGCAAAGATAGAAATATCCTGATCAAATTGGTAAAGGAAACAAAAAAAATCCGAATGGTGAATCCCACTGGAGTAAAAACAGTCCCCCAAAATCTATACCATATCTACTGCCTGTTTGATACTGTGCTCAGCCAAGTATCTGGACTCTACCTACACAGAATCAGGTCCAGCTTTCTGTATTTGAAAATGAGTTTCAGTCCAGTCAAAAGGGCAGCTCTACTGTGGTGGAGAGCTCAGCAAAGTGGTATATTTAGCCATATGTTCAGGATGTGGAACATATCCACAGTTACTGATTTGGATTCAAGAATAATTGGAAAGCCATCAGTAGCAGCAAGAACATTCCTAAAATGGTCCCTGACAACTACACCAGAAGTCGTGGACAGCTGGAATGCACCACAAGTCTGTTTCAACATGGTCATACAAGGCAGTGTTCATTTTAATCTGTCAATGCTAAAAAGGTCAACTGGGCCAGCTTTCTTCCAAATAAAATGAACTTGAATCATATCATTTCATCACAACGTACTGCTTAGCCAAGGGTCACATTGCAGAATAAAATCCCTACACTAGATTCCAAAAATCCCTACACTAGATTCCAAATCACATTTAAACATGGATTCAGTGAGTCATTTACAGACAAATGGAGGACAAAAATTCATTTTGTTGCACGTGTGTTAAAGTATCTATGTACAATGTAGTCTGGTGATCTAAATACCACAAGTGAGACAGTCCTGTTAAAGATGAACCATCTGCAGTAGCCCATTAATACTGATATTAAAGTTGCTAAATTATCATAGCTGCCTCATCTACGTATGTACTCTTATTTATTGTATTTACACACATGCACTGTACAGTTTATGACTGGAGAGCGAGGCATTGCTCTTAGGGAATATGTCAAGACAATCCTTGTACCAAACTATGCTCTCCTAAAAGAATATTCCAACTTTGCAAAGTCAACAATTTCTTGCTTCCCAAGTGGTAGCAGTGTTTGGAGAAACCAGGAGCTAATTGAGATAACCACCTTGACACGAAAGAGTAATAAACCGCTTTAGAAATTAGGTGCTACTCCATAATCCAGTCTCATTGGTTGCAGGCAAACTCGCCGGTGGAAGTTGAAATCTAGGACACTATCTTTAGTGGCAAAATGATTTAGGGACAAGGTTCGAGTCCTCCCATCATTTTCAGCACAATTTGCCTAAAAGAAATGTGAATAGATTTGGAGCATTGCACTGGTTGATCCTTTTGTTTAGGAAAGTATTACATAATCTATTGCATTTCCAAATGTTGTCCCCACGAGATTAACAAAACAATCTGAGACTCAGGTTAAAGTATTATGGGACGTGCAGTGACTTGAAGGTGCATCATATTGTGTAATAGAAAAGAGCAGTTATAACATGCCAACAGCCAGGTTTCAATACAACTATTCCATACAGTCAGCCTCCATGATTTCAAAAGAATAAAGAGTAGGTACGGAGAGGGGACATGTTGCCCAAATGAGATAAAATTTTTGAGTTCAACTGTGGTTATCAAATTATCATTATCCTCTAATGAGAAGTACCAAATTCCCAGCCCCCAGAGTTCACCCTTTACACTGATATGGGCTTTTATTCTCTACTTTAAAGATTGAGCAGCAAATGAAACAACAAGATTTAAAATGAAGTCTTAGCATTCCAGAAATCCCGAGTCCTTTCTGATTATATATAGTATGTATATTTTAAAAACTGCAGGATCTTTACGCTTTCCCATCCTCCATTTTAATGCAATTTTGCTCGGCTGCTTCAGTTCAAACGGCTCTCTCCTGTGTCACAACCTCGGCTGATGCGTCCTGAATATTTGATGCGCTTAAGGTTGATTTTTCTTCTCCGGGGTTAGGAATTGCAGCACTTGGCTCGATTTTCTGGCCGAGATTCTGTTGCTGTTCAAAGAATTTATGGGTCATCTGCAGCACCTCTGCCCTCTGCTTAGCCTTTGAAAATACATTTAGGAATACATTAATATAAGAGAACCGGAGAAAGATTCGATGCAATCTTTAAATAAGAATGGCTGCTGTTAAAGTATTACCAGACCGGCTACCAATTAAAATGGAGAACTACTGTACAACAAACCAGCTTGAGTATATGCTATTTGGAAGCAGAGACCTCTGGACATATATATATTATATATATATATATAAAAAACAAATATACTGAGCAGAATTTACAGTTCTAAACTTGTACAACAAACAGAACAAGTTGCAGATTTAATATTCTGTGAAGTGCTTTGAGACGTCTCGAAGACGCGATAAGGCGCTATATCAAGTGCAAGAATTATTATTAATAGTACAGCAGAACACTGTTATAACGCAATCATTGGGGTCTATAAAATTCCAACCACCCTATAAAGTGATGCTGGTAAGGGGCAAAACCTGCGTTGGAATCTATTCATTTACCTTGAGATCCTCCTCGGTTTCCCTTTCAGAGTTGCAAACTCGAATTGCTGGTGCTGAATTCTCTCTGCTAGAGATGAGCAGACGAGGTGGACGCACTGTGATGGGAGGTGCAATAGGACCTTTGTTCATTTGCATCATAGGACGCTGAATGGGAGTGGGATAGGCTCCAGCACCGGGAGGTCTCATATGCATGATCATACTGCCCTGTGGTGGGGGTGGCATCTGTATAGACTGGGGTGGAGGGGGGGAAGAGGGGAGAAATGGGAAGGGAGACAGGGAGTAAATTCTATAGTTACTCCTGAACAGAGTTGCTAAGAAGCATTTTTGCATATCTAAAATAACCCACAACCGTTCCTGCTGCTTAAAAACTTTTGTCAAAAATATAAAAGATTTTGACTGTAGCCTGAAATTAGTGCAAATTCCAGCTATATTAAAAAAGTGTAAATAAGCCACCAAGCTAACATCTGAGGCTCAAACCCTTCCAGTTTCTCTTCTAATGCTGTTTGCTGCTGTTTGTCCATCCCTCTCTGTGTAGGATAACCGCATGCACAAAATACAGAGAAGCACTGTCTACCCTCTGGAGAGCAGAGCACTTGATGCTAGTCATGCTATATAGGACGAATATATTTTGGAGCATTGAGTCAAATAATTAAATTAAATAACTACATCCTCAAGCAGGTCTAAAAATAAAACTATTTGATGGGAGTTGCCATGTCCCGTTGTATTTCATTCCTAAAATGATGAACGAGTTGTCAATATGAATTCAGAAGCAAGCTGACAATCTTTGTGGGCTCGATTGCACCAGTGAATGAGGCTTGTCGAAATGGTGTCAGGAAGTGTGCAAGAGCAACTGGCGGGGGCGACCAATCAATTGATGCTTCTAACTAAAACTGGGAAGAATCACAGTTATGACAAAAGCCCAGGCTAGAGCCATCCCTGATGAGTGACGAGTTTCCCTTTCAATATCAAACTAAACAAACTGGTACAATCACATACCTGTTGTGTGTAGTGTCCTTGGATTGGTCCTGCTACGTTCAAACCCATCGTATTAGTAACTGGTCCTAGTCCAGAGGGTTTTCCACTGGGACTTGTGGAGCTGGGTCTACAATTAAAGTACAAAGCCTGTTATTTTATTGACGTAATTTGTTTCTAAGAAGCAGGAGTTGCAACACATACGAGCATATTCATATATGTTGACATCTATCTCTGCTCATTTTCTACAAAGTCAAATCATTTATATCAATTTTACCCTACTTATTTGTTAGCCAGCCAAAGCAATGTTTCATAAGTATGATAACATCTGGTTAATGTGATGTGCATCCTCTTTTGCTCAGTTATTTTATAGGATTTTAAGATTACAGCCACATTTTATTTGGAAAAATATGTTCTTCTGTGAAATCATGAAACCTTCCCCCTGGTCTCTCTGCCTAAACCCTAAAATCTTGAAAGGGGCAAATCTCATTTGAACCATTGGCTATTGAACCATCTGATGTCCAATACAGGAGTGGGTTGACTGATTTGTTTTCTAAAGGATAGAGGGATTAAGGGATAGGGGGAAAGGGCAGGTAAATGGAATTAGGTTAGAAGATCAGCCATGGTCTTATTAAATGGCGGGAGCAGGCTCGAGGGGCTGAATGGCCTACTCCTGCTCCTAAGTCTTGTGGTCTTATTTTCTGATATGACCTGAGTTGCTAAAACGAAATGCAGTCGTTATTGCTGACCTCCGCTTGAATTCCTCCCAGTCTTTATTGTTCAACTACTCAGCCAATATCTACCCTTATTGCATGCATCCCCAATAGTCTTGGATTTAAATCATAATCTCTTGTAAAAAGTAATCTGTGCTGTATCTAAGAGGAAAAAAAATTGCAATAGGAAGAGAAATAAAATACCTGAAAAGGTTTGGTACTGGAGGCCCAGGCATTCCAGAGGAAACCTGCTTGTCAGCAAACTGAAATGCTTTAAGGTCCATTTGTGGAATCTGAAAGAACCCAACAAATTACATTTGTATTGCACCTTTCACGTCAGGAGGCCGTCCCAAGGAGCTGGACAGTCAGGGATTGGGATCAGGAGTGGAGGGCAGGGGTAGGAGGGTGACCGAAGGCACGGACCAAGACGATAAGACGTTTGAAAAAAATTAAGTTGTAAAAGATATGAGGAAAGTGTGGTGAAATCTCGGGAGTCTAATTTTAGAAAGGGGATAGTATGAAGTAATAACATCAATACGCAGTAGAAGACAAGGATAAAGGAGGAGACGGAAAATCAGCCTCTAATATATTATAATATTAAATTGTTGTCTTTCTTATAAACTATTTTTTGTAAACTTCTGTTCATTCTAAAGATGTTGTGAGCAAAACTAGAAGCAACTGATCTTACCTCGCGGCCAGTGGGAAGCATAGGAGGCTGGGATCCTGGTGTGAGGATTCTCCTTGTTCCTCCAGCATTTAGGTTTGGTGCCTGGGGAAGCTGAATAGACTGAGTTAATGCAATCAGCTGTTGCTGACCGGAGCCAAACCTGGGCAATGACAACTGGGAGCCAGGCAAAGACATAGTCACCTGCATCAAATGGGAAAAGAAAGATTTTTGAATATTAGCCTACATCAATGGAAACTATACCAAGATGTTGTTGTTGAGAAACATACAAGCTGTATAAACGGTATTTAACCTGGATCAGCTGGGAGTCCATGATCTGCGAGGTCGGGATTCCAGGTTGGCTCAGCTGACTTTCGTACAGAAGGGGCTGATTTCCACCGAGTTGTTGGTAATGAGATCCTTGCTGTGCTTTTACCATATCAGACGTCTGAACGGCAGGGAAGGCTGCGTAAGGAGATTTCAAAGGAGCACCTGATAGGACCATCGCGGATGGTTGAGACAGGTTGGGATGCATGTACATCTGTGATCTGTGAACAAAATCAACTGATTTAATTATTCTTCTATTCCCCCTTCATACTCAACATTTTTGCCATTCACCTGATTAGACAAATGCTATGGAAACATTAGTTTCGCCCACAAAATATACAGTCAATTCATTTTACAGTATATTCTGTGAAGCGCTTTGAGACGCCTTGAAGACGTGATGAGGCTCTGTATCAAATGCAAGGATTATTATTATCTGATGATCAAAAGGCTCAAAACAACAGATTTCAGCAATGTTAAAGCATTTCAAAATTAGCATGACCGTTACCTACCTGAATGGCTGCATTGAGCTAAACATTTCCTGGGACTGAGTCACTGGGAGGCCATTCCGCAATCCAAGTGGGGCTTGGGCCTGTAACGATGTGTGTAAGGGAATTGGAATCTGGTGCGCTTGAGCAGTCTTCATAGAGAAAAATAACAGTTAGTTCCAAATATGTACCATATTAAACACAAGCACTACAACATTTGTTCAACTAGTTAGACACCTCCATTTGCACTGTAAGATATTTCATACATTGTATAAAGAGACTCACAACACATTCACTACTCATAAAACGTCACAGAACGTAGGGCTATTTGAATTGTGCTAATATTCCAAAATGCGGTGAAATTCAATCAACAACTCTGGACATTTAGCAGATGCAGACAGAGCCTTTTGTCTTCCTGCTGCGAACTGTCCAAAGGCGTTTTTAGAATTGCAATTCAAAGTTACAAAGTGTAAGGCGGTGCACCAGTGTTGGTGCGGGAATGGTAGATGGGAGTATATTTTAAAATGGGAAAGCACTAAAGAGTAAATGAACACTGGGATTTGGGGCCCAGGTACATAAGTAATTTAAAGCTGGTACAGAAATCAATCCAAAAGGATACTAGAATGCAGTATCTTAAGGGATCTAGAATGTAAACTAAAGAAGTAGTTACTCAGAACACTGATCAGACTCGATGTATAGTCATTAGGTCTCCCAATCTCAACTACAATTAACTGGCCTATAAGTGTATCCATCAGAATCATACCTGGGATAAAGGGACTCGGTTATAATGGGAAAATGAGTAAACTTGGGTTAACTTTCCTAGAGTTGAAGAGGCTAAGGCGTAACCTGTTAAGAGAAAAACTGAGACGTGCACAAAAGAATCAAAAACACTACATGTCAAAACATCACTACCTGAGAAAGCCCAGCCTGGAAACCTTGTGGAATTGTTTGAGGGATCAGTCGTGGCTGGCTAGTAAATACATGACCATCCATGTAGAGGGGAGGAATGTGACTTCCTGAAAAAAAACACACACAAGACAATATTTAAAGATCGTCACTTAACACTGTTGTGTAGAAAAAGTACAAATTAAGAGAGGAATCTAACCGAAATGATGAGCTTGCAATACCTTGCAGAGAGACAGAAGGTGCTACGGACACCACAGACATGGGTGGCACAGAAACACTCCCAATGGAGCTGTAACTTGCCCCACTGGATGGTCCCGTGTTGCAGGGTGTCTGGGTACTGGCACAGCTACTGCCAGGACTCTGCTCAGCGACATTGGGGGAATTCTCCCAGGCCTTGCGGGCAGACTCCATCTGTGGATAAAAAGACGAATGTAAGAAATTGGATGGCCACTAGTGCATTCGGTTTCAATTTCCGTCTTGCTGTTTTTTGCTAAAATGGCCACTCTTGTTGTTGTGCTTTTACAGCGCTAACGTTTTAATACTCATGAATTTTAATCCCTCCATGAATAATAATCCCTCCAAAAACAATAATTAAATTGGTCATTTTCAATCTACGACTGTTTGTGGGACATTGCTGTGCACAATTGGCTGCCGCGTTCGCCCACAAATATACAGTCAATTCATTTTACAGTGTGTTCTGTAAAGCGCTTTGGGACGTCCTCCCGACGTGAAAAGCGCTATATCAAATGCAAGGATTATTATTATTAATTTTGAAGCGATCTGGCCCCTGTAATAAGTGTTGCATTACGTGAGGTCTGAATGTTAATTACCTAAACATTATTGTTTGGTCAGAAGTGTGTAAATCCTATTTCGAGTGACCAGCCAGAACATATATTCCAGAGTGGATCAAAGCTCTCATCCATCAGAACACTTCTCAAGTGCAATCTGTTTACATAAATAACACTGTATTTAAATTACTGCAAATAAAGGAACCAATGTGCAAAGACACTTCAACATACCTTTAGAGTGAGGTCTGTACTTGAAAGCGACACAGGAGTCAGATCTGGGCCCTGTTGCATATGCTCTCTTCGTAAAATAGGAATTGACTGGCTTAGTGTGACCTGATAAATGAGAGACTGGCATTTAATAAAAGATTTCTCAGGATCCTTGAAACGCTAACATTGAATAAATCAGAAAAAAATTAAAGATTTATTTATAATCCAAGATTTTAGTAAATGTGTGAAGTCTGGCAGCGTCTCCAGTTCTGTAATTCATACCATCGATATCATCAAACTTAACAGAGCCGGGTGGACTCGCACGGTAACTTGAAATAAATTAAAATAAATCAATGGCGACGTGACATCAATGGTGTGCAAAAAAATAACTGCCTGATCCAAACTTACAGATTTTACGAGATTGCTCAATAAGAAAACTCATGTGCAGTTTTGAGAAAACACTCTTTGTAATTCAGTTGTCTTTATGCAGGGTGCGGAGCGCTTAACAGTGTCTGACACCCGAGCTGGGGTGGGGGTTGGGGAGAGATGATTCTAAGCGTGATCGAAGAGGAAGGTCTCAGGAGCAATCTAAAAATGGGGAAGGAGAATGTTCGAATGTTTTGGGGCATAGTGGTTGAAAGCATGGCCGCCGATGGTGGAAGAGGCCGGGGGACAAGCAGGAGGCCAGAGCCAGCTATGTTCCAGCGCCTTGGGACACCCTCCCGAAGTGGAAGGCGCTATACAAATGTAATTTTGCTGTTGTTCCTGGAGCTGTTAGCTGAATTATAAGGTGTGCTTTCACCCCCAGAGTGAGATACTCACATTGCTGGCCAATGCATCCTGCAGTTTGGTGATTGAGTTGGAAACAGGACTTGGCACCGAGCTCTGGGGCAAATCAAAGTCAGAATCCTAGAGCAGAAAATAGGTTACTCAACACCAACTATCATCTCACAACCCTTAAATCTCCTCAGACAGTGCAGAGCAATGCGATTGTGAGCCACATACATTACTGTGAAGTAAGTATGCAAATATATTCACGCAATTCTAAACTAGAGAGTTTACAAGTATATATTTGGAAGTTTACCTTTGGGCTTACTCCGAATTCTATTGGTGGAACTGGAATCACAGCGTCCATGTGCAAGTCTAGACTGGACTTGCTGCTCGGTCTGTTGTCTGCCGAGCTTGCAGAAGAGATGCTCCCATCAGCTCTCTCTAATCCCTCTGGTTCCAGACACTCCTTGGCCTTCTTGTTTTTCAGGGATCGTTCATTTCCTATGGGCCCAGGCTTGTGGTCCTTGTTCTGGCTTGGGGTTGGCTCTGAAATCTTTGAACAAGAAACAGAAAATTAAAACACCAACACTTCTCCTCCAATTGGTTACAAGTTCCATTACTTCCTAAAACTGCAGATGACATGAGTTTTCAGTCTATAAACCTGACGAACTCCTTAAATTGGGGCAAGAAAATTTGAATTTTGATGGAGCACAAGTTTATGTCCCGGAACACTGGAAGCACTACATTAGATGTTTTAGTATTATATTGGAGGGATATTAAAACAGACAATCGTGCCCCAAATTAACCAATAGAGACCAACTTACAAATGTGTTACTTTAAACAATCATCCTGGTCAAATTACACAACTGTGAAATCCCTTTCCTGTGCAAGCTCACTTCAGACAAAAGTGCTTCCTCATTCAGAATGTTTTGAGTCAGAAGCCAGCTTTGACATTAAAACTGAATGGCCCTCATTAGATTTAATGTAGCGTGGAATGGTCCATCTTTGGTGTGGAATTAAATTGGGAAATGACTCAAGCGCACAACTGTAATTCCCAAGTATCGAAACCAGAAGCTTTTAAACACAAGATTTGAGTCTCCTCGGAAACTAATGCACAAGTACACTACACCTTGTAGTAGCTGCTTAATAGACGTAGACTTCCCTATTAAACAGGTTGATGTTTTTGCTTCAACAACCCAGTTACAGCAGTAAGTTCCACATACTCACCACCCTCTGTGTGAACAAGCTCCCCTAAAACTCCTTTTTAAATCCTTATTAGCTCTCTTACATTTATGCCCCCCCACTGTTTTTGACTCACCAATAAGTGGAAGCAGCCTACTAACTAACGTATGTAACAGGAAACCTGCAAACGACGATCACTGCTCAAAAAGGAATTTAGGAAAGGTGTGACCTATACTCTACAGTAGATATGGCGAGTGTCCCATTACCTTCTTCTCTGGCCTTGCAGACTTTTGCCTTTGTTCCTTAGGTTCGTCCATCATTGCATTTGTTTTCTCCACTGAGGAGTCTGTGCTGCTTCCGTTGAGCTCACTCATTGCTCCCCCCTCTGGCTTGAGTGCACCATAAGGTGAGCTCCGCTGTGATGAACTTGTAGATGAACCCTGTGAATCGGCACTGAGTTCTACCCCGCTGTCGGGCTGACTAGCCTTGAAACTCTACAGGAAAAAGCATCAAAAATGGCCATGGATTGAATTCCAAAGAAAAAATGTGGAGTAAATAATAATAATAATCTCTGCATTTGATACAGTGCCTTATCACATCTTCGAGACGTCTCAAAGCGCTTCATAGCATATAATACGCTGGATACCCAGATAATAAAATCTTCACGGCCTCTCTGGAATCTACGTACCTCAGTGCAGGTAGACTCTGACCCAGGAAATGAATTCAAAGGCTTCACCCAGGATTCACTGCTGGTGGGCTGGACAGGGATACCTGTAAAAAACAATATATATACCTTTTCAGAATTATCTTCAAAATAACCGGCAGCATTGAAAGGAGACTTGGAAAGTCCTGTGCTCAGTTAATAATAATCTTTGCATTCGATATAGTGCCTTATAACATCTTCTAGACGTCTCAAAGCGCTTCACAGAATATACTGTAAAGTGAATTGACTATATTTCGTGGGTGAAATTGCGCACAGCAGCGTCCCACAAACAGTCATGGATTGAGTGACCAACTTTTTTTTATTTGCAGTTGAATGGTTCAACTGAATTTTAGTCTTAAATTGTTCTCTTTATCAACACCACCACCTTGCATTTATATAGCGGTCAGCATACGGGATAGCCGTCAACGTTGTTCTCCGGCAGTTCACTCTCCCTTCACAAAAGGTGACTCCATTATTATAGGATTGTCATACGTAGTTTTCTATTAGTGCATCAGTGTCTCTTTCTCTATGGAGATGCTTGACAGTAGATGGATCTCTTTGATCGTGTCTTTCTCTTAGGTACTATTACGGAATATTGTGCAGCTCCATCATTAATAACTGAACTAGTTTTAGCTGGATTCTACTACACAAGTACACTTCTCACCAGTATTGGAGTTCTCCCAGATCTCTGTTCCCAGGCTGCTTGCTGTGGATTGTCCTAACAAGAAGTTCTCCTCTGTCTGCTCAGTGACTGTGCTGTTAAGTTGCTGCTTTTTAGCAAATCGCGGAGGAATTTTGGATGAAGTTGTCCAGCCTTTTTCATTTCGAGGTTTCCCAGGTGCCTGTTTAAGAGAAGAAATAATGATTAAACCCGATGCTGGAAGTGGTTACGTTTAAGAATCTTCTACATCACCAAAGCAGTCTCCAACAAACAGATAAACAGTTTAGTTGATGGTGTAAGATGTATTTATATAAATAGCTCCCTTCACACTAGAGTGTTGTACAATGCAAGATGGTCCCTGATGTAAGCAAGTTTTATTTCAAGGACACAAAGTATTATTTAGACTAGACTAGCAGCCCTTGTTAGTTCCTGCTCTAGAAATTGTAAAGTTGAAACTTTATAATTTCTTATATTTAAAGCAATGTCATTTCCGATTGTATCAGACAAAATTCGCTGAAAGAAGTGTAGTACAGCCTGAATTATTCCACTGTAGCGGTGTATATACGATTATTATCATCAAGACCTTCAAAAATTGCAAAACAATGTCAAATAAAAGCCTCGTCTGCTGGCTAATGTACAACACTGTCCCGCAAAGCAACAGGATTTCAGCTGCCAAATATGGTGCAAACACGTGCTCCATCCTAGCAGACCTGAGAGAAACCAGTCACTCAACTCCTTTGCTTGCCCACTACATAGACCACAGACTCCAGAGAAAAAATTGAATGCTGTCTAGTTGATGGGAAACAACTGCTTTCAACAGCCAGACCAAGGAAGCTGATCCCATTTGGCCAGAACAGACTTGGTCCTCATTTAGACTACAGTCTCCCCGACCCCTGCTTGCTCTCAGCCTGACTCTTACGTGCCCAGTTTCCTACGGATCGAAACATTTTGCAGGTGTACCAGACAAATCAAATCCGGGGTACTCCCCTGCACCAATGCCTCGTACCTGTAGTGTTTGCTCCTTCTTCCTGCGTTCTTCCTCTAGTAAACGCCGGTGTTTTTTTGAGATTACCTCAGTGAAACCATCGTTCACAGCCGACACGGGGTCTTGCTCGTCCGCAGCTATTGCAGGATGATCATCGATAATGACGACACCTTTTTGAAAAGACGTTTTAAATTTTAGAGGAATTTTCTCATTCGGAGGGTTTGGAGTTTCATTGGTGTAAATGGCCTCTGATTTACTGTGAGGCTGTGTCCTGAAGTGAAAGGCGCTATATAAATGCAGTTTACGTTTGTGTTGATACTGGATCAACAGAACTGTTCAAAACTGGATAGTACTTGTGGAGTAAGCCACCTGGGCTGAAATTCCTGCTGCCATTAAAGCTCCTTTGGCCGCTCATGGGATGTCTCCTTCTGTAATTACACATCGCCAAAGAACGCCGTCCAGAATTTCAGCCCAATTAAGGACGGAAATTAATTTAAAAAAACAGGACAATTTTTAGAAAAACTATTCTGTTCCACCGTCCTGGTTACATTGAGAATAAAATAATCATGGCTTAATATAGATTTCAAAGGCTGCGATACCATCAAGCCAGGAACAAACCGAGGCCTGTATAAATTCTTCGACACTTACTTGCATAGTTGTTGAGGTCAAATTGGGCCAAAGCATCACTCTTCTCCTTTGCTTTCTTCAGGCCAGTTTTTCCATCTTTCTCTTTCCTTTTTGTTGATGCTTCTTTCATGGCATTTTGGACAGCAGCTGGGTCATAGGGAACGACTCGATCGACACAGTATACCGCGCTCACGTTCTCTCCATTCACAGCAAGCTGCTCAGGCAACTGATCTTCTACACACCTGCTGTTTTGAGAAACAGAAACAAAGTCAATTTCCTCAGATGAGAACATTTGTTTAAAGTTCTTCAAAACAAGCTGTTAATATCTAACAAAGCACGCGTCCTTGGAGGAAGGGAAGCGAATGCTGAAATCGATCAGGTTTCCTTTGCCTGTCATCTTTTTGTTACAGGACTATAATGCATAACAAGATTTCTAAATACGGTAGAGATCCTCCCAGAACAGACAACCCAGGGAGCAGGACAAGACAGTACAGATTCAGGACTGTGAAGGGGAATTTTTAATAGATAGAGGGAAGATAAGAGAATAATTAGCAGCTGGAATGGTCATCAGGACAGTGGGGGGAAACACACCCCAATTTAAGTGTTGTAATAGCATGATGGTAGGGCGATGTTCAAGAAGGATGAAAACAANTTTTTTTCATTTGCGCCCCATGACCTCAGCTGAATAAGCAAATAACCGAATAAGCTAGTGGTTAGAATTTGATCTTTAACAAAGCTCGAGTATGTAAACCTTTGATGTACATGAGAGCGAGCAGGAAAGAAAACCACAGCCCGATGTCTAAAAGAATTTACCTTTTGTTTTTTGGCGGCAGACCATTTGGTTTTTCACTTTTGGGACCAGCGCCGTTGGCCTTTGACGTTTTCCCTCCGTAACCAGCAGGTGTCGTCCTGCGGTTCTGTCGATCGATGGGTCTCTGACTGGAGAAACTGCGTTTGGCTAACTCTTTCCTCTGCCCCACACCGCCGTCTGCCACGTCCGAATCGGACGGCGCGCTGCTATGGAACACCCGACTGTCTCGATCCCGTCTCTCTGTGAAGTCGCTGCTTTCGGAGGCCGTCTCCCACTCCTCGTTCGCTTGGTCAGACGAATTTTGATTGGACAGGTCCGGCGATTTATTGCCAGCCACAAGAGATGCGATTTCCTGCTCCTCCAGCCCTGCACTTAGATTAATTAATCCTGGCTCTGCAGCCACAGACGCAGCGTCGCTACTCAGCTCGGTGGTGGCAGCATCTCTTTCTTGTTTGAGACGCCTGAATCGTGGAGGTTTGTCCTGCCGTGGGGGGCGTCTTCTCCTGGGGGGCAGCTCTGTGGATCGTTGCTCCCTCTTAGGCACCTGGTCTTCCATGGCTGAGATTCCAGACAAACAGGATTTATCTGGAGCTCCATTTTCCTCTGCTCCATTTTCACTTGCCTCCAAAGCTCGATTGGGCGCTCTCACGGATTCCTTCAGAGGAATCCTCTTGGATGATAACGTGGACGTAGAACTATCTCCGTTCGCTTGGCAGGTGCCAATCCCCTTAAAGGGGGCCCCTCGGTTTTGCCTCGAAGGCATTCCTCTGGGGGTGAATGTGCGGCCTCGTCCAGTATTGCTCAGCCTGGGAGGTAACGCCCTTTCAAACATTTTTGGAGCTCCTCTTTCCTCTTCCACTTCGCCAGCTGCTAGCCCATCGGTTTTCGATTTGAGCACAATATCTTTGTGGATATGGCGCCCCTCCCTATCAGGGGGGCCAGAGTCGCTGGTTCCCTCGCTGCCGGTCCCCGATCCCCTCTGACGCCGTCGCTTTGGAATCTCCTCATTGTCAGACCCATCACTGCGGGTCTCGCTGGCGTTGCGACGTCTCGAAGAGCCCCTTTGGCTGTCCTCTAATGGACTAGTGTAATCTTTCGGATTCCGCCCTCTGCCTCCTCTGCTCGGGTTAGTCAAAGCACCCCGGCTGCCAAAGAAATCTCCTCGACCCCTACCTCTTCCCCGTCCTTGGCCTCTACTATTGAGTTGTTCGTATTCATTCCAATTTCTTCTCTGAGCTAGAGAGAGATCAATGGGGTCTTTATTCATAGGTCTTACATCCCATGCTTTAGTCTCCTTTCTCGGTTGTGGTTGCTCAATTTCCCAATCAAATTTAGTTGACGATATTGGTAGTACAGTCATGTCTTTGTGCCGAACGTTCAAGGATGAAGTGGTAGTTTGTGATAAGAGACCCACATCTCCAGCAGTTTTGATTGCCTTTGTTTCGGTTTTGATCTCTTCATGCCTTGTCCGACCATGTCTCTCTATAGATTCCAATTTTACCTTGTCTATATCTTGGTCTTTTTCAGTCTTTAGGTCTTTAAGGACTGGTTTCTTAATAGGGCCAGATCTTCTACTTGTCATTTTCCCTACAGGCTCACGGCGACTGCCAGGGTTACTCGCTATTGGCTCCCACTGAGGAGCAGGTTTAGATTCTCTTTGGGGCAATTTCTCACTCTGCCATATCTCTGCCATGAAAGCTTTCTCCTCTCTTCTGTCTTCATGCTCATTCACAGGACTCGGAGGGTCTTTCTGATGTACGTAGTCCCAGCTGTGAGCCACCAATTCATCTGAGTCTTCGGCTGACTTGCATGTATCCGTGCTCTCCCTGGGGAGTGATCCATTCCGTCTCCGCTGCTCACTGACAGTTGTGAAGAACTCTTTGTGGAGTAAGTGCGGGTTGGTTTGATGTTGGAAGAGAACATCCCGTCCCAGCACTGAAGACACAGTTGATGTCACACCGGGGCTCCTGTCTTTCATCAGTTCAGTTGGTGGCTCTAAACGAGACACGCTCAGTATTTTCTCCACTGGTTGAACTCGAAACTCGATTTGTTCTTCAAAAGGATCACGCTGGATCTTCGTCTTCTGCTGGGAATTGGTATCAGGTCTCACGGGGGATGTGGGAAGGCGATCAGACCTGTGCAAGTGAAAATTGTTGGCTCACAAATAAACATTGGAAAATACAGCACCATTCCAACTCACACTCGTACTGCTAATTTCTCAGGAAATAGGATGATGGAATTGACTGAGTAAATATCCTGAAATTATAGGGTTGATTCTTTTATGCACTTCTAGCCAATCCAAAAAACGATTAAAAATAGGCTCCTCCAATGGATCAGAGAAATATGAATTTAAAGTTAAGAATAAGTAGAAAATAGTAATCAAATTTAAGATAAAAATGACAAAATAGGCACGATATAAACAGGATGGCCGGGTAGGTAATGTTTTACGAATATAAACTGTATGTTTTATTTTAGCGAGTTTTTTTTAGCAATACCGTACGTGCATGTATGGAACCAGTCAGTCTACAGACAGCTTTGTACAGAATGTCCTTGGTTAAAGCAAAGCGAAGCTAAAGAGCACAATGTACATTTTGTTGACTCACATGTGTACATATAGTAGAGAATGTCAAAAAAAAAGATATTTAACTCGTCTTCAAGCAGCTTAATTTATTTTCAGTCACCTGAGCAGAGTCCTGATAAAAGGAATAATCAGTTGCATGCAGCTCCTTTAACTATTCAGTTCCCATTCCAGATATGGCACAGCTACTACAGCCCCTGCCCTCAACAACACAACATCCTCAGCCTAGTAACGTCAGTAAATGCGGCGTCCCTCTAAAGTTTGACTCACACAGCCATGCTCTGCTCTACACCATCATCCAGCTGTGGTCTTGGTGGTGGCAACATGAATGCCCTGCTTGGAGCAGACGAGTAGTCCTCTTGTCCCCAGCCGAGCTGTGGTTCGACAGGAGGAGTTCTTCTCTCCTGCAACAGAAGGTGGGAGCGATCGTGCTGCTCGGAGGCTGAGGCCATACTGTCCAAGCGGTCTGGGCGCATCAGAGGCTTCATGATTCCTGACAACAGAAGCACCAAACCTTCTTTACAATGTGAATAGACGTGACTCACCAGGACTGACCATACTAGCTGGACACCTGGACATGCAATTTTAAACCTGTCAGCCTAGGCACTGAGCTCAAGCTATAATGCGGGAGGTGAACCTAGAACCTTTTCACCTGGACGCGCGGATGCTTCCAATGAAGTCGGGCTCATGTGCAAGGACCAGTTGGGCCAAATGACCTGTTTCCAATGCTATATACAATCTATTGAAATCTATACAATATAAGTAAAGTGATTTGGGATATCAGTGGAAGACAGAAAAATAACACACAAAGAAACTAAATAAAAGGGGGGGGCGCGGGGGGAGAAGAGGTGGAGGAAAACAGCTAGTGGGTGGAGAGTCGTTCTCAAAATCCCCCCTCCCACCCCAACTCCAAAGGCAGTTAAGCAAGCTCCAGGGGAGGGCTGAGCAACGCGACAGCCTGTCTAGTCCGCACTCCTCAACACTTAAGACTAGTGAAGTCCTTTCTGTGGGGCTGTAAATAACCACTCACCCATAAGCATTCACACACAAGACTTCTTTTGGATCTTGTTTTCGAAGTAGAAAGTTACCTCCCAGCCTTGCATAGCTTTAATGCAATTTGTTTTCACGTCGACTCACCTGATGGATGAACTCCTGGTGGGTAAAAGTCAATCGGTGGTCTGCCCGGGGTGATCCGAGGATCCATATACGGAGGCATCATCATCCATCGAGGGTCGTAGCCAAGCATGTGAGGAGGTGGTGGTCCCACTGGACCGGCATAGAGGTGTCTCTGTGAGTGTGAGTGGGAATGTGGTGGTGCACCTGAGGGAAGTAATGTAGGTCCCGGTTGCTGCTGCCATTGCTGCATCTTTAAAAGCTGTTCCTGGTTATAAATAGGAAAGAGGAATTAAAGCTTTTTTAATGTATACAGCAGGGTTGCTTTAAATGCAGATCTGTCTGCTCACTGCACATATCATCCCAACTAAAGAGAGGAGGACAGGAGACTCGATCGTAAGTCCTAGACTGCTATTGAGCTTCTCCCTACCTTGTGCTATGTGTGTAATGCAAGCGAGCAGGCTCCCGACTTTCTGTTGCCAAGCACATCCATCACTTTGGGAGTCAGCTCAGTTCCAAGGAGACCCTATTGGTCTCCCTCCCCTCCTGCCCCCCCCCCCACACATTCCCCACGCAGGAGGAATAATCCTCATAATTATCCTGGCAAATGTTTCTACCTCAAATCACTCAACAAACGCTTCTTGGCTTGCAGCACGTCAGCGATTGACCTGGTCACACTGGAGATGACACAATCTTTTTTTTAAAGCTTTCACTCGCTACAATAATATAATAAAATTTACATTTCTTATAGCGCTTTTCACCTCAGGAGAATGTTCCACGGTCGAGGATGGGAGCCAAGTGGGGTGGGGAAAGATGACCGAAAGCGCGGTCAAGGAGGTATGTTTTGAGACGGTCCTTGAAAGGCGAGGGATGGCGCTCCAGAGCGGGGACAGAATGGCTGAAAGCCTGCCTGTCAATGGTGAGGCAGAGGCCAATGCTCCCTGCGGGAAGGGAGCAATCAGAGGTAGGGTGTGGCGAGACCATAGGGGGGATTTAAAGATAAAGAATGAGGATCTTGAACTTGATCCGCTGGGGTTTGGACCCCAAATGGAGCTGAGAAAGGATGGGGGTGGGGGGATGGCTCACATAGCCTCGTACAAAACATGTATTTGGCCCTTTTTTTTTGAAAAAGAGAACTTGCTCCAAAATGAGTAACACAAACTGAAAGAAAGAAAAACTCCTGCGAAAATTTTTAAACCGGGTTAGTAAAAAGTTAGAGTAAGTAGAAAACGGTTAAACTGCAGAAATAAAAATGACAAGAATGGGAAAAAAGTCATAATTGGTTTAAAAAAAGATTTCCGTTTACTTTAGGAGTTTTAAGTGACAAAGCTAATAAAGCCATGTTTCAGCAGCTTTATTACTAATCATATTAAAAACTACAGAGCAGCAATAAAGGACCACCAACATTTCAAATGTCTCGGGCGATGCTTACGGAGGTGCTATATCCATACACATTCTTGACCTCATGGCAGTAGTTTGCTGACAACCCCCTCCCTCCCCCTCGAGTCTGTTACCTGCTGCTGCCGTTGAAACCTGGGTGGCAGGGATTTGTGGAACTTGTAGCTCTGGATGAGTGGTGCTGGGTCCCTTCCCTGTATGCTGCACTCTTCCTCACTTTCACTATTAGGAACAGCAGTAACATCTCTTACACTGTCCATAAGAGGGGGATCTGCAACACATCACAGCAACCACATCAGAGCTTCTTGGATTTGAGGCTGGATTGTAATTTTTTTTCAGTTTTGTTTTTTAAAAATATATAAAAGTGGTAGAAATGGAAAGTCTCCCAAACATGAGATTCTAAGAATCGGTCAACTTTCCCTTCGCAAAATCCAACTCTATGTCCCCTCCCCGAGAGGCAAATGAATTGTTGGCTCTCTATCAATATACAGTAGGTATTTTTTTTTAAAATGCTTTGTGTGATTCACCAAACAAAGCATTGCTTGTCTACAGTCTGGAGATTATAAATCTTGTGAAGTCGGATTACAGCCCTTTTAAATACCCACATCCTAACGGCAATCTTTGGGGGTCTTGAGCAGGAAAGGTTCTCAGGTCATTTTCTCTAAGCTAATTCACTAATGGGCTATTAACCCAAGTGCAATTACTGGGCACATTACACATTTGTTTGTACACCATGAAAAGCCGTCATTGTTTCACGCCAGGAACCAACCCTCTTTCTCGGTAGAGTCTGGGAGAAAGGCCTGTACAGGAAGATGCAACAAAGACTGCAGGGTTCTGAGCCTCTGCTTTGGCAAAGGCAACCAAACGTGCCCACAGGTTTGAACGATGAACAAGGAGGAACAACCCCACCCACAAACCGTCCACTGACAAGATTCATATCATCCCAAAGAGTAATGGTTCCGTTATCAACTCAACAAGCCAATTTCCGAATAGAAAATCTGACGGGACAATTAAAAATTTGACATTAACCGAGGCTAACGTCAGGCCAACCTCCGGGAATTCAGATTCACAGTCGTTCTTTACCCTTTAGTAAATTCTGGTGGTCAGGGCAGGCTTTCTGCAGTGTGCACGGGATTACAGAGTCCTTCGGCTCCTTAGCTTTAGCCTCAGCTTCATCCTTTTTCCGGAAATCAAATTTGATGGGAATCTCCACCACTCCGCATTTCTGATTCAGTTTTTTCAGTTTTTCTGCACAAGCAGCGAGTCTCTCCTCCTGGGCTCGCCGTTCCTCTTCCTCCCGCCGCCTGCGGACTCGCTCCAAAGCCTCTGAACGCTCAGAAAGGACAGAAATTGGCCGAGGTCGCCAGACTTCATCCTTCTCAGCCTGAGCGTCTGACCACCTGGTGACTGCTGGCGGTTTCTGAAAGAGAGAAATGGAAGAGAATTTAAGAGCTTAACCTAGTGACAGACACCAAAGTGCCAGAAGAATAACACAATTTTGCGTCATAATCCCTCAAAAAAAATTGGTCACTCAATCCATAACTCTTTATGGGACATTGCTGTACGGAATTGGCTGCCCCTTTCGCTACAAAATACAGTCAATCCACTTTACAATATGTCCTGTGAAGCGCTTTGAGACATCTCAACGATATGATAAGGCGCTATGTCAAATGCAAGGTTTATTATTCTAAAGCACCATTACTTAATATAAATAAACATGCATTTGTCATCTTCTCTATAACTCTAAATGCCTGTTGAGGTTAGGTCGACAAGAGATTTGTTTTGGGGTTTGGGGCGGGGGAAATCCCATAGAAGCTATGGCACAGAGGAAACATTGAAGGAATCGCCCACAATTAAATGCGCAAAACTATTCACTGGACTAGAATTTGCAGACCAAATAATTGGCACTGTGAGCAAGTACAATATTGTAGAAATCATCAGAAACTCCAAGCGTTTACTGCAGTGAGATAAGTGAACCTAACGTACCCGAATCTCTGATGGAGGTAAAGCAGACAGGCTCCTGCGTGTGTCAGCCTCCAGCGCTGTACGACTTGATTGGGTAGAAGGCAACAGGTCACCCCAAATGGGGTCTTCACCCAAGGGAGGCTCCAGTTTTGTTCCAAGCTTACAATTCAAAGAGCGCTGACGCATCATTTTCATCTCCCTTTCCCTAGAACACAGTATTTAAACATTTAAGTTTTTCCATTTCGTTTCCATTGCATCCACCTCAAGTAACACGACCATTTGCAAAATGGACATCGACTTACATTTGTACACACCTGGCAGAAACTTGCTGTTAGTCGACCACATTTCAAAACCAGAACACCCAACCTAAACTAAACATTTACCCACGGGAACAGCTGGGCACTGCGAGGGGTGAGGCAGGATTTAAAAACCAACGTGGATTTGTGGTGGTTTAAACCAAACGCGATACATCATTTTTTCCATCATGACTAAAATTGTAACTCTGAAAATACAAAATTACTCGAGAGCAGCGTCCAGTGTAATAACAGCTGCTAACACTACGTCAGCTTTAACATCTGCAGGCTATTTCTAGTTGTCTGCATGTGGTCATATACAGCATGAGTGCCATGTATTGTTGGAAAATTCTGCTCTAGGTTATGTGAATGAAAGCAGTTCAAGAGCTATAATCATGCCATTGGAGTCTGTAGCTCAGTGGTTAGAGCACTCGCCTTGCGAGCGAGAGACCTGGGTTCGATTCCCAGTAGGCGAAACATTGGGCACACACGCCTGTTTACCTAGCAATAAGTAAGGAACCCGGTTGTTAGTCAATTGGAGGATTGCTTTTCCGGGGATAATAATCCTTTAAAAAAAAATTTGGTCACTCTAGCCACAACTGTTTGAGGGACACTGCTGTGCGCAATTGGCTGCCGTGTTTCGGCCATAAATATATAGGCAATTCACTTTGCAGTATATCCTGTGAAGCGTTTCCGAGACATCTCAAAGACGTGATAAGGCGCTGTGTCAATTGCAAGGATTATTATTATTGCTTTCTTACGACCCAGACAGACAGACTGTAATGGTCTTTTCCAGGCCAGTCCTCCACATTCCTATGGCTAACCGGGCATTCATCTTGAGCTGGGACTGAGCAAACAACCCAAATCATGTGCTTCCTGACTCACCAATGTTGCACTGAAAGAAGTCACAACACTTGTAGGAGTCGGCAATATCTAACTCTTTCCTCGAGAGGGTCTGTCCCACCAGGTCAGAGCAAGGTAGACAGCTGACAAAACATGAGAAGCCAACCGAACAAGCCAGCCCTGAGCTCTGCACCTGCAACAACCATTTGGGAACGAAGCATTCTTCCTACTGAGTGAATAGAGCTTTTTCCCAGTTTCACAACAGTCTTTTGACAATATATTATCCACTGATACCAGCTAGGAACAGGAATGGTGTTGATTTACTCTAGGCTTGATATCATTCCACCGGTTAAGATTTGTAAGCTCATAGAAATTTACGAACGAACACGAACAAAGGGAGCAAAAACCTCCATGAGCGCTGAGCACAGCTGGAGGTTGAAGAACATAACTGAAGTTCTAATCTTAAATGAAGCAGCAGGTAATGCTGAAAAAGAACAGCAAAACTGCCAGCGAGCCATCCACTAGTCAGTGGGCATTACTCGTTCGCCTCTTCAGTCATCAGTGAGTCATTCTCTTCAGATCACTTTCCTAGAGTGCATTGTTGGAAAGGTCAGAAGGATCTATTGGAGGAGCATCGTTTACATTGATGTCATCACACTCAAAGTTTCCAGCAGGAAAAAAAAACTGGGTTAAATCAATAGCAAAATAGTGCATTTTCCCTCTCAGAAAAAAAAGGTGGTCGTCAGACAAAGAGCTCCAAAGATTGATAGGTCGGTTTTCTTGCACCAAGAGGCACGCTGTGGAATATATGACAGAGAGGCTGGCAGACAAGGCCGCCAAACTGGGGAAGTTAAGAATGCAGCAGCTGAAGAGACTGGGATTCAAAATCTAGTCTCTTAACTAGTCATAATTATGGAAACTGCGGTTAGAGATCAAGAGGAAATCAAATCATCTCAAGCCTCTCATTCTCCCTCTCTCCCCTGCTGTGTGCAAGAATCACAATGGCATGTAACACTTTTATTCACGGTTTCACAAAACACTGGAAGGTGTGAGCGACTGTGGGGCCTGTGAAGCGAGAACGCACCATTTCTCTTTCCTCTCCCTGGCGGTTTCCTCATCTTCGTCATCACTGAATTTCAGCTTCTCCGAGTAATCCACCTCCTCGTGTTCACCTGCAGAATACAGAAACATTCTCCTTAACCAGAGAAAGAATTTACTACATTGTGAAATTGCGAGCCGCCATTACAACACACTGTAATCACGCGAGTTTGGGAAAATGGGTGTTAATCTTGCTCACCGGCCCATCCATCTTCAGTTTCAATGTCAAGCTGATCAAGTCCTTTGAGGTTGTCGGGATGAATGATGGCCGGGCGATCTCCAGGCTCACCAGGCCTCTGTGGGGGCCGCACTTGGCGTGTTTGCCGAATCATCCCACGGGGATATCTGTGATCAAAGGAGAGTCAGCAATTAAAGCCTGGACAGACCATCAAAAGAGCTTCAACTAGGTTCCGAACTAACGTATAGACAGGTGCCATCATTAAAGCTCAAGTTAATGAGTGAGGGTAACCTGATATCAGAATTAGTGACAAATCCACACTTAACAAAAATAAACATTAGAGATTTGGTTTTGAAATTACAGATTATTAAATAAAGGGGGAACGAAGTTCCTCACTAACATCCTTCAATTTGATTCAGAAATGTTACTTTCTCACCCCAAACGAGAATGGGTCGCTGATTGCCTGCCAGGTTACCCTGAAGGCTGGAAAAGAAGCAGAACTGTCCAATGCAACCTACACCAATTTTTATCATGGTTAGCCAATCTGTGAACTGTCTGATTATGATGCTGACTCTAAGTTTATAAAAAGCAAGTAATCCGCGCCCCGGGTCACATTGAGGGAGAAGAAAAAACAGGGCTAAATATTTCAAAAATAATTTTGTAAACGTTTCCTAAAGTATTCTCTGATATGCTGTGCACAATTGGCTGCCGTGCTTCACTCACAAAATATACAGTCAATTCACTTTACAATACATCCTGTGAAGCGTTTTGAGACATCTTGAAGAGGTGAAAACGCCAAATGCAAGGATTGTTATATTTTATTTTAGCAGCCAACTTCAATCCTTAATTGAACCCCATTTTGCTTACTTGATTGGCTCAGGTAGCAGGAACGGACACCGCAAGGTTCCCTGAGGAGCCAGGACCGGAGTGGGCTGCTGCACTTCCTGAGATTGTGGAGTACACATCTGAGAGAGAGAGGAAGAGAAAGAGTGGGAAAAGGAGGCAAAGAGATATCGTTAATTCAGCAATTCCCCATTTAGGTGACTTACAAAAAGAAACGACATAACCGATGCTACAACTAATGCAAGGAATATTATTTATCCCTTTCTAATTTACAGCAAACAGCAGCATTGGTGTAAGAGACACATACAGGTACAGTGGCAAGAGGTTAATTGTTCAAATGGTGAGGGGGATGACATAAACGAGCACTCTTGTGGGATTGGAGCAAAATTTGTTTACACGTTACCTGTGAGAGAAATTCTAATGTTTTTATAGGTTAAAAATGACAATTTGTTGCCCCCCCACCCACCGAATTGGAAGTGTCAGCCTTGACCGAGTTCAAAGTCTCAACTTGGGACTTGAACCCACAGCGTTCTGACTCGTGTGCGAGTGCTACCAACTGAGGCACGCTAACATTTAACAGCAGAAGTGTTGCATTTAAACAAGGAGGGAATTAAAACACATACAACTAGGAAGGGAAAAACTCGGATCATACAAACAACTCACAAATGTAGGAAGCATGTCGCGGTAGGCGACTGGGAATTGATGAGAGGCATTCTGCAATGGCACCATCCCTAATGCTCTTCGGATGGGAACTGCTGGCCGCAGAGAGGGTTCCTTTGGCTCGGACGACAAGGTCAAAGCGTGACCTGGATCTTCTTGGCTTGATGGTGTTTTGGCCTCGGACTCTGGTGGTGGCACGCTCGATACTGCTGGAGTGTTCAGATTGCGACCTCCACCCTCTCTCCAAATTGCCGCGTCTGAAAAGAAAATTGTCACTGGACTTACAAACATGGTCAATCCAAGGCACATTCACCGAAATAAAATATCTGAGACATTTACCAAACTGAAGGGCAGATAAGGCACCTCAGTAGTTCCAAACGAAAGACGACTCGGGAAAACTGAAGACAATTTAAAGCTATGAGGTTCTTCAGTTCTTTGAACATCCCATGGAAGAGCAGCGAGAACTGATGGGAATTTGAATGTACGACACTGGTCTCGATACAATTTGATATCTTTGAACCAATTGCGCTTGTCTAAGAAAAAAAGGGGCAGTTTTCACACTTTTGCCTATTATTGGAAGTATCATAACACTGCCCAAATGGTACCCAGCAATGAGTATTGCCCAGCACAATCAAGAACATCATAGCTGAGCTTACACTCTTCACCCAGCTGCCACACGCTCACAACTATCAGAGGGAGTTGTCCTCTATAATCCTGGGTTAGCCTCCCCATCCAACACCGGCTGAGACCTGCCAACTCACTGGATATTTTTCAAGCATTTTTCTTCTTCTAAGAGATCAGGACGTTCCCACATGGAGGTCTCCTGTCAGATCAAATTCCTACCTCTCGGTTGCAGACAGTAACTTAACAGGTTGGCACCAGTTAAGACTTAAGTAATGGATAACAATGACTCCCCTGGAAAATTGATTACATTTTCCCATTCAGTGGTGAGACATTCTGCTCTCTCTAGGTGCCTTACTTTGCGGGCGGAGGCTTGGTCCTGGCCCATATGACTGATCTGTGATGTCCTTTTCTTTTCCAGTCTTTTCCTGGTCTCCAGCTGCTTTCAGTGTGGGAAATTCCTCGTGAGAGAATGGCAATTGTTTGTTTAATGCCTTTCCACCTGAAGGAAACAAAGGAACGATTAATCAATTCCTCAATTTAACCGGTTTCAGGCGAAGCGGCAAAATAGCTAAAGACCCTCTCATCTCAGAAGTCACAATTTCAAATTAAGTTTGGGAAGTATCAGCTTGGAACATCCCACCGTGGAGAATCACCAACACTGACTCAGGGCACATAATAAGGCCCATGGTGACTAAGCCTGATCCTGTCCTCGCTCAACACAGTCTACGTGCACCCACCCACAGCAGGAGGTGGTCTGAACACCACCAAGCAGGAATCTTGGCTAATCAGTTCTCCTCCCAGCACAGACGTGTTGCAGAGAATATTAAAAATAATTATAAAACATGTAACTCACCAGCGACGGGTCCTATTGGCTTCGCGTTCAGTTGCGCCCATGATTTTATTCCTCCTTGGGTTGAATTTGTGTTCTGTTAATTAGAAACACAGCGGTTTAAGCAACAAAATTGGCTAAAAAACAAAAACACCCAATTTCCCAGGTAAAACTCAGTGTGGTTCTCAATAGATCCCTTGTTTAACCATCAAACGCGCAAACTGGAGGCAACTAATGCTGTAACAAAGAGGATTAATATGTATGAAAAGCCAAGCTGACCCATTTACTTGGTGTTGTGGTTCCTACCTCCTGAACAGGTGCCGCTGCAGGTTTGGTTGCACTGGAGGCAGACGTCTGCGTAGCCGATTGCAACTGCGACTCCTGCTGCACTGCTGCTGACACACCGGAACTGCAACACACAAGCATGTCATTACTGACCAGAGATAAGTCAAGTCCATTTACACAGGTAGGTGCCATGTTCTCCCAACTATTTCAAATTAAAACAGAACAATGCAATACATAATGACAGATACAGATTGGGGAATGGGAGAATCTAGTGATCCTGTGGGCCAAGCCACAATCTGTATAAGAATGTTAACAAGTTTGGTAGCCGGTGACAGGTCTGAGTTCACCTTTAAACCTATCAGCCAACAAAAAGGAGGCCATGGACTGAACCAAATAAAATGCGTCAAATTCTAGGGCATGTTGGTTACAGATTAAAGGCCAAGAGTAAAAGGGTAACAATAGCCAAATGGTCAGTGAACACAGAAGTGCTATACAATACAAATCTAAGCACATATTTGGTATACAGGGAACGAACTCCTGAACCCACAAGCCCCATCCATGTGGAGTGGCACAGGCTGCACAACGCAGTGATCATCAGCTCTCTGTAGGAGAGGAAAAGTGGGCACAGGTTAACCCCCAACATGTTAATCTGCCATTTGCTGAGGACACACCAGGGTTGGTGCCAGCAATGTGGAAGATTCCTCTCCCTGCCAAGAATGCTAGGTGGATAAGGGAGTAAAACACAGGTCAAGAGCAGGTCTGACGACTGCCGCACTCACCTCTTTTGCTCTTGCTGCTCCTGCTTGCTTGCCCATCCTGTTCCGTCTTTTGGTACAATGGTCACGTTTGGGTCGTTTCCTTTGTTTTCGGCTTTTAAACTCGGAAGGTTAGCGGGCGGGGGCATCCGCCGTGCTGCGACCACTTTACCAAGACTCTGCAAGCCATGTCGAGGGACAACTGCAACATACGTTAATTACGTCAGCTGCAGGGGACCCCAGTACAACACAGGGAAAACTCACTGCACTTCAAGCCAACATAAAGGTGGCCCTTGTATACCAAAGTCTATACAGAAACCAATAGCATAGGAAGTTATCACTAAGAGGTGGCCATTCAGCCTTTCAAGTCCACTCTGCCACCCATCATTCATTCTACGACTCGTGTTCTCCAACCACCCAACTCTGTCTCCCTGCCTTCTACAATACACCCTGATACTTTAACTCCCCAAGTGTCTATCCACCTCTCTCTTGAATCCCATAATTAATCTCTTTCATTTTCGGTTCTCCGGGGGCAAGCATTCTAGATTCTTCATTAGGCATTTGAATACAAGAACCTGTAACAAGAGCAGAAAATAGCTGGTGCCTGTGCTCCCAGGTTCTGAAGCTGGTTCCGGGTTTACATACCTCCTGAAGGTTTCTGGGCTTCTAGTGATTTTCTCTTGTATTTATCAAACAGACTGAGAGAGGAGTACTTCCATTTTCCATCCTTCCCCTTGGTAGTTTGCCCCAGACGATCTGACATTGCGCTGGAATGTCATCGAGTACGGTTGTTTCAGCAACGCTCAGAACGTGCCGCTCTCTGTAAACNAAAAAAGGTATTTAAAACCAAAGTGGGAGGGAGAGCATCTAGAAGCCACAGAAAAACCATCTACAACAACTTGTGTTTATATCGCACCCATCACACCGGACAGCATCTCGGCTCTAATACAACCAAAGTACAATCCAAGGACTCGGTAAGAGAAACAAGGTGCATCCTAGGCACACACGACTTGCACGATAATAAGCATTATTCATACAACAACAACCAACAGCGACACAGTTGCTTCCGGTTGTCTTTTGCAATGAGACTTCAACGGAAGCAACGACGGCGACAATTACATTTGTAAAGCGCCTTTCACGTCGGGAGGACGTCGCAAGGCGCTGAACAGTCGGGGGTCAGGACCCGAGCGTGGGGGGGGGGGTGGGCAAGGTTGGGATGAGGGAGGGCAGAGAGGTGAGAAGGCGACTGAAGGCACGGTCGAAAAGGAGGGTCTCGAGTCGTGCCTTGAAGGAGGCCAGGGAGGGAGCAAAGCGAACAAGGAGAGTGCGGGAGTTTTAGCTGCCAGTGGCAGGATGCAATCCCGCTTCGGAAACAAAATGGAATTTGCAAGACCTTTGCAGTACCTGACACTGGCAGTAGGCGTCACCAATCATACAGCGAGCGGAAACATACTCGGGATCTGCAGACACCACCGCTCACTCGAACCTCGTAATTTCAGGGAAGGAAGAGGAGGGATTTCAAGGGAGGAAGAGGAGACGGGCTGCATCCAATGAGACCCCGTTCAACTCAATAGTCGCCTTTCCACTTTGTGATGCTGAACGCAGCAGCAAGACAAGAGTAGAAAAGGCATCGGCTCTCTCAGTAAGCAGAGAGCTCCATACACATTCTCAGCAGCAATAAAGCCACACTTAACGCTGAACCAGGCCAAGTCTGTAGCCGATGCCAACAACAGCCAATTGCTCACTCCCACCACAGCAGTCAGGTACATGCAAGCTCACACGGGACAGTGAGTAACACGGTTGGCCTTGTGTATTCAACAAGAGGTACACATCATGAAATAACTCGGTTTCAGACATTCGTGAATTGATGCATTCCCTGAGAGTGGATGAACCCTTTCATTCAGAAATAATGTGGTCGGAAAGCATTTGCCAGGGGGAGGTGGATCGTGGTTGGGTGAAGGGTTGTTAGGTACCCTAAGGATTGGAGTTAGGATTTCTTTTGCTCTCAATATTAACGGACCGTATTTAAAGTAACTGGAATATTATCTAGATTTGTGAATGATACTGAATTAGAAATGTTGAGGTGTGGAGGCTCCAGATAAATCTTGACCTGTTAACAAATCAGTGCAGTTAAATGTGAAGTGGTATATTTTGGAAAGAATGGAAATGTGCTCTAAATGGTAAAATTCAATAGAGCAGAGAGATCTCGGGATACAAATACATGGGACAGTTAAAAGTGGGATTATATGCAGAAAACCCCATGAAATGGGCAAATAGGATTCTTGGCTTACATACAGAGCTATTGAATTCAAGAATGAGGAAGCGATGAATCTTTATAAAACTCTGGGTGGGCCAACTGGAATTTGAGAAGACCTTATAGAGGTGTTTTTTTTATGGGCACCATGTTATAAAAGTCATCACAACTATGGAGAGGATGCAGCAGACATGTAAGAATGATGCTGGAGACGAGGGGATACAGTTTTGATACTGGAGAAGTTAGGATTCTTTCCAGTGAAAGGAAGACTGAGGGTGAAGTTATGGAGATGCTTAAGACAATGGGATGCCTATATAGGAATAAATGCTGAGGAATTCTATCCACTAGTATAAAGTGATTTGAGGACAAGAGGCACAAGTTTAAGATTATAGCTAAAAGTTATATAATTTTATACCTAGATTATAAATCTCCCAGAGGGTTGTCAAAGCTTGGAATGCTACTTTCAAGTCAGGACCAGGAAAACGTCTCAAAACTCTTCACCAGATTTTACTGTAAAGTGTAGTAACTGTACATTCTGTAGATTAATAGGCACAAGTGGAGGACCCAAAGAAAGACGTGGGAATTTGGAGGAGAAAAGTGCAACACTCACACAACGGGTCAAATTGCCTTCTGAAAGAGCGTGAGAGGAGAGATGAGGAGAGGGAAAGGATGGAAGAAGAGAGGGGAAGGAAAATGAGCGCGATGACCGGAAAGTTGTGCTTTGCGGAGTCAGGTTTGTTGTTGCGACTGTTCCGGGTCAGACTCAGTCCACACAATAGAATAATCCTTGCATTACATTGCACCTTCTCACATCGTTGAGAGTTTAGGTAACCCCAAGGATTGGGAGTTAGGACCCCTTACGATCTCGAATGTTAACGTAACGCATTTACCGTAAGCTACAGCGAGTGTAAAATGTAGTATATTTTCCGCTCTGGAACTCGGCCTTCAATTCGCGCACAGCACAGGGAACAACAATGAAAGTGAGCGACCAACTGGGGGATTGACTGTTGTCCGGGACTTTTTCAAGTCGTACCGAGGGAACCTTTAGCCTCCACCTAAACAGCAGACAAGACCTCGGTTTAACGTCTTACTGTCAGCATCGCTAACAAAGCAGAGTACCCCCTCGTACTACACTGGAATGCCTGGCCTAGACTAGGACCTCAACGTGTCTTCCCCTCCCCCCCCCCACTCTCTCTCCCCCCCCAATTCTTTATCCTCCCAACAAAATACACAGTCGATTCGCTTTACAGTGTATCCTGCGAAGCGCTTTGAGGCGTCTGGAAGACGCGATCCCCGGCGCGGTGTCAAATCGCAAGGAACATTAATCCTCATCATCATCATCCTCATCGTGGTCTTCGCATCAATTCTCTCTCTCTCTTTCAACTCGGCCCTTTCTCTCTCTCTCTCTGCCTCTCTTTTTCTCTCCCCTCTTCCCTCCCTCCCTCTCCCCCCACCCCCACACCTGCTCTGTTGCCGTCGAGTCACACAAAGCAGGAAAAAAGACGATGTCTTTCCGTTGTGTATTGTCTCCCCCCACACACACAAAAAAAAACCCCCACAAAAAAAAACAAATGAACAAACAGACAGACAGAACACGATGAAGCAGAAACCCCCCCACACACCCCACCCCCCCCCCTCCATCCCGAGCCACAGCCGCACCACAGCCGTAATAAAGCCTCAGCGGCCTATGTCGGGCAGCGCGGGTGTGTGTGAGTGGGGATGGAGGAGCGGGGGTGAGGGGGGGGGTGATGGGAGGCAGGACGCCGAGGGCCCGCGGAAGCTCTTGTCCGGTGGGAGGAGCGGTGGCGGCGGGTGCCGCGAGCGGCGAGGCCGAGGCCGAGCTCGCGGCCTTAGGCCTCACACCCGCGGGTGGCGGTGGCGGCGGTGGCGGGTGACGGTTGTGTGCGGGTGTGTGTGTGTGTGTGTGAGGAAACACCTCAAGAGCCAAAGGCGCTCGGGCCGCACCGAGCAATAAAATAATAGGAAAATAACAATTGTAATAAATAAATAATAAATAATTAATAATAATAATAATAACAACAGCAGTAAGAACAAGTGGTGTAGTGTGTGTGTGTGGGGGTTTTTTTCTCTCTCTCTCTCTCTCTCTCCCCCTTTTCTTTTTTTTTAAACTGAAGGGCCGAACCTGGGCCTCACGGGCAAAATGGCGGCCCGGATGCCGCCTCTCCCCCTCTCTCCCTCCCTCCCTCTCGGCCTCGCCGCCGCCGCCGCCGCCCCAACCCCCCCAAACCCCCCCAACAAAAGCGGCCGAAAAGCCGGGGGGTCGGGTCGGGTGTTGTGTGTGTGTGTGAGATGTGTTGTGTGAGTGTGTGTGTGAGTGTGTGTGTGTGTGAGAGGGTCGAATTTTTTTTTATAATTTTTTTAAAAAAAACCCTCTCTCACGTGCGGTGTTGTCGTGTTGTTTTTTTTTTACATTAAAAAAATATTTTTGTATATGTTGTTATTATTGATTGATTAAATAGAAAAATAAAGAGAGAGAGAGACAGAGAGAGAGAGAGAGAGAGAGGGTGGAAATTAAAAAAATAAACACCCGCCCGCCCGAGAAATAAACACCCACCTGAGTGAGTGCGTCTCTTTCTCCTTCTTTTTCCCCCGCCCGCCCCAACAAAAAAAAAAGGCCCCGACGGCTGTCCACCTCCGGGAGCTGACGAAGGAAAAGGCGGCGAGTTCCGAGCCCCGATGGCGGCGGATGTTACAAACCCTCCTCCCCGCTCCCTCCCTCTCCCTCTCCCCCCCCTCCCCCGCAGCCTGAGGCCTAAACAAAAGGATCGCAGTCCCAACCGCCCCGAACCCGAGTGACGGCGCAGCACCGGCGACGGCGCCACCTGGCGGCCGCGCGCGCACAGGGCGACACGTGCGTCTGACTGTGTGGGGTCTCTGTGGTCTGCGTTCGCTGACCGAGTGGGGAGGGCGGGGGGTGGGGAGGGAACTCGAGCGCCACCCCGTGGCCGTGGGCGGGAATCGCCACGCGAGGAGGGTGGGGGCGCCCCGCCGCGGCCGCCGCTGGAACGGCAACCACCGTCAGACCTTTTCGTTGCAGACCCGGGTGGTGGGGGGGGGGGGGATGCTCGCCACGGGTGGGTTGGCGCGGGTGGTGGGTGGGTGGCGCGGATGGGGGGGTGGGTGGGTGGGTTGGCGTGGGTGGGTGGGCGGTGGGGGGTGGGTGGGGTGGGGGTGGGGGGTGGGTGGGGGGGTGGGGGGGTGGGGTGGGTGGGGTGGGTGGGTGGGTGGGTGGGGTGGGTGGGGTGGGTGGGGTGGTGGGTGGGTGGGTGGGGTGGTGCGGGTGGTGCGGGTGGTGGGGTGGGTGGGGTGGTGCGGGTGGGTGGGTGGGGTGGTGCGGGTGGGTGGGGTGGATGGGTTGGCGTGGGTGGGGTGGTGCGGGTGGGTGGGGTGGGTGGGGTGGTGGGGTGGGTGGGGTGGGTGGGGTGGTGCGGGTGGGTGGGGTGGGTGGGGTGGTGGGGTGGGTGGGGTGGGGGGTGGGGTGGTGCGGGGGGTGGGGTGGTGCGGGTGGGCGCGGGTGGGTGGGACGCACGGTTCGGACGCTCGTCTGGGTTCGGCTTCCGCCCCGAACGCGGGTTCGATCCCGAGCCTCGGTCCAGTGACGGCTTCCGGAGGCGGAATCGGACAGGCGACGTTGGCGGGGGTTTGACGGGGGGAAGAGCGGGCGGGGGGGGGGGGGGGAGGGCGGGGGAGAGGGGCTGATCCAACCAGCCGGCACAGGCACCCGGTGAGCTGAATGGCCTCCCTCTGGGCTGTAATATTCTACGGTTACAGCCCAGGGCTCTGAGACGCCGTCCGGGGTGGAGGGCGCTGTATGAATCCAAGTTGTTGTTGTTGTTACGGTTTCAGTGTTAGCGTTATGCGTTCCTCCCGCACAGTCACCTTGTTGACGGCCTGAGTGGAGTATTCGGTGTGCTCGGTGATCAGCGGGGGGGGGGGGGTCAGCCTGGCGGCTTGTCTCGGAGCCCTCTCACCTCCGGGTTAGAGGTTTATGGGGTTCAAGCCCCAACATCGAGACCCCAACCCTCGGCTCAAGTCTCGGGTGACATTCCAGCGCAGTGCTGTGGGATCACGTTGTCAGAGGCGCTGCCTTTCGGACTGAATCGAGGTCCTGTTCAGGCGGACGTCGAAGAAGAACGCGCGGGACTATTTGGAAAGGGTCCTGGCCAGCAATCCGCAAGAAACGCGGGTCGTTCACCCTCCTGGCTGTTTGCCAGACCTGGCCGCCCGCAAATCGGCCGCCGCCGCCTTCGGCCGCAAAACGCGCAGTCACTTCACTTGACGGCAATTTCCCTGCGAAGCTCTTTTGACGTTACGCGTGCGGTGTCGGAGGCGAAGATTACACTCTTGAGTTGCAGTGTGTGGTGTCATGAGTAGAGGGAGCGGTTATCAGATAGACACAGGCCGGACAGAACATGAGCGAGCAAGCATATCCAGCCGTAAATATCCACGTGAAGTGTTTTGGGGTTATAATAATAATAATAATCCTTGCATTTGATATGGTGGGGGGGGGGGGGGGTTGGAGGGTGGGAGAGAGGTGGGCGGGGAAGGGGGTATTAAGAAGGATGAGCAGGGCAGGGGATTCCGGATTCGTTTTTCTCAGAAATTCAAGCATTTTATTTTTCGATCAAAGCTATCAATCCACTCGTGCTATCGAAATCTGTTCAATCTCCCGACGAGCTTTACGCTGTGTTTAGAAAAAAAGAAACCCATTAAAAAAATAGACGGGAGATTCGAGCTCTCGGATCACATACGTGAACAGCGATGTATTTTGGGAATAGTCCATGTATTTCATGTGCCGCTATTTATTGCTCCGCAAGGCTCTTCCCCTTGTTGGAGTCAGCAGTTTTATTTTATTTCAACCACCTGCTCTACCTGTTGGAAATAGCAGGGGGCCTGAACGATGAAATGATTATTATTTGGCGGACTGTCAAGTTGTTTTATTTTGATAAACCTTGGCATTTGAAACAGGGCTCATGATGTCTCAGGTATTTGCTATCAAGTGTAGTGAAGCTATCTATATCTGTAGGCTAACGCTAACACAGCAGGCAGTTTCAGACGCCCCGGTCTCAAGCATCTTCTATCATATCTGGAAACACTGGGGCACAGACCTGTTCTAAAAGGACCTTTGCCTCAGATGTGACTGTCTGTGGTTATCAGTAACGATTCCACTGGTCTAAGCAGATGTCAACGTAGCAAACCACATCTCGTGGGGGAAGCGGAGGAAGGGGATGGGAGACCGACTCTCTCGGTCTCTGTCTCTGTCTCGGAGCGGAACTTGTGGTTTCTGTTTCACAGAAGAGTTCTGCTCGAAAATGACTGTCCTGATGGCCTGCATTTGCGAAGAGAGTCCATTCCAGCCATATTAGGGAATTTGCAACTCTACCCTCTCATTTCCAAACTACGCACTTCTCCGAGTTCACGTTTAACCAGACCGTCGTTCACCCAGAGCAACAAGCGCAAGATTCCATCTTCCGTTTGCAAAGGGGGAGAAAAAAAATTCACAGAAAGAAAAGTTTGCCAAAAAAAAAGGCCCATCTGATCTCATCCTCCAGAAAACCCACCCTCGCATTCTTGCATCACAGCATCGAGGTTTTATTATAAATGAGTTACCAGTGTCCCGGCTTCAACCACCCCTTCCTGGTAACCTTGTTCCGGTTGTTAATTACGCTTTGAGACGTCTCAACGGAGTGATACGGCATTATATTAAACGCAAGGATTATTATTAATTCTTATTATTTTAATGTTGGATAACCTAAGGCAGGGAGGTTCAACCTTTTGGCTGCTGAGGGCCGGTTTCCCTATGTGACAAAGGCCTGCGGGCCACATAAGCAATATTTTTGTGTTTCCCTTCCAGAAACCACTCTAACCCAAGGCGACAAATAGAAATGCAAGCAGTGATCGTGCTTAAGAGTGGCCACTGACAAAGTTGGAATGGACTTGATGTGAGAGTGCTTGTTTGCTTCCCTCGTGGGTCCACTCAGCCCTTGACCTTTCCCGACATCAATATTGTTCACAAATTGGTATGTTCAGAGGAAGGTACAATTTAGGCTCAGTCGAAACCTAGAATTGTGTTCTACAATAAACCACAGTCCTTTTAAAAATAGCCTCCGGTGTCACGCTCTGCAAATTGCAAAGGAATATAGTCTTTCCTCTGAAATAGATTCTATTTTTGAAAAGTGTATTGTAGGGTTCAAAACGGAGCCAACTGCACTCCATCTTCCTGCGAGGTTCCTGAGTAAACAGGAGCCAAGTAATAAGCGAAGCAGGAATTGCCAGAGGAACTTTTGTGAAGAGTATTTTACTTCAAACTCCTGTCAAAACGCTCCACTGGAAACTGGGTGGTTTACGATCGAAGCCAGCTATCTCCCAGATAAAATTGTAAGGCGATACTGCATATAAATTCGCTGCCCTGTTCACCCACAAAATAGTCACTACGCTTGACAGCAGTTCCCTACAAGATTTCAACATTATCGACGCTGAAGCAAATGCAAGGATTATTATTGATACAGTATTTTTTGTTGGTCAGCCGGGTGTCTGAGATATGCGGAAAACCATCACCATACTTACCAAACTAAGAATTTCATGCATCCCACCTACACGTGGAAATCCCAGAGATGGTTGGAATAGAATGCGCACTCTCTCCCTGGAGGGACACATCCTGCTTACCTAATTCCGGAAAGTATTAGGTGCAAGAGCCAAGGCTTGGGGACCCTACAATGTGTTTTGGTGTAACTGCTGGAGTCTAACCAGCTAAAACCCCATAGCTTGCCATTGATATCGCGGCCTGGCAAGTTTTCTCGCTGCTTCTCCAGCTCGGACCACCCTACCCATTAGGGCTTTGGCTTAACCTTTGGCAGGGTTAACAAGAGACGAGTGGGATAACTCCCTGTCCGCAGTGACTGGTCTGTCCGTCCTGCTGAAGAGCCTTAGGAAGGGACTGCAGCTGAGACACCAGGTTGAGTGACTCTCTAAAGCAGACGCAAGCCCTTCTCGTCTGTCTGTTCTGTTCTGTTTGACGACTGACTAACGCTTGACGAGTGTGGAAGCCGAGACGGGACTAAAGCAGTGGCTGCTATGAAAGATAAATCAAGTGATGGCAGAAAAGCGAAGCAGAAAGAACCTCAGACCGTTCGGGCAGCTCCTGACGTCCGAACTGAGACGTCAACGAGTTGAAAATGTTTATTAAATTAAAATGTCTTTTTTTTAAAAAAAAACACATGCTCTTTCAAATACAACGCGATTCCAAATGTCCTCGCAAATATCATGCATGTTAAACAGCACTGAGTTGGGATTGCAAAGCCCCTGTGGTCTCCCCTTGTCTCATACTGTGCGTGACAGGAGTGACAGATACTCACTCGCACTTGATACATACTTCACAGGCAAACTCTGCATCGTGGAGCTCCCACCTGGCTATAAGTCAGGAGGTTATTAAGTGCGTAGAGGCTTTTTTTTGCTCACGAGGCAGCCTTGCCTTCCTAGTGAATCAGTCACTACTCGCAGTTCGTACAACCCAATTGTTCGTCAAATGCATTTGATGTGCACAGATCAGACAAGAGATCTATCCACATGGTCAATCAATGTCTTTAAGAGCAGTTCAGTCAGAGATGGAGTTTGGTTCTTGTTCCTCAGCGCTCCTTCAGTGCTTGATTAAAGATAGAAAGGACTCTCCCAGCCTTGGAGAGAGAGAGACAGAGGGTTTTCCAGGGATGAGGAGATGTAACTGCGTGGAGAGACGTGAAATGTTGGGATTGTTTTCACAGAAACATGGGAAAACGGGAAGTGGCCATTCAAACCACCCAACCTGTTCCAGTTTAATTAAATCGTTCAATTCTAATTCCCTGCCATTTCACTGTAGCTCCAAATACCTCTACTCCTCAAGTCTCTGTCCGTCTCTCAATCGAACATCCCTATTGATTCCATCGCTACAGCTTTCTGGGGCAGAGCGTTCTACATCCCCACAAGATCCTGTGTGAACAAATGCTTCCTGACCTCAGTTCTGGGTTTAAGGCTCTGCCCCACTCCCCCCGTGTAATGGTTTCCAAGAGTTCACCCAAGAATAAGTGCTCTGAGACGCTGCTCCACGTGAAAGGCTGTTGTTGTTGTAGTTGTTGTTAACCTGCCAATTCCTTTCATTATTTGATACACCTCAAACACTTCACCCCATAACCTGCTCTGCTTTAAGGAATATAGCCCAAGTCTCATCATACATACTTAAACCCCTTCAACCCAGATACTATTGCAGTGAATCATCAATGGGCATCTTCCAAGGCCGGTATATCCTTCCCAATAGGTTTATTGGGGCGGGAGGGGGGATAGTACTCGGTTTCAAAACAGTGAACGGAGAAATAGTATTTCCACTGATCATTGATGTTCTCTCTCTGTCTCTCTCTCTCTCTCTCCTTGGCAGAAAATGGCAGCAGCTGGCCAGGCTCCGAACCCGAACGCCACCCACACTGTGTGTGTCCGCAATGAATTTGGGGTTTTTACCAGCCTTTGTACGAGTAAGGTGACCTGATTAAAACAAGAAGTGAGAGAATGGGAGGTAATGACTTCCGTACCGTTTGTGGGGAAACACATCAGTTATTCAGGAAGAAACAAGATCTTGATTTTAAAAGAGATTAAGTCCCGCATCCTTTGTCGTATTATTATTCGCTGGATTTCCAAAGTCTTCAATCGTATAGTAGAGGTCAGGAGTCACGGGAGCTCCAGCCAATGCTATTCCCACCTCTGTTTAATTGCAGTACATAACAAGCAGGTAAAGGTAAATGTAGAAAGAAAACACGAGCAGCAACAATTCAAACTTTCCAAAATGCAATAAGTTAACAAGCCGCAGGGCCAGAAATGTCCTTTAACTTCCTGAAGTGGATTGTTTCTTCGCAGAGGCAGACTGAGGCACAGAGACGTCTCACGCACACGCGCGCGCGCGCGAGCAAACACACACGCAGACAGTCAGACATACAGAGGCAGTCTGAGACACAGGGACAGTCAGACACAGTCAGAGACAGTCAGACACACAGACACAGTCAGATAGAGACAGACCAACACAGACAGTGATAGTCAGAGACACAGAGACAGACAGACCACACAGACACATAGAGACAAACAACAGACAGTGATACCGAGACAGTCAGAGACACAGAGACAGACAGACACAGAGAGACAGTCAGACACTGAGACAGACCGAGGCCATCTTTTCCTTTCTCTGTGTCACAAGCACGAGCAGCACCCCCCCACCCCCCCTCCCTCCCTCCTCTGTTCCGTCCCCTCCTCAGATGGCAATGATCGAGATCAGAAACTGACACGCGTTGGAAGGAAGCCACAGAAACTCCAGGACCCTGTAATGTATGTAACCGAAGACAAAGCCACACAGGACGTCAGTCAGGTGATGGCGGCCGATCATGACGCGCGAGATGCCGATAAACAGGGCCCAGATCACCAGGAGAATGCGCAGGGGGACGGCGAGAACCAGGTGATTGAAGAAGAATTTGACCACCATGGCCGCTCTGCTGGCCTGGCCGGCCGGGAAGGCATACACATCCATCATCAGGTAATCCATGAACCCGGCGGGCACCTCCGAGGGCCCCTTCCTCTTCACCAGCTTCTGCACTCCGGCTACCATCAGCACGTCCAGGATCAGCGCTGGAAAGGTGGGAAGAGGAGAGGCCAGAGTCAGCAATAAACGTGCCGACACACACGGGGGAAGCGACACCACACACCTCCCTTGCTACTCTGCACGCTCACTTATCGAACTCATTGACTTCAAGGTTTTCTAAAGCGTTAGGAGCAGAGGCACAGGAGGAGGTCATCCAGCCCCTCCAGCCTGTTCTGCCATTCTATAAGATGGTGGCTGATCTGTAACCTCGACTCCAAATACCCGCCTTTGCCCCGTATCCCTTGATGCTCTTTTTAAAAATGAGAACTAAGCCATTTAGGAGTGGATTTAGGAGGCAGCTTTTTTTCGGCCAAAGGGTAGTGGAAATCTGGAACTCTTCCTCTCAAAAGGCTGTGGATTATGGCTCGATCCATTCACATTTTCAAGACTGAGGTGGAGAGATATTTGTTAGGTCAGGGTATCAAGGGATATCAATAATTTGAACGTGACATAAACACAGACTGACATTAATGATACGCTCGTGGTTTCTGATGAGATGAATGGAGCTCTCTTTCACTCTCTCTCTCTCTGTGCACTTTGCTCTGAAGTAAACGTTACGAGTCTCATTACACCAAATGAGCAGTTACGATTGACAATAGCGCTCCCCAACGCCAGCTCCGTGCATGGTTTTCCACTTGTTGCCTGAACACTGAGTCAGAGGACCTGCACGTTTGGAGGTAAAGTCACGATACGAGACCTTCAGACTGATCTGTGATCTGTTAATTAACGGATGTCAGGTCCCTGGGAGGTTGGAGACTGTCTAGGTTTACAGTAGACCCACACCTGGGCCATGCCCGGAAACTCAACGATCCTTCCCCTGGTTTATCGAGTCTAGACTGAAATCCATACCAGAATTCAAACCCAGCCTGCGTGCCCCTGACTTGAATTTACGCAATTATTGAATTTTGATCATTTTCCCTTTCAAAACCTATTGATTTGGATTGAATCCTGTGGGCCCCACTTCGAAAAATATCCGAGTGGACTGATTCAGTGGACGAGGAAAGTGAACGCAGTCGAATTTGTGCTTTGGCAAGTTCTTTGGCTGCCATTTCCTCTCCTGGTGGTATTTGACTTACTAATCTGTGGTCGCGCCTTAACATGGAAGTGGAATATAAAACATGAGTCCAGTTGCCAGCTCTTCATCACTCTCCGTTGATCATGTATGGGAATAGATTTCCCATCCCATCATACCTCTGAATGTGCCCTGTTGTGCCTTTTGGCCTCTGAGATATAGAAAGAGAAACTAAGGGTCACATTATCACATGTAGACAACGAGGGGTAATAATAATAATAGTTGCAGTTGATAGAGCGCCTTATTACGTCTTCGAGACATCTCAAAGCGCGTAGAGAGTAGTAGAGATACACACACTTCTGTTCCATCACAACAGTACTTACGTTTTGAAATGCCTTTCACATCTCCACCAACAATATGTTGCATTTATATAGTGTATTTCATGTTGGAGGACGTCCCAAGGTGCTGGACAATGAGGGATTTGCAAAGAGGTGGAGGGCAAGACTGGGTAGAGGGGAAAGATGACCGAAGGCACGGTCGAGAATGAAGGTCTTGAGATGGACCTTGAAGGAGGCAAGGGAAGGGGAGAGGCGGAGGGGCTCTGGGAATTCCAGAGGGTGAGGTGGGGCAGGCAGGATGGGGGATGTGGAGCAGGTCAGTGCCCTCAAAGAGGAGGGAGCGGACAGGTTGGTGAAGTTTTAAAAGGTCGCAGAGGTAGGGTGGAGCAAGACCGTGGAGGGCTTTAAAGGCGAAAGCACTTGATAGAGATGGAGTGGGAGCTCAAGCCAGTTGGGAGATAAGTCAGTGGGAGGTAGTTGAAAGCTCCGTCAAAGAGGAAGGTTTTTAAGACCGCGTTTTGAAAGCGGAGAGGGTGGGAGCGAGGTAGAAGGATTTGGGGGAGAGTTCCAGAGAGGCTGCCCACTGATTGTGGGGTGAGGGAGTGCGGGACAGCCAGAAATTGAGAAAGCCAAGTGAGCGCATGACTTTGTTTTTTTGTTTGATTGATTGATTGCTAACACAACAGCCAATTGGGCAGAACAAGGTCTCAGAAACAACCGTGAAGTAAATAAACAGCTGCGGCTATTTATTTCGAAAGGTACTTGGGTTTCGTGCACGCACTTACACAAACTGTGGGTCACACCAGTTTACAAGCCGTTCAGATGGCTCTAACACCACAGGAAACGATGATCACTTCTACAACGCTTGCCTCAAAGCAACCGGCTCTCCACATCATGAGATGTGCACGTGCACGCGTATCACAAGCTACAAGATACCGTGTGGCTCGAACACAGGCTCATGTGATCTTTTCAGTGTGTTGTCGCAAGTTGGGCTGGAGAAAATGTTTGAAAGCATCAACACTTTCTGGAAGCGACAGGTTTTGCGGGCGATAAGTTTCAGCACGCTAAAGGGAACGGATCGAAACGTTTTAGATACCGCAATTCAAAGATTACAGGGCAAAAATTAATCACGGATGGATTCTTTGAAGTTTCTTATTCCAAACCCCCCCCCCCACCCCCGCCCCCCAACCACCATACATTGTCCTTGGTGTATTCTACGGTTAATCAGAGGCTGACTCAACACCTGTTCCAGAGGGAGAATCTCTCTCTCTTTCTCCCTCTCGCACTGTTTGCTAAAAGCACTGCTTGGAAAGAGAAGGGAATTTCATCCCAGTGTCCTGGCCGACAATCCCCCAGATAAAATTAGTCACTCACTTCACGGCTGATTGTGGGAGACTGCTGGTGCGCAACTTGTCTACAGCATCCGCTTTCAAATACAGTCACTACACCGGAAAGCAATTGCAAATGAAGTGCCTTGACGGCATGATTGGTCACCATATGAAATGCAAGCATTATTATTATTACTATTATTAATTATTATTGTTATTATCTCTCTGCTCTGTGAAATGATCAGGAGGCAGTGTAGCAGGCCAGGGTTTGCCAGTTTCCTCATTTTCACATCAGACACAGAAATACCCAAAGATATCGAACCGTTTGGGGCGATAAGCCCTTCAGTGGAATTATCAATTCCAGGCAGGTCAGGGCGAAACCTTGGGCAAGTTTCCTTACTCCACACGCCTAATAATAATCCCTCCAAAAACAAAAAACAATAATAAATTGGTCACTTTCAATCTACGACTGTTTGTGGGACATTGCTGTGCGCAATTGGCTGCCGCGTTCGCCCACAAATATACAGTCAATTCACTTAACAGTGTGTTCTGTGAAGCGCTTTGGGACGTCCTCCCGACGTGAAAAGCGCTATATCAAATGCAAGGATTATTATTATTATTATTATTATCGATCTGTAAAAATGCAACTGAATGAAAGCTATGGAAATCTGAGCAGCGTATTCCCTCAAAAGGGAACTGGATAGGTATTCGAAGATGGAAAAATTTGCAAAGTTATGGGGAAAGAGCGGGTGAGTGGGACTGATCAGGCAGCTCTTCCAAAGAGCTGGCACAGGCAGGATGGGCCGAATGGCCTCCTTCTGTGCTGTAAGATTCTATGATTCTATGGTAGTGATGGCGGAAGGAATCCTCAGCTTGTGTGACTCACCTGAGACCAGAGACATTAATCCAAAGGTGAAGTATAAAACCAATTGCCAACTGGGATGGGATTTGGAGCTTGGATATCCTAGCTGAGAGAAAGAGAGAGAGTCAATGTCTGGGTGACTGTCCTATTGCTCTCATTCTCTCGCACAACTTGTCCCAGTTCCTGTGACAGCATGAAACACCAGGCCTGAAGGACCCTCTGCCAACGTGTGTTGCAATTATATCAATAATAAGACCGGGGCCATTGGGCATTGTTATCACAGATACTAATCATCTGTTCTCCCTGATGTAGAGAGAGCCGCTCTTGCAATATCCAATTCATTCCTCTGCAACCTCATTCATTGAGGTAACTTGTTCCAAATGAAGATGCCTTAACTTCTTCCCTGCCAAAGCAAGCAAGCAAGAAAGTGAAATGATTTGATTTCTTGGCTGTTAATAATAAAAATAATACCAATTATAATCCTTGCATTTGATATCGCGCCTTATCACGTCTTTGAAACGTCTCACAGAGTATACTGTAAAGTGAATTGACTGTATATTTTGTGGGCGAAACACGACAGTCAATTGCGCACAGCAGCGTCCCATGAACAGTCGTGCATTGAGTGACCAAATTATTATTATTTTTTTTTGAAGAGACGTTACCCCTGGAAAAGTGATCCGCCACTCGATTAACAACTCAGATACTGCCCCCTTCCCCACACATACATATATATATATTTTTTATAGCTTGACTATATTCTACAGATGATGATGTCATCAGGGAGGTCAATGGTCAGTCATCTTGGGATTAAAAAAAACATTTATTTTTGTAAAAAAACAGAGCAGATGGTGAGCGGCAAGCAGCTTAATCCATTCTCGGTCTGGATAATGGTGAATTTGCACAGGATTCTCTCTCGGCCATTCAATCTACCTGTAATATTCCACAGCAAAATAAACTCGCTTCCATTAACATTCTCCCAAGTGTACTCTCAATTTCCGTTCTGGCTCTCATAACATACAAACGTATGGCCTGTATTTGATACAGCGTCTTTCACGTCAGAAGGATGTCTCAAAGTGCTTCACGGGGTGCACTGTGAACTGTGGTGGCTGTTTATTTTTGTAGACAAATGCCGCAGCCAATTTGCACACAGCAATATCCCACAAACAATTTTATTTGGGGGATGGATTGTTGGCCAGGACAAATGGGATAAATTCCCTTCTCTGCTCGAGGAGCGCCATGGGACATTTAATGTCCATCTGAACAGGCAGAGCCGGGACCTCGGTTTAACGTCTCATCCGTGGCATGACACCTCCGACAATGCAGCACTTCCCCAGCACTACATTTGTATGTCAGTCTGGTCTGTCAGTTCAAGGTGGAGACTGAGTGTATTCTCATACAGCTGATATTCTGACCGCTTCTATTGCTGAGATAGCAGATTCTATTGCTG